GAAACCCAGTTTCATCAAAGTTATAGATATCTGCTTCCTGGATGCCGTACTTCGCGATTATGTTTTGAACAAGCATGAACCAACGATGGATAGCCTCTGGATCTTCACATAAAGCTCTCTGATAGTCATATTTCCGACTAAAACGAGTTGTGAGCTCTGGGTGCCGTTTAACAAAGGTGCTGGCCCAGTTTACACCAACACATCCCATGTTGCGTGTTGCAAGTAATCGGTTGGCCATATCTTCCACACCAGACAACCGAGGAGGAAACCCTTTGGAATCTAGATCAAGTATGTGTTCAACAATCGTTGATTCCTCTAAATCAGTGAGTCTTCGTGAATTGGCTGATATATTGCATCGTGATTGCATGCCACGCCGGCGGCGACTAAGCTTCTCATGATCCACGTGATAGATCTTTCCAGCTGCTCGAGCGCTCAGCTTTTTGTCATTTTGCATAGCTTGAAGGGCCAATATTACTTGGCTTTCATCATTTTTCTGACGCATATTTGGTTGTGGTGATATTTGTGATAGAAGTCAGAAGTCGCGTCGGAGCAATTTCGTGTGACATTCGCCCGTGTGTGACATTCGCATGTGGGTCACGTTATATCAAAATGATAAAAACATACAACAGCCGGGATTCGCTGGTGGTCACCCACCCAACTACTAACCGGCCGGCGTGTGGCTTAAGTACGGCTGAGCGGACGGGAAGCCCTGTTCTCCACACCCTATGGTCGTATGTATCAGATTTAATAGAGCAAAAATATATGAGGCAACTGTGAGTGCACAACACAAAGGATGAGCCATCACCCAACATCACACAGCGCAAGGGTTTATCAACTGCATAAGTGTCATATGGGAGTCTCGAAGTAATGAAACAAGCGATAATTATGCTAATGTGGCCATGGGCGCTGGGTTGATACCCATAACCGCGATTATGTCGCAATCTAGTGTGGCTGGGATACTGGAATGGCTGCACGGCTGGAAATCCTTGTCTATTCGCACTTGAACGCCTCTCCGTCTACCCGCTCTCGTAACTCGTGCCTCCTCTGTGTAGATGCTTGTCTGCCTCGGCGCTCACTAGCTCCACTTATCAGACGCTCTTACATTAACTCTGCGATGATCAATTGGAGACAATTTTCACATTTTACCGCCATCTCTGATCCTGGTTTTCTCCTTCAATCAGTTCCGCCGTGACCTCTGTCTGATTCAAGGTCATTGTGGCTTTGGGGTGAATTCCTATGGGCTGACTGTGTTCAACCCAGCGCGCTAGACAAGCATCATTATATTGCAACCCATGTCAAGTCATGCACCGAAAAAAAAATTAGCTGATGTTACCCACAATTATCTGCCTGCCTGATCTTTGATTGATTTCCATACCAGCTGCACTCACTCATTTTCACCTTTCCATTGCTATCATGATGGCCCCATTAGTTCATCCCATGCTTGCCCGCATCCTTGATGCCAGAAGCACTTCGGTGGATTTCTCTAACCAGTTCCAAAATCCCAGCGATATATTCTCAGTGCTGTTAATCCTCGGAGGTGATGTTGTGGCTTGAGCATTAGCGCAGGTTTCAGGGTCAGGGTTCACACCTATTGCTTTTTCCTTTGGTTGGTCCCAAACTATTTCCAGCTTGGTACAACTGCATGGATCATTTGCTGATTGAGTATCCTCAGGATGGTAGCTTATGCGGTGTCGGCTGTTGTCTCTGCAGTTGGAGAGAATAAGCTAATGCCGCCGCCAGACTGTGTGCCTGTAAAGTCATCAATGGGAGATCAGGATATGTGCGCGACAACACTAGCTGGATTATTGATTGGATTGTCCAAGATTTTGAGACTTGGATGGATGATCGCATCCGCACACACATGGAAGTTATTCTTGATTCGAGTTAGGAATTCAACAAGGGAAAAAAATCAGAAAATGAGGCCCAGAAGCCCTGGTCCAGAACGTCCTACGCAGGCTGGCCCCTGCATATCCATCTATAAGACTGGCCCGGCCGTCCCTGGCCATACCGGCTCTGATCGGGTCTATATTCTGGGGTTTGTGACTGGGTTCATCCAGCTTGGAATTGCAGCAATTCCATGTGGGCTCTACGGCGACTGGGGAGTTCTACTGGTGACTGGCAGTGGTATTATACTATGCTTGGCTATGGGCTCCCTAGGACAGTGGAAGTGTGAGGAATGGGCCAGTCGCTCTAACTCATCAGATAAGACGGTTGTTCTCACAAGAGGGAACGGCAGTCAACATGCAATTGTGATCCTTGGAACAAAGGAGGGCCTTGATCTAGAGGCTCTGGCCACTGGTCCCGCCACAGTCGATCTGTCAACCTTGTGGATATTCTTCTGCTGCGGTATGATCCACAACCCCATCCGTCTCCAGATCCTTGTAATACTTGTTTCGTTGGTGTCGCCATTGCCGGCATTCAAAGGAAGTGCTGTACTGTCTCTTTGAGGAACCACATCTTTGACAGGTTGTGTCTTCTCAAGCCTGAATCCAGTGTAAATATGTTCCAATGGCTGCATGCCCTGACTTCAGTTGAAAATAGCAGCTCGCCAGGTGTTTCGGAGTTACTGCGACCAAGGGGTCGAACCGCCAGTTCCTGTGTCCTGTAGGTTGGCCAATCCTTCCGGGTTCGTTGACCGAGCTTATTGGCAAGCCATCTCTGCTTCTGTGCTGTAATGGCCTCTGTCCGCGCTCTGCCAAAGAAATCACTCTTAGATCCCTCTCTGGAGGCTTATTAGCTGTCTGCTTTGCCGCCTGGTTGGCTGTCTCATTTCCTTCTACCCCTGCGTGTCCCGGAACCCATCAGATGGTGGGTTGGCAATCTCGGCTTGTGATTTCTCAGCTATAGTGTGTGCTCAAACTGCTAGTATTTGACCTGGTCCAGGTTGGGTATGTTGCGGCCTCACAATGGTAGCCTGGGAGTCCGCAGGATGGTGATTGGTCTGGCTTCCTGTCTTCCGTGTTACCTGGAGCGCTTGAACAACTCCAAGAAACTCTGCATCAAAGACCTCGTACCCCTTGCCTAATGGGAATCCCTGACTCTTCCATGCTCCTCCTGGTTCTTGCATGCAATCCCTGGCCTGCACCTGCCATTCTCCAATCTCGAGCTGTCTGACCAGATTGCCAGTCTAGGAGGAAAAGCTCGCGCAGCTGCTAGAGCCTCTGCACTTGATGGCACTTCTATTCGGCCGGGGGACTGGCTACTGGATGTCTGTATTGTGCTTCCCAAAGCCCTCAGGTGGTCTATTGGAAGGCTATTTGCTAATTGTCGAGCTAGATGTTGTTCCAGGGACCATGGACCCGGTTGTTGCTCTCAGCTCATTGCCGGTTCCCTGGGGTCTGTACCCCAGGCTAGGCCAGTTGCTTAGTAGCATAGGGAATGGGGTTGGCGAGCGCCATGATCCTGGAGGACTAGGGTTCTTATGGAATTGTCACAAAATGAATTACAAAGAATCCCCCTAATATTGAGGATGAGCATTTCAGTGTTACTGCAAGGAGTGACTCATGATCTGGCTTGGGAAACAAAACCACGTGAGACTAGGGCTTGGTCTCAACCATCCATCACAGGGGTGAGAATCCAACTGGACCTCATCACAAAAATGCTTGCGGATAATGATTCTTTTATATACATAGAATCAGAAATTAGGTGATGTCACGGGAAGATTGACACCCAATTTGTCCAACAGGGGAGATGCTGCTGTGGGTCCCCATTGCTCTGACCTCATTTGGCGCCAGCCCCTAAAGTGCCACCTGCACTAATGGGACAGCAGAACCACCTGATAGGATGTGGCATCATTGCTGTAGTTGGACAATTGGAGTTGATGGCTCATCGTTATTATACCATGGATTGGTACCAGGGAAACTGTGATTGAATATGTATTATTCAAGCGTATCCGGAGTTCACCCATCAAAGCAGCAACAACCAATTCACATGGTTAGCGTCCTGCGCTGCATCCAAACTCTCTGCCACTGTCCCCCATTTCCAACAAGGGTTCAATTATAACCCATATCATCTCTGGAATTGATCACATGCCATCTAAGGGTTATTTTGATCTTTGGTGCGTGCCGCATTTCCATGTTATTTGGATGATCCATGGACTTTCTCTTAGGCAGTTGCGTTGTTTTCCTTCGGTTATATAGCCCATGATTGTTTCAATTGTCTTTTTTTTTTTTTTTTTTTTTTCTCCATTAGAATCACGATTACTATATCCCTACTTCAATAGTAACTTATCATGTTATCATCACAGCAGGATGAGCAGCAATCAAAACATGGCACTTGTTTTTGGTGCCAGTGGCATCTCATAGTGGGCAGCAGCAAAAAACTGCCTTTCCTATCCTTCAACCCAAACCTTCAGCCATGTCATTGCAACCACAAACTGTCCTCGCTTGCTGAAAGAGTGTGGGTTTCCCGAGGACAACAGACTTGAGATATATTCTGGGATCAACTTGCATAGTAGCCTGGATAATGTGCTGGGGGAGGATAAGGGAAAATGTTCCTTGTCTTGCTAAGGTCACTCACATGTACTATTGCGGTAGGTTTGACACCGTGTTCATTGATCCAGGGACAAATTAATTACAATGGTCAACAATAGCATACATAGACCTTGACAATGGAATTCCATGGGAGTCGCACGACCTACCTAGTCCTGTCATCTGGGCGTTCTGAACACATATGCGGCACATGGGATCAGCATAGTGTTATGGGGTTCTCGTACGAACCCAAAGGATGACAGTTTGGCTAAGGCCAGCACAGAACGCAGCCAGCAAGGGGACCGAAACGACTATTGACGACCTTCGTACGATCCCCTTACATGAAGACTATCGGTGACCTTTTCGGTCAACTCCTGACCTCCGAGAACACTATTTGGAATCTCATTCCCGTACGACCATAAAAGACTGCTCCCACCTCTGCCCTGTTTGTTTCTTCTTCAACGATTCCTTCTTGTATAGTAAAGGGTAGCTTTAGGTTAAGACAACTTGAGTTAAACCCCTAACACATAGTTAGGGTGAAAGTGTGATGCAGGATAGGCGCCTGCAGAAAGGGGCAATGAATGGGGTCAATTGTAAGCTGTAATCAGCCTTGGGAGTCTGTCAAGCCTGGAATCATTATCTTTCCTTTGGTAAGGGAGTCGAAAGGGCGGATACAATTAATGAAGAGCAGCCGGAAAAGCAAGACCTCATGTAAATTCGTTTTTTTTAGAAGATAGGGGAGCAGAGAATATGACCCAATTCACTGTATAAAAAATAGGAGGGAGACAGAATCAGCTCAAAACACCAGTCAATGTAAAAATATGGGAGGGAGTTTGGCAAGAGAAAAAGATTTGGGAAGAGACGAAGTCAGAACAGTGAGGGAGGGTTCTTTATATTGGGAGGCCAGGCGGGCAGCGCTTACAGTACAGCATATCAGGAGGCTATACCAGAAACGGCAAAACTAACCGGAAGAGGGAATTCACAGGTCCTCGTTTTACAAACCAAATGCACCATTCGTGGTAGATAGATCTTGTACAAAACCCGGAGCCGGCGATACAAAATTTCCGAGCAACATTTCCTCCGCGCGGGAGTGCGGAATAGAAACATCCAAAACCACCAAAAATCCATACATAACCTCAGGATTAAACAAAACCTGATTCTGTCTTTATTCCCGCTCCCCGAACCACCCACTGGCGGTCCTCCAGCTCGATTAAAGGCCCCGCCGAGCCGCCACGATGATGTCCCTCCGCTCTCTCCTCGGTGCCTCCACCGGCACCCTCCGCCAATACCTCCCGCAATCGATATCCCGTCCGACATTCTTCTCCCGCTCGTTTTCCAGGCTATCACTTGCAAATGGGCTTCGGAGTTTGCGCTTGCGATCTGAACAGAAGCAGACGCAGGTTGCTGGTATTGGAGCTGTTGGGGCCAGGCAGATTGAGCAGGTTCGGGGGATGAAGACGCGGTCGTCGGTTAAGAGGCTGTGTGATGGGTGCAAGGTATGATTTGCTTGGTTTTGTTTGTGGGGTTTGTTATGGGTGGTTTGGGTTGGTGTGGTGTGGTGCGATGCGATTCAAGACTGGGATTGAAGGGGGACCTTTGGGGAATGAGTCGAGATTTCAGATGTGAAGCTAACTGTTGAATTGCTACAGCCCGTCCGGAGAAAGAACAGGGTTTATATCATTTGGTGTGTTTATCTTGTGGTTAGGATCTGGAGAATCAAAACTAACAGCGGTTCCTACAGCTCCAAGAACCCCAAGCACAAGCAACGGCAAGGGAAATAAAGATCGAATAACGGAATCGATTCATCACGGCTTACCACATTAAAACGCTACGAAGGTGCATAGTATCGGATGATTATGTACTATTTGATATCTAGAACGCTTCGTGGATATGCGGCTTTTCATCTCGACGCCTGGAATGTCTTTGTCTTTTTCTTTTTTACTGCTGGCTGGTCGCGGCGTACGTTACATTGTACATTAGGTTCATCATCAAAAGGTCACTATGGAATGCTTTTTTTTCTGGTTTTGGATTGGAATGTATCTTTCTGATGTGTAGCCCTACACGTACATTGTGCATTGGTCTGTCTGCTTCAACTCATATTATGATAGAATTCTCTGTCGAGACTCGAACCGACTGCCATTGATATACCTACCACGCTACCACGCCCCAAGAGGCTCCAAATGTGCCTTCATATCATCCGCCTGAAGCTGATGATACTTCGAGGTCGGATGGTAACTATTCCACCAAATACAACTATGCCCATCATCGTTAACGCAAGTGGCATTCGGAAAGCCATAGCTCTGGGGCTTATCCAGCACCTTGGTCATAAATGACCATGAATCATATAGCACAGTGGTTGTCTGCGTTCGTTTCGTCAGTTTCTCTTTTCTCCAGGAGAGGTACAGGGATACGTACATCTTTATGGCTGGTCGTGAAGTTCTTCACCATCGACTCGACGTTCTCGTTGAAGACTGAGAGGTATTTCGCATGCGATTTGGCGGCCTCTTTCCCTTGACTCTGGATCTCAGGCGTACGGCTAACAGCCGGCACATTGAGGAAGAGGAACTTGCGGCCACCGTCACGGTAAATCTTCTCGACCAGCGATCTATATCGCGCAATCAACTTCGACGTAAATGTCTCGGCATCCGTATTTGAGTACGCATTTCCAATACTATTTACCACGTTAGCAACCCTACCCTCCCACATATACCAAAACAGAAGAGGTAACAAACATACTCATTAATTCCAATCCAAACCGCAAAAATTGCGTTCTCACCCGTCCACCCCGCAGCATCCTTATCAGCATACGTCGACTGAAACACATCAAACTGTGAGACAAGATCTTTCGGATTCCCGGATACAAGGGTATTATCGATCGTTGCGCCGCCGACAGCAAGGTTGTACGAGAGAACCAGAGAGGCGTTTTGGGTGGCTGTTAGGTAGCCGACCCAGTTTGTCCCACCGGCTGTTGTGCCGGTTCCTGTGTGTAATGTGAGTGCTGTATTTGCTAGGGAGGAAGTTATTGACACGAACCTAAGGAAGGGTTTCCCATGGGGTTGGAGGCGGATGGGGCGGTTTTGTTTGGGGAGAATGTTGTGTCTGTGTAGGAGTTTCCGCTGTCATGATATTAGTCTCATCAATTCCTAGAATTCGAAGAATATCCTTACAATGTAAAAAAGTATGTGGCGTCGACATTCTGTCGTGGTAGAGGCGTTGCAGTAGCAATACCAATAATACTGGCTACCAGCCAAATAAAATGAATTTTCATATTCGTACTAACTTGACACTCAAATTGTACAAAGAACAAAATCTTGTCAGGGGAGAATCTAACAGGGTTCTTATATATATAAAAAACCAGCATCGTCTCAGGCTGTATACACCCCGTATGGCTGCAACACAGCCTCAGCCTTGCCGTAAACCCTGCGCCATGATTTCAGCTCAGCAACTATGTTGGGAATTAATTGCATCGTATTCTCCCCTCAGGAATGCATCGGATAAATATAGGCTTTAGTTTAGATTGGTGGGTTCTGCGGGGTGCATGTTAAGGCGTTTTTGTATATGCCGTTTGTCCGGCCGAGTTAATAGGCTAATTGTTACCGATTGATAGATGCGGAGGATGAATATTGTACATGAAGCTTTAGCTGTTGCAATCGGGGTGGGATAAATTGGATGTGTGGCAGGGTCTCATTGAGATCTGCTGGTGTTGCCGAGAGTAAATGGTTGATACTTGATCGCCGATGCCATGGTCTCCACGGGCTATTCTTATGAAACAGGAGGTGCTTGGGACATGACAACATGGAACACTTTTATCTATATCTTTTCTATGTACAAGATCTATCATACCGAATCCGGAAGCAAGCAATACATCACATCATGAAAACGAAAAGGAAAAGGAAAGGAATCACTCACTAACCCTCACCATCTCCATCCCAACCCCACAAACAAGCAACTTCAACCCCTCCCCCTCATCAGCATCCCCCCGAACAACATCCAAAGCCGCAATATCCGCTACAGGACTGTAATGATCAACCACGTTCCTCACACTAATCGCCTCCACACCCCCTTTTGCAGTATCCAATTTAACCGACCAGACTTTAACCCGGTGGTCGTTGCCCGAGGAAGCAATTGTCAAATCAACCGTTGTGTTTCCGTTGGCAGATCTCCGTTGTGAGATTATCTTGACGGTTGTTACGGATGCGGTGTGGGCGTCAGGGATGCTAACCGTGTGAACATGGGTGGCTTCGTCGGTGGTAGTGGTGAGGGATGTGTGGAGGAGGGAGAGCGTGAGGGCATTGTCGTCGCCGCCGGCTACTATCAGGGAAGTTGTTTCTGAGACGGGTACTAGTTCCAGGGACTTGATGCTGTTGGAGTGGATTTGGTAACGGCTTTCGCAGGTGATGTTTGTCGGGGTGGTCGTGGGTTCGATGGGTTGTTTTAGGGATAGGTTTGATGCGGTTATTGTGTAAAAAGGTTCGAGTACGGAGGTTAGGTTCCAGAAAGTGAAGTGTCCATCTGTGGAGGCGGTTATTAAACCCATGAAAGAGTCTTTTTGGACGAATTGGGCTTGTGTTAGGCAGTTGCTCATGTAGGTGCCCTTGGCTAGGAAGGTGAAGCCATTTTCGATGGATGGGGAGTAATGGAAGATCTATCATTGTCAGCATTGGCTCAAGCAGGCTTATTTTTGGACCTGAAAAGGACTCACCTTGATCACAGAATTTGGGAAAGCCAAGACAATCAGAAAACCACACTTGCCATCCCGTTCCTGAATCTCCAACGTATCGAAACTAGTCACTCGGCACTCCGAATCTGGATCCTCCTTAGGGGCCACGCCCGTGAGCAATGTCGCAACTCCAAACCGAGGAATCCACTGTATCCTCCATGCAAAGAACTCCTCATACCCAGAACTCGTAAAGAGGTACTCCCCGTTTTTCGACCATCCCACCTGCTGCAACCCAGCCCTGTGCTTTTTCAAAACCCGCAGGCTCTTAAATGCACCCCATAGGTCTTCCTTGCCGGGCTGCATCGGTGCGAACAGACGCACAGTGGTATCCTCAGCTCCCGTGGCAAAAATGGTGTTCTTCCCTGCATCAGTGGTATTAAATGACTCCATGGACTTTATCTCCCTCCCATGACCACCAGCACGCAATGGATGACTAGCCTCAGCGTATACCCGCCGACAATTAAACCCAGACTGATGCCAAATGAATAACCCATCACCCGGATTTTCAAGGCTAGGCTGGAAAGCCCAGTTCCGACGTGCACCACCGCAAAAGAATCTAGTGACTTCGGATTGCATTGTCTCGTTCCAGACGACAAAGTCCATGCCACGAAAGCCGTAGAGCATAAGATTGTCTGAGGTTTTGTCAAAGTATGTGCCTTCTACGTTCTGGTTTGCTGCTGGGGAGGAGCGGTGGACGGTTTGGAAGTTAAAGAAGTCGATAGAGGGGTTTGTGGTGAGTTCGTGGACGCAGTATTTTCCATCGCGGCCACAGGTTAAGAGGTAGTCGGTAGATGAGCCGTCTTTGTGAGTTTGGGGTGAGAATGGTGTGATGTGGTTGACACCTTCGTCGCCGTGGATGAGACGGACGCTTGTGACTGGTCGTAAAAGGTCTCCGAAACAGTCGCCAGTGCTTGGGATTCGGTATATAGCAAGCGAGCCATTCTTGAATCCCAGAACCAGATATCGACCACCGCAAACGAGAGAGGCACATTGCGCCTCAGAAGGATACAGAAGGCATAAGGGTACGTTTTGCACATGTGGCTCTGAACCCTCCTTTCTTGTGACTCTGAAGAAGTTTGCCCTATCGGTAGTGACGTAAGAAGCGACAAACGAGACTGTGTCGGAGGGACTAGACAAATTCGGATCAGAATCCAAGGCAAAAATCCCAAGCGGTCTCTGATCCGTCTGGACAACCTTGGCCAGTGATTTGCTCTGGTGATCATATAAGCGAATCAATCCTCGCGCATTGCCCAGTAACGCCACCCCTTTTGATGGAAGACCAGAAATAACAGAGTATCCACGGAGATCGTCCTCGGCGCAGAGAATCTCCTTTGACACTTCAGGCTGCATACCGAGTTCAGCCACATTATGAAGTCCGACATGTCCCAGTTGAACTTCTCCATTCACAGAAGTTGCAATAAAACAACCCGGGGCGATAAAATCAAACGCTTTGAATGGCACTTCCTTCTTACTTTTCTTGGGTTGGTTGTTGGAAGGAGCAGGTGCAGTAGTGCTGTTTGATACATTCTCTTCCTCGTCGACCTTGAAAGTTTTGATAGCGCCATCGTTGCCACCAGTGTGGACGACAACCCTACTTTCGACCTCATGCATACTCAAAGAAAAGATATGCTTTCCAGTGTGATAATGGAAAGACGAAGTTTCACGTAGGCCAAACTCCGGAACTTGAGAGGATTGTTTCCAGGTCAAATCCCATAATAGGCACTGCGCATCCTCGCCACGTGATACTAGCCGTAACTTGCCATGCTCCGCCATCGCTGTCGGCATGAAATGAACACCCCATATCCGAGCAATATGACCAAAGGCTTTTGCAATGCATGGTTCTGAACCCAGTTCCCGAACAGCACCAAAACCCGTACTGCGGAGTTCGAATCCGTCTGTCGAATAAGCCGATGGATCATTGGGAGATGCACTGCCGCAATCGGATATGTCCCAGATTCTGACGGTTCTATCATCGCTACAGCTAGCCAATAGCCGGCCTGGCCTGTTTCCCAGATTAGGGATCGTGGGCGAGATTTCAACGCCGAAAATGGACCCCTCATGTCCTGTGAAGAAGTGGTGAATGGAGCTGACTGCGTCGCAACAAAGGCTTTCAGGGCTGTTGATAAAACATGACCATACGATGATCTCACCAAAAACAGTACCAGCGGCAACTAGAACGTGGGATGGTGAAAGTTGAACCGTGTGTGCCGAATAGAGCATGGACTTGACGCTCGTTCCCAGCTGATGTAGATGGAGGGCATTTCCATATTTGGATGATGAATCTGCCTGGATGACATGTAAAGCGATGAGAGCATTATGCGCCGTGACAAGATAAGCGCATTGCTTGTCGTCCTCGTTCGAAGCACATCCGGCTAGAATCCAATCCGGCGCTAGGAATTCCGAACTTGCTGTTGACAGCGTAGTCTGGTTCCCATGGACCAGATCAATAGCCCTAACCGATTGCCCTCCCCATGCTACCAATTGGACATGTTCTGCATTCTGTGCTGCCTGGTTGAGAATCACGAATCCATGGATGTTGTTTCTCTTGAAAGCCTTCAGCTCAGCGACAAGCTTGCCGGTGTTCTCATCAATTAGACAACAAAATGGGCCTTTCCCCTGCAAGATGTATCTCTCATCTTTCACTTGAAGCGTTTTCAGTGCCGTAATAGGAAGGCAGGCACCAACGTGCTAGTTGAAGTCAGCGTTATGTCTTACAGCGCCAGCATCGGAACGGCCACTAACCTCCAACGAGGAATGCATTGACGCCACGACAGCGCACAGTTTGCCTACGGTAATTTCGTAATATCTTAATTTAGAATAGATCGCACGTTAGATCGTCTCTTGATTCCCCGCGTGAAATTCCAAAAAATTCGGATTATGTCATCTGCCCTGGCACGGCGCTTTTCCAAATACGGCAGTATTAGGCACGTGATCTCGCGCATCTCGTATCGGAGTGGCGACGCGGAGAACATCGCCTCGATGACTCGACTTGTTTGCCAAAAGCTGTCACTGCGTGCTTTTTTGCTACATAGATCTCCTGTGATACGGGGTCGGACTACCATGCTGTCATACTTGCCAACTTCATAATCCTATGACGTCCCCATACCAATATGGGTGTAACTGGGCTGTGGACAGTCGTCCAGCCCTGCGCACGACCTATAAAACTCGAAACACTCAATAAGCGGCGCTTAGCAGTCGATGCGTCGATTTGGATATACCAGTTCCTAAAAGCCGTGCGTGACAAAGAAGGGAATGCATTACGCAACTCCCATATTGTTGGGTTCTTCCGCCGGATATGCAAACTGCTATACTTCGGGATCAAACCGGTCTTTGTCTTCGATGGCGGGGCACCGCTGTTGAAGAGGCAGACTATCGCTGGTAGACAGAAGAGGCGGGAGGGGCGGAGAGAGGATGCTGCGAGGACGGCGGGGAAGTTACTGGCTGTACAGATGCATAGGAGTGCGGAGGAAGAAGCCGAAAGGCGGAGGAACAGGGCCCCTAGGGAAGAGGAGGACATTTCTGATAATCCGGTGTATGCGGGGGAGGCGTTTATGACGGATGGGGAAAAACGACAGGCTCGGCAGTTTAGGAAGAAGGATGCTTATCATCTTCCTGAGCTTGAGATTTCGCTGGAGCAGATGGGTGCGCCGAATGATCCGCGTATTATGTCCCATGAGGAGCTGGAAGAGTACGCGCAGCAGTTTTATAGGGGTGAAGACATTAATCTCTACGACTTTTCTAAGATCAACTTTGATAGTCCATTCTTTATGAGTCTGCCTGCTACGGATCGGTATAACATTCTCAATGCTGCGAGGCTCAGGAGTCGACTGCGTATGGGGTATTCCAAGGAACAGTTGGACAATATGTTCCCGGACCGCATGGCGTTCTCCAAGTTTCAAATCGAGCGGGTGAAAGAAAGAAACGATTTGACGCAACGATTGATGAACCTTAACGGCATGAATGGGGAAGATGCTTTCTACAACTCAGGACAAAGGATTGCGGGAGAACGCGGCAAGGAGTATGTTCTGGTGAAAGACCCCACCAATGAAGGTGGTTGGGTACTTGGTGTCGTTGGTAACAAGGACGAAGGCGGGGCTGAGAAGCCTATTGATGTTGATCAGTACGGGCAGCAGCAAGTGCTTTTTGACATGGGAGAGTCGGATGACGAGGGAGGATTTGAGGACGTGCCTATTGAAGGCCTGAACAGACTTCCGAAGTTATCATTTCTTCAGAAAGGTGCTTTTGACGAATCGATCAAGGCTCGACGAGAGGTACCTGGCGCAGTCGAAGACGATTCACTTTTTGTACAAAGCGACTTGGATGATCGTCGTGGCATTGACAACATTTTTGAGGACGGGAATGAAGATGAAGAGCTCCCAAAGGCAATCGCCATGTCGTTAGAAGCAGCTACAGAAGTTCAACATGACCACGATCTTCCAGAAATCTCAGTCAATCGTAGTGCTGCAGCACCGGCACCACTTAACGAAACAGAACCCAGTTTTATGCCACCGGAGAGTGATGATGAGGAAATGGATTTCGCGGCTGCACTAGCGCAGACAAAACGACCGAAAAGAGAAGCACCGCGTCCCCTGCCTGCGAACCCGTTCGGGGGACCCTTACCGTTCGAATCCATCAAACTCAAGCCAAGTGCGGAGAAGCACCAGGTGGTTGGCGAAGATGCAGGTGGCTTTGTGAAAGAACCTGCTCAGCCGGCAAAGGCGCCAGCCAAAGAGCAATTGCCGCTTCCACCGTGGTTCTCTGATGAACACACGAATATCGAGTTTGTCCCTGATAAAGTTGATGATACTTCGCTGGAAGGCTACCGGGACAGCATAATGACACCGAACCATCAGTCGTTGAAAGATTATCGGTCTCCAGATGTCATTGATGTTGATCAGAAACCGGAGGCTAAGGAGACGGATTTCAAGGAAGTGATCGATCTTGAGACTCCAGCAGAGAAGGGAACTACTGAAACTACTGGACTCTCAACTGCGGACAAGGAAGATGTTACAAATGTGGCGCTGGAAGAGACTCAAATTTTGCTGCCAAAAGAGGGCGTCGTTGCAAAAGAGCCTTACGAAGGACCTACGGAAAGTGAGAAGCCAAGCCCCGTTGTTCAAGGGGGCATCGGACAAACAGAACCATCTCCCTCACCAGAGTTTGAGGATGTTGCAATCCAGCCAGAAAAAACACCTAGCGTTGAATTAGAGCCTCAGCCAACAACCGAGTTCAATCAGCAGGATGCCCTCTTTGTAGAAGAAGGGGACGAAGAAAGAGAACAACAGGAAACTGCAATCGATCTCGAGGATGGAGACTTGATGCGACAACTTGCAGCAGAAGACGAGGAGCATGCTCGCTTCGCAGCCACACTGAATCCCACAGCATCTGGTCAGAGCGCTGCAGAGTACGAGCAGGAGCTTAAGCAGCTCCGCTCCCAGCAGAAGAGGGACCGCAGAGACGCAGACGAGGTTACACAAGTCATGATCTCGGAATGTCAGCAATTGTTGGCGCTTTTCGGGCTGCCGTATATTACCGCGCCTATGGAAGCCGAGGCGCAATGCGCAGAGCTGGTCTCGCTCGGCCTTGTCGACGGTATCATCACCGACGACAGCGATATTTTCCTCTTTGGAGGGACGCGCGTGTACAAGAACATGTTCAATCAGAGCAAGTTTGTCGAGTGTTATCTAACATCAGACATGGAGAAGGAATACGCGCTCCATCGGAAGAAACTCGTCAGCTTCGCCCATCTCCTTGGGAGCGACTACACAGAAGGCATCCCAGGAATAGGCCCCGTCACAGCATTAGAGATCCTCACCGAATTCTCCGGTCTCGAAGAATTCCGCGACTGGTGGACACAAGTCCAACTAGGCACAGACATGTCCACAACCACCCATCCAACCTTCTACAAGAAATTCAAGAAGCACGCCACCAAAATCTTCCTCCCCCCATCCTTCCCCGACACCCGCGTGGAAGAAGCCTACCTTAAACCCGAAGTCGACTCCGACCCATCCCTATTCCAATGGGGCGTGCCCGACCTGCACGGACTCCGGAATTTCCTCATGGCCACGATCGGATGGAGCCAGGAACGCACGGACGAGGTGCTGGTGCCGGTGATTCGCGATATGAACAAACGGGAGCAGGAAGGGACGCAGGCTAATATTACGAGCTTTTACCGTGGGCCTATGGGGGCGGGGGCTTTTGCGCCGAGGGTGCGGAGTGGGGGGAAGAGTCGGATGGAGAAGGCATTTAGTCGACTGCGACAGGAGGCTGCTACAGGGCAGCCTGATGGAGATATCATTGATGCTGATGTCGATGTCGATGCAACATCGGGAGACAACCCTTCTCCACGTTCTGCTTCTCCTGAGCGTACCACCGGGCAGAAGGGCAAGGGAAAGGGGACCAAACGAGGAACCACTCCCACGCCCCAGGTCGATGATGCGAGTAAAAAGCGAAAAACCAGAAAAAATGCCAAAAAGTGATGCCTAGTGGTTGTGGTTTACACTGGGTTAGTGGGGTAGACCGAGAACTCCACCGGGTCTGGCGAAAGAGATTTGATATCGAATTGCAACATGCGAACAGGGCGAGTGTTCCTGGAGATCTCAGCGATCAGTCGATCATCCGATATCTACTCTGTACAGCAAGCAGTACATCCAGCATAATATCTGTGCTGCCTTCAATCTTGAGGTGTAAATAGAACTAGTGTCTAATTGACTTTATGACGGAGTTCAGGGGTAGACTACAGTAGTTAGTATCTTAGATGACTGTATCATCGCCGATGGCCAGCGCATGACATCATGTTCCCAACCATGACGTCGCAGCTACCAACCACCGCCCAAAAGGGGAAAAGCCAAAAAGGAATTATTGTTAAATACGACCTTCTCCTTTCCACTTTCTACCCGTGGTTCTTCAAGTCAATTCATCACCATTACTTACTTATATACCCAACCCAATCCGGTAATATAGCCGACGACGTCACGGGGCTCTTGCCATTGCCGCCCAACTCGCATCCACCAGTCACCCATCTTAACTGATCACCGTCTTCCTCCGCTTGCGGCTCGGCTCTTCCGTCGCATCCCGTTCATCCTCTGGTTCCCTATTGACTCCTGCACGTCATCTCTGCGCAAAGGACCAGTCCTTCTGAGACCTCCCCTCGATCAATTATTTCCCTTGGTCTCTCTCTCCCCTCCCATTCCTCCCTACTTATCCGCCCTCCACCCCTGATTTCGCGTCCGGTTCCTATCCCGACCGTCCGATTCCTCGTGTACCTACCGAAGTCGAAGTCGAATCGAAAAGGAAAGAGAAGAGGATCACAATGCATCGCACCTATTCTATGCGCCAATCGCGCGCCCCCACGGCCTCGCAGGTCGAGAATCCTCCCCCGCCGTTGTCCACTACGAAGACCAACAGATGGCTCGGGAAAGGTGGTTTGGGTACGTTGATACCTACATGCTGGGATTGAGGCCAGGCCAAGCTAACAGTGATGATCGAACAGGCCATGCCTTCCGTAAGAACACCGCCGGTGCTTTCGGTCCCGACCTGGCCCGGAAACTCTCGCAATTGGTCAAGATGGAGAAGAACGTCATGCGCAGTATGGAGTTGGTCGCAAGAGAGCGGATGGAGACTGCCGTATGTACTGTCTATTAGTGATTGGGATGATATGATATGCTGACGATGACAGCAACAACTTTCCATCTGGGGCGAGGCCTGCGATGAAGATGTCTCGGATGTTACCGATAAGCTGGGTGTTTTGCTCTACGAAATTGGTGAGCTAGAGGACTTGTTTGTCGACCGTTACGACCAGTACCGTGTCACCATCAAGAGCGTTCGTAACATCGAAGCCTCTGTCCAGCCTAGCCGCGACCGTAAGCTTCCCTCCCCCCCCTTTTGGTCTGATACAAAGTCATATCTAAACGACCTGCAGGCAAGCAGAAAATCACCGACGAGATCGCCAAGCTCAAGTACAAGGATCCCAATTCGCCTCGCATTGTCGTTCTTGAGCAGGAATTGGTCCGTGCTGAGGCCGAGTCCCTCGTCGCCGAGGCTCAGCTGTCCAACATCACCCGTGAGAAGCTCAAGGCCGCCTTCCAGTACCAGTTCGATGCTCTCCGTGAGCACTGCGAGAAGGTCGCTGTCATTGCCGGCTACGGCAAGCACCTTCTGGACCTCGTTGACGACACTCCGGTCACTCCCGGTGAGACCCGTCAAGCCTATGACGGATATGATGCCAGCAAGGCCATCATCCAGGACTGCGAAGATGCCCTGACCAATTGGGTCTCCTCCAAGGCTGTTGTCAAGTCAAACCTGTCCACCCGTTCCCGCACTCTCTCCCAGCGCCACCGCGACAACACCTCCCGGACTCGTGAGGGAGTCGACCTCTCCTCTCAAGACCAGCCCTTGAAGGACCGCGACTCGTGGGTTCCTGCTGACCAACACCCCGGTTACCAGCCCGAAGATGATGGTGAAGAAGTCGCCAGCACCGTGGATGGCGAGACACCCCGGGGACGAGAAGAGGAGAGAGCACCAGTGGTCTCTGTCGTCTAGACATGCCCTTGAAAAAAAAAAAAAAAAAAAAAAAAAAGAAGACACTCGAGTCCATCCAACTCGAATAATACCGCCATACACGTTTTGGATTATAATGTCTTTCCCATGTTTGATGTTCTGCTTCGTCACACCCCCAATGAGTTCTGTGTTTCTATTATTTCTTTTCTTTCTTAATCCTTTATATATTACTACTTAATTACCAACCACCCCATGAAGGAAACGCTCGTCTTGCCCGTGCTTGTGCCTGATGTATCACTATTCTGATGTTTATTCATGATGTCACGACTACGGATTGCAAAAACGAACTAAAAAGGACAAGAAAAGCAAAAAAAGAAAGCGGCAGGGTTTCGGGCAAGTTTGAGCAGAGCATACGAGGGCTTCCACATTAATAAAGTAATACCATTTGTGAATTGAATTATGATCGTGGTTGTATGGGTTTTACTGAATTGATTGATGAATAGTTTATTCACAACGCATGTGTGTCAATTGAGCCAGGAGTAACTTGTAGACGATAGCATAGCACCAGATATCAGGGCGCTGACCGGATAGTAAACCTGAAGAAGCTGATATACCATGGAGCAACCGCTATCGTTCGAAACAGTAGAAGCCGTATAGGCTTTTTGCTTCTTCCATTATCCCATGGTGATTCCTGGCTCCCACGCCAGAGTCCTCCCACCGATGTAGACGACCATAGCGATGGAGAGGTAAATCACTGTCATATTCCAATTATGGTCGAAAACCTATCTTAGTCCGTATCTCGATATGCTGGATAAATACAAAGCGCTTTCATATCTGTCTGGTATTACCGGCCTTCTCTGGCCTAATTTCGAGGCTTCTCCTCCTTGAAGAACAGAAGTCCTTTGCCACGCTGGATCCAAACTTATAACCTTTTGCACTTGGCTTGATGTGTTCCAAGAAAAGGATGTAGCGGGAGCGTACACTTAGGACTAGGCAAAGTAGGACTACTTCAGTGAACAAGATGGTGTGAGAGCAGTTCTACCAATTTACTCTGACCCGGAAGAACTTCATTTTGAAGTTTTTGTGGACTCTTGAAGAATGCTCGTCTCTCGACAAGTAGTGAGTGGTGAGTAGTGTTGGCTGCTCAAGTCATCTCTTCATTCCCTTTAAATGGCTTTGCGATTCTCGTATGCACATCTTCTCATGAATACAACCACAGCCCAGGATCAGAACCTGGCCAAATGCTACATCCCAAGACACTCCCCATTTGATGAAGGCCGGTCTCGCTTCTCTCCACTAACGTCCGTGATAAGGGCATCTTGTTTGATAGGCGCTCGCATTACTCTAGAAGATAGCATGAAAGGATGTCTCCATTGCCTTCTGGTTTGTTGGTCACACATAGTAGCGGGCTCATTATAGCTTTGCATGTGTATACTTTTCCGTCTCGATCTGTTTGTTGGGTGTATAAAGCGCTGCTAAATGCCTGAGAGGGTTTTAATCTATTCTGGTCCATAAGAACCCGGACACGACAGGCCTAGCGCTTCCGTTGTCATCGGTCCAAAAATGCCTTGTGCGGTGGGCTTGGGTCATTTGGATTTGCGCTTGTCTTTGTCTTTCTTCCAGAGTTCCAGTCGTTGTATCTCCACGTTACCCATAGAGTGATGCGAAGCTAGCCCATGTCAGTCTAACATAAGCCAGCTAGCACGAATGATGGCTTAATGGAAAGCACTTCCTTGAGAAGTGTGCATCAACTACCTGTTCTGACAGGAATAGAATGTAGATCATCCGTCAACAACTCCCTTGCGCAAAAAATTGAGGTATCATATTAATTTTGATATGCTTAGTCTTCATTGTATCTCGGGTTTCTCATAGTGCAATTGCTGCTCAGCTGTCCACCTGGATGAATGTCAGATATGCTGGCTTTACCATCAGCCTGGACGCACTGGCGCTGGAGGTCAGTAAATCCCTGCTACCACTTGCTCATTTATTGCGCTTCTTGTTCTTCACTGTATCAGTGGTGACTGGATGGGATAACTCATAAACCACAAAGAGGCTTTAAAGCCGCCGGTTGAAACAAGTTGAGGACAAACCACATTGGCTTTTCACTTCTGCCACGATCTGTATGTTGGTACATCTGTAGAGTTGAGATGGCTTTATATTCTCAAACTTACATATTACTACTCTTATCTTATCAACTTCCTCCCTCTGTCCACAATAACCTCATTCCCTACCACTTGCTCATCTCCTCCATTCACAGCCAGATCTGCCATTACTGCCGCCAGCTCATCTGTCCGCACTGAAACTATCCATAACAAACATCGCAGCAGAGCACTTCCATTTTTTGCCAGAACTGCCGCCGGTCTCACAACATACGTCTTCACATTCTGGTTCTGCTTTCCAAACTCCAAGAAATTTGTCTGGGCAAGCCCCTGAGAGGAGTCAGTATATAACACAGTAGCACCACTGAGAATGAAAAAGGACATACCCGCACATGTCGTCCTTCAGAAAAGAACCACAAACTCTTCTCTTGGTCTGGCTCTGTGAAAGCGCCACCAAGATAGATGTATCTAAACGTCTTCTTGGCATCCAAGACCTTCAACAGCGCTTTCTGAAAAGCTTCTGGGTACTCTATCTCCACCACTGGATCCCAATCGTATGTTCCGATTGACCTTCCACAGTTAGAGTTATTGCGAGATAGTGGCATAAATGCTAACTGAGACGTACCATATACAAGCATCTGCACCCTTCAGCTGCTCTAAAACGGAGTCAGGGTACGAGTTGAAATGCTCCATAATAACCACTGTGAGTTTCGGGTTTGTAGCTGCTTCAGGGAGATCGCGGCGGGAGAGCGCAATAAGGGAGGTTATGGCAGGGGTTTCTAGGCACTGGTTAAGGACTTCTTTGCCAATGAAGCCAGTGCTTCCTAGGAGGATGATTTTCATATTGGTCAATGTGGGATTTAACAAGGATCAGCGTCTTGATAAATTTAGTGAGGTGAGCAATTGATGGAAGAGATGCAGGGTTGGGATTTAAGACAGGCTTCTGACTGACATAGTATGTACATAGTACCTCACCTACTTCTACCGTTTGCGGAGCGGAGTTGCGGAGCGGAGTTGGGTGGAGAACTCCGCCAGCTCTACGCAAGAACCTTCTCCACAGACAACAATAGCACTTGCAGAATATACCAATGTATCACCTATGGTGGAGGAGCCAGCCCCCGAATCTGCCTCCGCCTCGCGGCAGAAGAGCTGCAACGCCTGTGTGAAAGCTAAACGAGGCTGCGACAAGCGGCATCCGGTCTGCTCAAGATGCGAAGAGAAAAAGATTTCATGCAATTATGCCAAACGGTCATACGCTGAAGCTTTTCGGAGTGACTTTGACTTCGATCCAGTTGAGTCGGATATGTCCTGGGCAGGATTGACTGGTCCGTCGTCGTCGATTGATCTTGTTGATTGTATCCCAGCTAGCCCCGCCACTTGCCTGCCGACCTTCGAGTCATTCATCGATCCGTTCCTGACATTTGCAGACAGCCAAGCCGCGACATCTAGTGATACGCAGCTCATTAGCAGTGTCAGTGCCCGTAGGCAGCTCGGTCAACAACAGGAGAATCAACAGGGACTCAGCAAGTTTGATTATGCTCCAATGGCTGATATATGCGTTCGTTACTCCCATAATGAAGTCAAAAAAGATGGCACGCTAATAATCAACAAGATACAATACGAACCATGGCAGGTCTACGACCCAAACACCAAGGCGCATTTCATTGTCCAAAGCCTGAAAAGCTATCCCAGCACTTTCGCCAAAGACAGCCACACGCCCTGGATGCATGGGTATCTGTACAAAGACCAAATGCCGTCCTCAATACAGTCCTGTTTCACTGTAAGTGCACTTTACAGCAACATGACGAGCAACAACAAGGCTTCGGTATTCAGAGTTCTTTACCAAAGTCTGAACGAGTTGAAGCAACAACAGCAGTTGGCAAATACTCCTTTGGAGAAGCTGGCAAGGGCCCAGGCGCTGTTCTTATATCAGATAATCTGTCTGTTTGATGGGGATCTTACTCTAAGATCTGATGCCGATCGGGACATGCTGTTATTGCAGGACTGGTTGGATGACCTGTGCAAGATTAGAGAGAACCTTAGTACGCTAGAGAGTGATCGTCCAAAGTCATGGGAGGTGGGTGCTCCAATACTTCTTTCTTATTCCCCTCCCTCACTGACGGCCAAAGTGGTGGATATTTTCCGAGTCTGTCCGACGAACCATCGTCATAGCCTATGCCTTCCTCGGGCTGTGGAATCTGATGTGCAAAAATAATGACCGTAAGTTGATCCTCTCCGCAATTCACTGACAGTCCAGTCTCCCTCGTTAACCAACCTGCATGGCAAAGACGTATATTTTTCTGCTTGGAAACACCTTCACTGCTGGACTATGTCTCGGCCCCTGTGGGAGGCAACATCATCCTTCGACTTCTATCTGAACTGGAGGGACAAACCGCATCACATAATTGAGAATTTTGAGCTTGAGAACTTTCTCAAAAGTGGGAGCGCCGACGATGTCGATGGTTTCGCCAAAGTCCTCATGGTAACGTAGGTAGTCCCAGTCCTCTATCAGCATGTGGTTGTTTGCTTACCTTTGACACAATCAGTTATATGGGCTTGGATAGGACGAAGCAATGGTTCATGGACAAAGGTTCCGTATTTTGAGTCTAAGCATCATTTACAACATAACAGAATTCTTGCTGGGCTGTGGATATTTTACCATTATTTATTTCAACAGTGTCGGGTTCATCTCGCATTCATGTACGATTCATCATTGGCAAGCATCATTTCAATTCATACCTAAATAACGTATCGGCCATCATCTTTCTGACCTCGATCCAGCACCCATATAGGCCAACACCAACGTGAAATACACCATCACAACTACTCATAGGTTATCGCTGCTTCCACTTGCTTGAGCTTGTGCCGGAGTCACTGTGTAATTCCCTTCTCCCGCAATAACAACAGTACTACCATCAACACCAGTGATGGTGCAAAAGCCGCCTCCATTTGAGTAGATACTCTTGACGACCGTCGGATTATCTAGGGGTGCATTAGCACGCGTTTCCCTTTCTCCACCCTGTTTCCAATGGGTAAGATTCAGGAACTTACCGATTTTAACTAGCGTGGTATCTGCAGGAAATGTCTCGCTGTAAGAAGATCCGTCAACGCCGTAGAAGGTCAAGCCCACATTGAAGACTTGTTCTTGATGGGGTTCGCGCTTGTAAGAGCTACAAGGCTGGACAGGCTGGCAGCAATAAATGAGGGCTTCGTTTTTATTGTTGTTGGAAGATAGTGGTTGCAATCAAAATTGTTTGAAATGGGAGTGGGGGAAATGAACGTTAGGTTTTTGGTGTATTTAGCAATGCTTATACTGAATGAATCTGGACTGAGTGATATCAAAGCAATGCATGCTGGGGATATACTTGATAATTATATTATATGATACGAGAGAAAAATCAAAGCATGGATATGGCTGCTCTTCCACTCGTATTCAACATGCCACGTATAGACATCAAAAACCACGAGCTTATCATTAGCCTTTGCAGATCTGTATCATCCATCGACATCATTGTCCCAATCGTGTCTTGGAGGGAATACAAAGGTGGCCATAATCACGGCTCAATGCATAGAGAAGCATACGTAGTATCATGTATTTGCCACTTAAATAAACCCCATCTTAAGAACAGGAAAATATCAGTGAATCTTAGTGAGTTATACAGCCCCAAATGTAAGCAAAGCCATCCACGCAAATCATCATGTTATGGTTTAAAGTGACAGATCCAGAAAGTACACATCGTAAGTTTTGGTTGAACAATTCGCCAGCAGCCTGCTCTGTTAGGGATAGGGTGGAGATAAGGTAAGACTGATTTATTGGTAGTTTTTTTTTTTGGCGCTGACCGGCCGGGGCGTCGGGGTCAAAATCGACCAGACTGACCACAACATTGTATCCCACCACATCGACTTCAACATCGTGCCTATATCCACGAGATACCTTCTCAACATTGTCACGGCTTCCCATAGTCGATGTCATCTCCGGACGTCTTCTCTCATTGCATTGTATGGCAATGGATGAAATGTATTTACTATATGATGCATAGCATGTATCTTCTGGACCTTGCTGTTTCTCTTAGTTAACAAAGCAGACTGTGTGCTTCGTTATCGGTATACCTCATTTGTTTCTTTCAGGAGCATGTCATGAACTAGGTCCCTGCGGGACCTAAAAGACTATTGGTGTTGAGATTGGACTTGTAAAGTTTGCGCAATGCAGCTTCAGCTAACTCTCCAGTGATCAATCGGTAACCCCTGCTTTCTTTCAAAAGCAATTACCGTGCGCTGGGCATATATAATAGACGGAACGTCTTAAAGAGTCGTAAAGGAATCATCGCAATGGCCAGGTAGATTATTCTAAGTTGGGTCTAATTAGCATGTCAAAAAAACGTCTTTATCATGAAAATCATAAGAGACGGAGAGTGTGATGAAGAACAGAAGATTCGATGCACACCCACAGATACCCGAGATGGATGGCTCGTACTGTTCTCTTTTTGGTATTCATTTGAGCAATTAGGTAGTTGTGTCTTTCTTCTTTAGTCTAGGGCCTCAGAATATTTTCCGGAGGACAAGCTGAAAAAGAAGCATCGAAGGCCGGTAGTATCTTCGACACAATGTCTCGTCCCAGCCATACGAAGCCAGTTCATCAAGTGATACGATCCGGAGAGGGAACCTCAGATAAGCTGGTTTAACTCCCTATTCAGCGCGAAGCTCTCGCTTTTTCTCAGAAAAAAGGAGGGGTAGATCGTCGTATGGCATTTAGAGTACTGGGCAACAGTCGGCAGCGCCGTCACAGCCGTTATAACTACCTTAATGACGTGGTCTTTCTCGTCAAAAGAACCTCTGCAAGGCGAATGCTGTGTCCAACGGCATATCTTTAGCATCCATCAACAGGGTGATAAGATACTAAACATTCATCAAAAGCCCATAGACGCAAACTAACTGTAGGACGGCAAGCCAAACGACATGCACTTAAGGCATAGCCAACAAACCAAGGCTCATGGAGAGTGTGGGGAAAATAGATCATCGCTCAAATATGTGCTGTTCTGGGGATACAGCCATGGTAGCCCGATTCAGACGAAGCAGTCATTGTACATGGCTTTTGTGGCCGGAATGGGCAGAGACAATGTCATGATCCTCATCCAGCCTCAGAATATTGAGTGTGGATCATCTGTAGGTAGAAAAGCGCAAGTTGCGTTCTGTGAGTTCGATGGCAACAAGCGAGCACAATGACAGCCTCCTTGGTGCAGTAGATAAGACCTGAGTAAGCCCAAATGGCTTGATACTCGGAGGACCCGGTATCGAGAATGAACCCATAGTCGAAGGAGACGGGTCGTGGTCATATTGAATGAGTTCAATGGACCGAAAGGCGCCATGATGGTAGACTGATTCGACTCAGTAGGACTTGAGTCTAAGTATAATGTCAACAAATAAAAAGTAGAAAAGTGAAAGAGGGAATGGGAAAGATCCACAGGAGCCAAAAGAAATGACCCTTGTCGGGAATAACAAGCACCATCCGGAAGCCAAGAACAATACTCTTTCTTACATTCACTTGTACTTGTCTATTCAATCTGCAGCATCTGATGCTGCAGATTGAATAGACAAGCTATGAAGGCCGATGTTTCCTCGAGATCATCCGATTTAGTAACTTGGTACTACCAGCACCAGGCATACAGGGTACGAAGTTGTGCAGATTCTTGAAGAGTGGATATCTCATTTCAATCTGATACTGGTAGTATATCCATCAATCAATCAACAACAGGGGAAATTAGAACCAATCAAAATCAAAGCGATCTTTATACACGCAACAAGACGAGTAACCAAATCAATCAAGAAAGCAGGCAATCAATGACAATAACCTCAAACCGCGAGAAGAACAAAAGACCCCCGTGTAATGTGGAGAAGCTCAAACTCAGCTCTCCAGATTCAAGCAAGCATCAGCAGAACAAAAACACGAAACACAAGTCGTGACATCGTTAGGTGATCCCATCCCAGATGATCGAATCAAACTGAAAAGAAAAGTAAAAAAGAGGAATGGAGCAGAGAAGGAAACAACACCCGCCAGTATATAAGGAAAACAATAAAGACAACATTACCCCAAACATGCAATGGTAATAGATGTAGGCAGCATATGAAGCAAAAGAAAAGCAGATATCAATATATGGTTTTTGATATTTATTTTTTGAATTTGGGTCGTTCAAGCGTCGGTCCCTACGCCCTTCTTTTTTGGCTGAATATGTTTTTGTCCGCTGCCCGTCGCGTTCGATGTCGACTTTTGGTTCTTTTCGGTAGTTTCGTTCGACGATGGGGTCGTACGAGAAGAAGTGGCATCATGTTTCTCTGTCAGAAGGTTCTTCAACCATCGGTTCTCCATCTCCAGTTGGGCAACGCGGGCTTCGAGGGCGGCATTCCTCTCGGTCGTCTCACGCACGCCCCGCTCCAGCGTTTGCTCCCGTTGCTTCTTCTTCATACGGAAGCGGGCGCTGGCGGCCGTGTTGCGCCGCCGCCGGTCTTCTTCGGCAGAATGCCGGGCATGTTCCTCTTGCCCGAGGGCGGAGGCAATACGGTCGCTGGGAATGGAAGTGCTGTACTTGGTATTCCCGATCTGACCGTTTGGTGGTGAGATGGACGACGAGACATCAGAAGGCGTCAAGGCGCCTGGTGCATGGCCCAGGTCGTCGGTAGTGTAAGGGATTGGTGGGTAGATCGGATGAGCCGAGTATGAAAGCATTTGGTCTGTAGGGAGAGAGTAGTTGATGGATTTGTCGGCTGTTGGATGATGTAAGTGACGGTCCAGATAAGGTATAATCAAACAGTGCAGTGTGAGGTGAGGTGATGAGTTGATAAAATATCAACAGAAGCAAGGTCTTCAAGGACATCCCCCGGATATAGGGTGCGGTTGATCAGCAACAACAGGGGACAGAAGCGCGAATAAGCGATGGATAACACCGGAGTTTCTCGACGGTGTCATTGGGGTACGCTATTGCGTGCTCAACCACCAGTGCTCTGCATCGCCCGACGCCCTTCAAAATGAGCAAGTGCAGAGGGCGATGAGGTCATGGCAGACAGGCAATTAAACAAGGGAGGGAAAAGTACGGGTGATAGAGAGAAATGAGTCAGGGAGGATGCAGCTGTGCTGGCCGGGCTGCTAGAGCCCATACAGCAACTGAGGATGCAGAGACACGTGGGTATGGCACGCGATAGAAAGAATTATTGTAATTCAGACGAAGCTTTCCCCAGACAGTATTGGACAAGTCAGACAGGCCGGATGGCCTCAGCACAAGCTCTGATGCTGCCATCGATCTCATGCACTGCACGAAACGAACCATAGCCCAGGGCGATGGCGCAAAAAATGCAACTTTTGAAATCATAGAAAACGAAAGAAAGGGTGTCCAAAAAAAAAAAAAAAACTCAGACTCACCATAAGGGTAACCTCTGAGATCCAAGGAACTGCGCTCGTCCTCGAGCGACTCATACGAACTGACCGAAAGACCACCCATGCCTTCCGTTTGGTCGTAATCCATGCTCACGCTATTATTGAGCGGTGGTGGTGGCGCCAGGCCGGTCGATTCAGCGTCAAAGGAATAATGGCGACTCTTAGCCAGGGCAGGGTCGTGACGAGAAAGGAGGAAATTGAAATTTTCCAATCTATCAAAACTCGGCGCAGGTTGACGGGGAAGATGCTGCTGTTGCTGCTCGTCCGCCATACTGACTGGTGGGTGTTGGAGAGATAGAGAAAAAAGAGACAATAGCAGGGGAGGGGAACTAGGTATGCACCTCGGATGCTGCCTTTCTCGTGTTTTCTTTTTTTAATCTCCCTACCCTCAAATCCTTTCTGTTTCCGGTTTTTCGATGGGTGTCTGGGGGGGGAGAAAGGAGTAAAAAAGGTAAAAAAAAAAAGACCACCACCACCACAAGGAAAAAGGAAAAAAGACTATCCCAGACGTGCCAAAGCTCCGGGTGAGAGGGGCACAATAAAAAAGATCGGAAAAATAATACAAGTACGAGAAAAATAGTTGCAGATGGATGGAAAGGTGACTTGTTGCAAAGAATTATATCGGACCTTCACTCACTCACCCACTCACGCCTGGACTCTCTGCGGCGCAATTGAACTAACGCGGAATAGAATGGGCCAGCCACGTACGCAATAGGAATCGTAGAGGGTTCGGAGAATAGCAATTAAGAGTAATAAATAGGAATTATATGGACGGAGATGAAACGGACGGCGGATGGAGCGAGAGAGTAGACGCGACGAATGGGAGAGAAGCCGGAATGGGATGACAGAGATCAAGGCGTCCAGGAGAGACAGAGAGAGACGCGAGAGACACAGCAGAGCACTGGAAGGAGACTGGGTATAGACTGTGATCGTCTCATGCCCTCAGAGGCTAATTGATGATCTGATGGAATGGAGAAATGTCGTGATCGCGCGCCCTGGTTCGCCAGTCACAAGCCGAGGATGATACACCGCTTTGGTATAAGCGTAGTTGAGAAGGATTAAGGATTAAGAAACATATACGGATAATAATTATGAGGGATTAAAAAGTGAATATAAATATGGAATTCGAAGGTCGAGGTTGAGGTGGAGTGAGAGAGAGAAAGTAAAGAACATTACTAGGAGGCCGAGGTGAATGCCCCGATTGATATACGGCCCTCCCTACCAATGTTCTGCCGTGTCTCCTGAACAGGAAATCAGGTTCAATGCTCCCGCGCTCCACACAGCCATTGCGTCTACTCTGAATAATGTTCCTTTGTTCTTCTGGTTGGCTTTCGAGTCTCTTCTCTGGTATTACTCCCGATTACCGGTACTAACCGCTCTACCAGCCGTTCTCATGACGCGGACTTGTAACACCCTGTATTGCTTTTTTTTTCTCCCCGCGCTCCACGGCGGGACAAGAAACATCGAATTGTACAACTCACTTTTCTCACTAAGGCATAAGTACTATTGTCCTTTCTATGGTACCATTCTAGCACTGACATCATTGAGGTCCCGTTCAACCCCAGTCTCGGACTTAACCTCGTCCGTGCTGAGTCTGTCTGCATATGGTCTGCCGTAACTCGCGTGGCTTCCGTGCTCTGTACTATTGACTCCTTTACTCTTCATTTTTTTGGTTTCGCTGAGTCTCCTCGTCCACTTCCTATGATTTCCGCTGCATCTTCAACCGTTGTTCCTCTCCTACGATCTCCAGTCTTTTCATCTCCCAACACTGTATCCTCCGCAATGTTCCGATACAGCTCCGCGAAACTATCATAAACGCCCGCTCCAATTCCGTCCCAGTGTCCCTCAGTATCGAATGCCTCTCCAATTGCTCGCATCTCGTCAACCCACCGATATGCCTTCGGAGCCATCCCAACGACGCCCTTTTTAGCCGTAGACCCAACGGCCGGTGCATACTCGTCCAGATGCTCAAGCAACTCCGGAAGCAACGATTCCCGCTGCGCCGTGGAGAACGACAGGATTGAAAGTGCGGTGAGTCCCTTCGTCAGGGCAGCAAACGAGAGTTTCAATGTCGATGCCGCTCCGATCTTGGCAGACACCAGTTTCATGTTCAGCACATCTGCCAATCTGGGGAATGAGGCGGAAAGTTCCACGTCACCCGAGATTATCAGACTGGGTTTCTTCCAGTGTCCTTCTGGTGAATTATCCGATGGTGGGGGTCCGATTATTCCTCCATCGAGGTAGTGGCATAACGCAGATTGATTCCCCGCAAACAGGGAACCCACTTCTGTTGATAGGCGAGATGAGTTGGCATTCAGGTCGAGATAGTAGGGTTGGCGACGTGTGGGGAGACCATCGATGTCCTCAATGCTTTGTCGCTTTGTACTCGTGCTGGGGAGCTGACATGCTGTTGCGACACGACGAGCCGTAGCAAGCGCATCCCTAGGGGGGACGATGGATAAGATGTAGTCAGAGGATACCACCAATTCCTCATCAGATTGTAGAGATTCGATCGACGCTGTCCGGATTCGGGTTAGAGTATGCTCACTATACGATGTTAGATACGACGTCCTGGGCAATGGGATTGACAGTGTACAAATACTCTGTACCTCCTACCCTCTCCCACAGTGAGAACACGATATCCATGAGCCTTGAGAAGCTTCGCGATACCAAGCCCCATTTCCCCAATGGAGAGGATTCCCACTGACACGGAACGCATTGTGGCAATCTTTGCCCGTACTGTCTGACTCGAACCGTTTGAGTAGTGCTCAAGTTTAGAATGGGGATGTATGAGATTGCTACAAATTGCGGGGTTAATAGCGATTTGTCAGCCAGCAATAACTATAACTAGTCATATCATTTATCCTTGTTGGAGATCTGACATGCATTGAAGCTTTTTAGTTTTTATGATCCTTGCTCTGTGTTCCGTACCCGGAGCACATGGTGGTGCTTCCAATTGGTGGGCGAAGAATGACCCGGATGGGCGCTCCGATATATATCCAGGAACTGGGTTTGATTTTTTTCATCGATGCTACTTATCATCAAGAAGTCTTATCACTGGTGAAACATCACCTACCCTACGAACGTCCGGGCAATATGGATTTTCTAATTATTGTCAAACTCCATCTGATACTCCCGACGAATATCGGGGCACCTGAGTCTCCGTGCGAGGCCGTTCTCATTTGATCACTTGGATACTCCGCAGGGACCCTCGAGTAATTAAGGACCATCTCTGGAATAGCATCATTGATCACTTTACAAAGACACATTCACAGTGATTGTTTAGGTAGACAGTAGCGTATGAAAGCAACTGAAATAATATTCGGCCTGACATATCAGGCACCGAAGGATATCCCCGCCAAGAAAATATCTTCCTCGCACGCGCAAGAGATCAGTTCATCTAATTTCACCAATTCTCCCATCATCGATCAATTGAAAGCAATCCAACTGTGGAAGTCTTTCTTTCTCTGGAAATATTCAGGACAATGGCTGTCTCATTACTTAAAATCATCAATCCCCGCTGCGCAAACCCGGAGTGTCTACGGGGTTAGAAGGATGGCTGGCGTTGCTTTTGAATAGTGGACACCATGCTGACATGATGACTGGTATGGTTATTAAGGGTCTCAATCAATCATTCCGGTATTTGACTGACGAGCATCAGATGAACCTCTAGTATTCCAGACGTCGATGTGACTGAGCCACGGAGCAAGTACATAGTAGTACTTTAGTATACCTCGAGCAGAATCAGATCTACGAGACACCTACTTGTACGGAGCACTACTCGACAGACTCCTGCCAAACTTTCACCCAGACAGGGTATTTATTCTACACAAACTACGCCTATCGGACTGGACCGACACCGGCTCCGTACCAAGTATTCTAAACGCCCCCGATTGACCAGACATCAGGGATTCTATTCTTTTTCTTCCGTCGATCTATCATTGAGAGAAAATTTCTTCGGCCATCGAATCAAGTCCAGATCTGGAGAATTCCAGGGACCGAAACGGAGACCCGGAGATGTTGAGGCCGACGTTCCGAATACAAGATTACTAATGCCCATGAATGATGGCTGTCAATGACGGCTCCGCTGTCCATCCAATTCTATTCTCCATTCTCTATTTGCCATCTCGCTTTTGCGATCTCTCTTGACATACCCTATACAGGTTGGAACGCTACTGCTCTAGGTCATTGAGCTATCTAGATTGCGACACTGCTGAAATAGCAAGATATCAGATAATCAGCTTTGATCGGGGTACTTCGGGCACTCGGCTTACCTCACTTTTCATTGCCATAATTTGCCATTCCATTGCCTTTCTTTTCAGAACCAGTAATCTTCATCCCCCAAACCACCCGCAAACCGGTATGACCCGCCTGCCCATGACCGCAGAATAGCAACTGCTTGGTTGAGAAACCATGCAAAATCCAACTCCCGGATTTGGGACCGCTCAGGATAGGCGCTTTGTGCCAAAGAGCGCAGCACCCAATATCAAGGGCCATGAGCCTCTTCCCCGAAGGCGCAATGCACTGGTAAGAGCCTGGTCCCTTTACATCATAGAGGATATAATAGTAAATATTTCTTCCTTTTCATATAGACGTGCGATATGTGCCACAAGAAGAAGACAAAATGCGAACTCGAAGGATCCAATACTGTCTGTATACAATGTATGCGCCGTAACACGAGATGCAACTATACCACAAAAAGGGAGAAACGAGAGAATATCAAGAGGTACGCCATCATCCTCTACATGTTGTGACAAGACCATAACTAAGACAAGCGAATCCAGATCGCAGTACGTAAAAGAACTGGAAGAACGCGTGAGAAGGACCGAGTCATTGCTCAAAGCAGCTGGACTTCTAGACGAGGAGAGTGCCGGACAGGGCGAATTCGTTGACGGTGAGGGGGATCAGCCAGACAGCGACAGCGAACGTGATAATGGCCGCGGGCATGAGGATTCGGAAACGGCAGATTGGGGTGTCATAACAGATAGTCAACCGCGTCGTCATTTGTTGGCGGGCCAGAAGTCAGGCTCTATGACAGGCAACCTTGATCGAAGCTCGTGCCCTCCACTCGGGCCAAAGCGTCCATCCACAAATCGTGAACGCAGACACTCAGCTACTGGCTGTAGTGACCTCCAACATGTTCCGGTTCTCAGGGCAGATGATAGGGAGGAGTCTCGATACTATGGTTTGTCCAGGATCTTACAAGACTTACGATGCCGTTGGTAACTGACTATGGCTATAGGACGATCTTCATTCATGTCCATTCTATCGCGACAAGGGATAGAATGGATCAAAGAAAAAACTGGTGACGTCAAATTTCTCAACTGTTTGACCACCGATTCGGATAAGGATAGCCCTTGGGATTACTGGCGGCCAGATGTGTTCCACGATCTGTTTGCTTCGCAAGTTTTCAAACCTCTTCCGTCAAGATCAGAAGTGTTTTCGTTAATGAAGGACTACTTTCGTACTTTGAACCGTTTATTCCCGCTCTACCATGAGGAATCATTCATGCGCCTGGTCGAATGGCAGTACACACAACAAACATGTGACGATGCCGCTCGCTGGGCGAGCATCAACATCATCCTCTCCTTGGCTTACGAATATCGCTTTTCCAACAGTCTGAAACCCGAAAGGGATAAAGAGAAAGCCTGGATGTACTTCAAAAACGCCATGTCGGTTTTCGTGGAGTTGACTCTCCGACGAACTGATCTGTTGAGTATACAGGCGCTGTTGGGTATGGCGCTTTTTCTTCGAGGCAACTCGGGTACGCAGTCAGCGTTGCCAATTATCACGGCAGCTATGAGATCTTGTCATCGGATGGGGCTTCATAGGGATCTTCCGAGACCCCACTTCTCGCCTGTTGAACAAGAGCAAAGGAAGAGGGTTTTCTGGATTGCGTATATCCTTGACCAAAGGTAGCTATCCTTTCCACATCATATTGTCATTTCTCATGCTAACTCTGACAGCACATGCGTCCGGTCAGGAAGCGCACCAACCCAACACGTCGATGACTTTGACGTAGACCTTCCTTCCGAAGAAGACGACGACCACCCGGTAGACAATTTCCAGTCCTTCTTCCGCCAACTCTGCCGCCTAACAGTCATAAAAGGCCGCATCTGCTGCAAACTCAACTGCACCAAAGCCCTAGACAACCGCTCCGTCGGCGAAATCTTCCAAATCATCGACGAACTGAATACTGAGCTCGAAGAGTGGAAAAGGAATGGCATCTTCGACCTCCAGTTGAAAATGAAGCCGGCGGGTGAGGACTTTCTGTTCGGGTTTGCGACGGCTGGTATTCGACTTGTTTATTATAATTTGTTAATCATGGTTCATCGTATCCCGCTGATTGTCCATTTTGTTCATGCGCGTCATATCCCGCCGGATAGACAAAAAGCCTCTGATTTACGACTAATCGCGAACCAATCCGCCACATCCGCAACAATCTGCCTTCAAGCAGCCCGAGACACCCTAAAACTCGTGAACAGCCTACCATGGGGCGACATCGCCTGGATATGGTCCCTACTATACTACGTCTTCCTCGCCGTGATAACCATCTTCGCACACGTAATGGAAGACAGCCGCCACCCAAAGGCCAAAGAAGACGTCAATCTGCTCAACATTGCCTCCACATTCCTGGGAACACTGATCCCCGCCGATGGCTCGTGCAAATACGCACGGTTCATGGCGCAGATGAGTGCGAATTTCGAACGGATTGCGCGGGCGAATATTGAGAGGTTTGAGGGGGCAGGGGAGAGTTTGGAATATCGGACTTCTACGTCTGTAACTGCGTCGCCGGGACCGGGGCATGCGCCTAGTAATGAGTCGAGGAGTCCTTGCGCTTTGCATCATGCGCAGTGTCGAGATTCAGGCTATGTTACGTCGCCTGCGTCGAATGTGAACGTGGCGATGAATATTCCGCGGGTTGATCTTGCTGCTAGCAGTCTTGCTGCCCCCGATACCCATAATAACGGCTACCATCAACCGTGTCAAGGAATACCAGACGAATTACCAAATAGTATCTGTTCAAATTACACCACCACAAACAATACACCCGCTGCCCCCGTCAACACCCAATTCTACACGAACCCCGCCACCAACCTCTTCCCTACAAACCCCACCTCAGCACCAACAACCCATACAAAAACACCATCAACCGAAAACCTATATCCCTTCTCCAACCCGAATACTGATCATAATTCCTGCGCCACGCCCGCCGATAGCTGCACAGGCACCGACACAGGGCCCTGCTTCGTCCCCCCGCCGCCGAATTTATGGCAGATACCGCTTACAGCGGATTGGGAGTTTAATCAGTTCCTCAACGGTGTGCCGCCGGGTATACTCCCCGGCCCTGGTACTGGCATGGGTACGGATACAGCCACCAATGCAAATGCAGGTTATGCATTCGATCTATCAACACCAGGGTTAGGAATAAATCCTGGTCCTGTCCCACAATCCCCCAGTCCCAGTATGGATACCGGGAATATCATGGACTACGACTACGGGACCCAACCTCAAGCTCAGATGCAGAACCAAAATATGAACCAGAGCCAGGGTCAGCAGCAGCATCAGCTTTGTCAGCAGTTTATGGATGCGCAAACGCCGGCGCAGGTTATTGATAATGTGGTTTGGTTTGGGGGATTTGCGGGTTTCTAATCTCGGGTAAGGGAGAGTTGGAGTAGAATGTACAGTAATTCAATGAGAACATAGTAATAATGAATAAATAAAGTAAATATGGAATAGAATGGATATATGACAATCGGTATAAACGGTAAATATAAACAGAAACAGAGATGAATGAACCGAATACCTCAACCCAGGGAATCAACCGACCGACAAAACCATACCGCTAACGCCCCATGACCATCCCTAGCCATTCTTAATGGATATCAAATGAATTGCAATAAACAAACGCCTAACCGACCTATCAAGCCCATAACGAGACTAAAAAACTGTCCCTGTAAGCATCTTCACAGCCCGACTCCAAACTCCATTCCCAAGCTGCACGTCTCCCTTCTTCTCACCGATCTCGTCGGCAAGGATGTCTCTCATTTGGGCCTCCGAGATACCAACTTCATTGCCAGACCCGAAACCGTAGACTTTACTTGCGAGGACATCTGTTTCGAGGTCCATGACGCCGATTGTATCGCCGTCGGTATTGATGCGTGTTTTCACGGCGAAGTCGATGTCAATGCGGCGGGTGTTGTTGCCGTTGCCGTTGCTGTTACTGCCGTTGAAATTGGCCTGGCCCTTCTTCATGGGTATTTTAGAGACCTTCGACGAGACGGTACCGAGGATGGTACATCTTGCCCTGAGAGACGGCGCATCTTCGACCTCGAGGAGTTTGAGCTTCGTCACGCCGCAGAATTCAAGCATGCGTGCTTCTTCTTCCAGATCGAGGACGAGGTCCCACGCTTGCGAGATGAAGCGGAGCATGTGTTTCGGTGAGATGGTGGATTGGGTGATACTGTTGAGGTGTTTCTGGAGAGATTTGAGGACGAGGGAGGCGATGGAGGTAAGAGAGGGCGTGGGTGTAGATTTCTTGCGGTCGCTGGCACCAGGCGCGTAGCGGAGGTCTAAGGGCATACTGGACTTATTGCCAGTGGAAAATGCGCGAGGATAGAAACTGAGTTGGAGTTGGTTGCGGTAGGACATGGTTAAAGAAGGGTCTCCGGACGAGGAAGCACTGGCGGAGATGATGGACCATCCGGTTCGCTGTTCGATGTTTGAAACAGACTGCTTCAACTCGTTGATTTCTTTTGCGCTCCAGCCGCGGCATTCTTCCTTGACTCGTTCTGCTTCTTGGATTTGTGCCATGAATTGGGCTTTCAGTTCTGTGCCGGCTTCGACGGTGTCGGTCTTTTCTTGGACTTCTGCTTGGAGTTTCTGAAGTTCTTGCTTCTTGGATGCGATCTCGACCTCAATGCTAGAGAGATTCTCCCGCGCGGATCGCAGTTCGTCCTGGTCGCAGTTCTCCATCTCGTCCGCCAACTGTTGCAGAGATGTAGCCTCTTTCTCGAGTGATGAGTTTTTCTCGACAAGTCCAGGGACGACGCCGTTTAGAACTGATTCATGCTTGGTCAAAACTTTATCATCGGCCTTCATATCATCTGCATGCCGGTTAAGACCTTCTTTCAAGCCTTCGAGGAGCTTCATCCGCCATTCGTACCATGTGGCCTTGCTAAGCAATCGAGCGTGGGTCTTGACGTTGCGGAATTGGTTGTCCATGATCGAGCGTATGTCCGAAGGAGCCGCCATATACTCGCGGAATAGCGCTGGATTCTCCGCATACGTCTCGGCTTCAATGGACCGAATGACTTGTCTTCCTTCGGAGATATACGACTTTAACTCGCGGCAGGACTGCACCAGTTAGTAACATGTCAATATGTGCTGAACGAGAATACTTACATGCTGGTATAACTCAAGCATCGGCACCGTGCAGAATCCAGCAGCAACACAGTCCTCAAAAGTAGCAGGCTTGGATGCTCCTTCGACAGACCGTCTAACCGATGACCTCCGGCTGGCGCTTCCAGGCACGGTAGTATGCCGCCTCTTCGTAGTCGTTAGCTCCATGAAATGGATATTGGTCATATTCAAAAAGTCCTGCAGCGGGATAGGCTCGAGCTTTTGTTCGGTTTCTTCTCTGGTAACTTCCTCCTCCACTGGTTCCTCAGCAGAATTGAACGATCCCGACGCATCTTTCAATGGACTCAATGCCACATTCTTGGGCTCCTGGATGGGTGTAGTACTGCCCTTGGTCGGCGACCCGAAGAGCTTCTGAGGGGGTGAAAATACCAGATGTCCAATAGCTTCATCCTTTGCTGGATGGGCGGGAAGTCTGATGTTCTTCACCGGGCTAGCCTCACGACCCTTCAAACGTTTGGGTGTGTTATCAGAGCCCTCTTCGTCGTCACTATCATCCAACTCCTTCGGGCGCTTTCCGAGAACACCCTTAGCAGCACCCACGTGCAAGCTCTTTCGGCCCTTAAGCTTGTTCTTCTTCGGGGTAAGGCTCGAAATCATGTCCTTAAGATTCGAGGTAGCATCTCGCTCGCCTGCTTGCCATGGTGGGACATGACCATCTTCCCGGTTTTCCTCCTCTTCACGCTCACGGTCGACCTCTTCCTGGAGTTTCAGCGGATCTTCAAAGCGCACGCCGCCCTGCTTTGCCTGTTCTTGGGGAACAAACTGAGAAGCTTCATCACCAATGGACCGACGTTTGTCGAGCATTTCTGCTACACGAGGAGATCCCAGTCCTTCCTTGTCGATTCCGAGTCCGGACGAGCGCCGTTTCTGGGGCCGAAGGATAAACTGAGGCGTTGACTGCCCCGTGGCCGCATTGTGCTCGAAGAGAGCTGTAGCAGGCGACTTGGGTTGGTTGGCAGACTCTCGGTGTTCCGGTTGAAAGAGGCCATTTCCTGATGGTGGTGTCTTCAGAGGGGTTGAGGATTGAGCAGCCTGAGATGCTGGTTGCTTTGACGGAGTAGTTTGTTCTTCAGGCGGTGATGGCTGTGGTGTCGGTGTTTTTGAAGGTGCACGTCCCAAGCTTTGTCTTGTCCGTCGAGACCTCACACTTGCTATATCAGGGCTGCCATTCTCAGCGGCAATTGTGAAGGGTGCTGGCGATTTCGAAGATTTGGTGGGGGATTTAGGAGGAGACTTGGCAGGCGACTGTCGGACCTGTTCTTGGAAGGGTGAGCTTCCCAGTTGACCAGAGTCTGATTCGTTATCCACTTCCGGGTTCTCCTGATCTTTGCCAATTTGTTCGGCCTCAGATGGCAGAATCGTCCCCATAGCGGCCGTGATATCCATGCCGGCGGTTTGGTCGTCATCCTGAGGTTCAGTTCGCTCCTCAATCGGTGGCAGTATCCCGCCAATGGCGCCGGTCATTTCCATGTCCAAATCTTCTGCATCGTCTTCCTCGTTATTCCAATCAGCGAAGTTTGGCGCTGCACCGTGCGGGGTGTGAGATACTTCGGCAGCGGAAGTATTTTTGTTGAGGACACCGCCGACGACCGACGTGAACTCCATGGTCATTTCCTCGTCGTCCGCATTGCTGTCAACACCTATAGACTTTGCAGGTGAGGGTGGTTGTGCGATACCGCCAACCACGTTGGTAAGTTCCATAGTCTGTTCATCGTAATTCGTTTCCGTGCCACTTGATTGACGACGAGCGGTGCTCTGACGACGACTTGGCTGTTTTGACAGAATTCCTCCGATGGCATTTGTGACATCCATACTCATCTCCTCGTCATCAGCACCATCTTCTTGAGCATATTCGTTGGATTGCTTAGACGGGTCGATGTTCTCTTGATCATGTGCAGCACTAATGTCGTCCCAATCAAAACTTTGTCTCTCCCCTTTCTTGATCCAAGGTTGAAACGCGCCAGTGATCTCTTGCGTGGCCATCTCCATCGGCATGTCATCGTTATTCTCGTAGTCGGGGTTTTTCGTCCCAGCTTCTTGAGCAGCCTGTCGTAAAGCTTCATTGAGTCGAGCAGAGCTGCTACTGGATGCAGACTCAGCCGTTCGAGCAGTGATATCATCCATACTCATCGCAGTGCTCTCAGCGTCGAACCCTGCATCAGAAGCTGAGTCGTCATCGTCGTCGTCGTCATCCCTGACCACGCTCTGTACTCCAGTGTCGTCACTTCCATCTGCAGAGCTTCCACTAAACGGACTCGAAGAAAGGTCATGAGAGCCTCCGTAAGGCCCAGCAATTGCCGGACGATTGGCAAGTTCTTGCAGATCGGGGTACTGAACGGGCGAGAATGCTATATCGGAATCTACGTCACCAAAAGGTGAAGATGGAGGATCATTCTGTTGAGGGACATTTTGAGGTTCTTCTTGCTTTTCAGCGTTGGGTGTGGATGAGGCGCGTCTAGTAGAGTTTGATGTAGAGGACGAGGTCGAGTCATCGGGGATTTCAACAACATTCCAGGTATGTAGTGTCGCTTCCGGGGCAAAGGATACACGGCGATTTGCTATGGTGCGTTGTGGTTAGCTCAGATAAGTATCACAAATGGCATGGTAACGAACCCATTGATTTCCGGCGTGCTTCTCTTTGTTCAAGAATTGCTTTCCGTTCTCTTTCTCTCTGTTCCCTTTCTTCCTTTTCCCTCGCAGCAGCAATCGCTGACGAAGCATTGAAATCATCAAAAGGATTGGCTGTATCCTCAGCATTGGAATCTGGAGGCCGTGCGGGGGTATCAAGGTCAATCAACAAGCCCTCCCTGTCCTGACCATTTCCTTCATTTTGTTGCGAGTCACGAGCAGGAGTCTGTTTGCGAGTTTCTTCAAAACTAGGAATGTTTTGGACGGGCGAAACGGGGACAGTAGGCTTGAGGATGCCTTTGACAGGAAACGCGGTCGTGGACTTGCGTCGGTTGCCGTTGGAATTTTGTAGCGCATCTAGTCCACCAGGGCCCAAACTCTTGCTACGGGACTTCTTGTCTTTTCCGGTGGTCTTCGTTGAGTTGCCAGGCGGTTGAATTGTGCCAATATCGGTTGTGGAATTCTCCTTGTCGATGGTCGACGTCAGTCTTGATCGGGGGACATGGGCGATAGAGCGACGAGTTCGCGGTCGGACGGACCCCGCGGAGTCACCTCTGGACGCCATAGCTAAGATGAGAGGAGCATAGGAAGAGATGGATTAAACGGGGATTTGTATAAATTCTCCTAATGACAATAAAACAACGACAACCGTCGTAGCGATAACCTCATCCGTACGCCGCCGCCAGCGCGTCTCTCCCCCCGTTGCTCATGTGATCACCAGATGTAAACAAACCAAAAAAAGCCCTAGCCGAAATCCACTATTCCCAAATGGGACTAGCGTCAACATCGCACACTCACCAACCACACTCAATATTATCCGCTCCGGTCGAATAAATCTTCAAACTAACATCGACCGCAGGCCCCGACACCCCCTCTTCGCGACGAATTTTCGACTTTGTTCTCCCCGTCGAACTGAATTCTCGCAACAATGGCGACCGAGTTGACCGTCCAGTCGGAACGTGCGTTCCAGAAGCAGCCTCACATCTTCCTTAACTCCAAGACCAAGGCGAAGAGCAAGAAGGTTGGCCAGGGCCGGAGATGGTACAAGGACGTTGGTCTTGGCTTCCGTACCCCCAAGGCCGCCATTGAGGGCAGCTTCATCGGTATGCGGCACCTACATTGATTTCTACGATTTTCCGGAGTTCGCATTATGACTTTGATCTTTGCGGAGATGGAATGAGAACGACATTTGGAGATCGGGGACAGCGGGCATGCACCAGAAGACTGAAGTGGAAGGATGAGTGCGACCGGGAAAAAAAAAAAAAAAAAAACAATAGTCTCCAACTGTCGTCTCATATCCAACATCTCCAAATCAAGCCATGTGAATCGCGCGGACTTTAGAGACGAATGCTAACTCCTACCAGACAAGAAGTGCCCCTTCACCGGTCTTGTCTCCATCCGTGGCCGTATCCTGACCGGCCGTGTCGTCTCGACCAAGATGCACCGTACCATCGTCATCCGCCGTGAATACCTCCACTACGTCCCCAAGTACAACCGTTACGAGAAGAGGCACAAGAACCTTGCTGCTCACGTCTCGCCCGCTTTCCGTGTTGAGGAGGGTGACTGGGTTACCGTCGGCCAGTGCCGTCCCCTGTCCAAGACTGTATGTGGATTCCTTCGATTTGATATCGATTCGGTCCTCGAGTGGCAACCGTAATTCGACTTCCGTGGATATTGCGATATGGCTAGAGGGTTTTGTTTGTCATGTGTGGCACGAATGGAGGCTAATACTATTCTCTTTGCAGGTCCGCTTCAACACCCTCCGTGTCTTGCCCCGCACCGGTAAGGCCGTCAAGGCTTTCGCCAAGTTCTAAGCGCGTCGATGGATGATGGGGGTGCTTTGAGAGGGAAATAAAAACCTAGGGAAGCGGCATGACTGGATATAGGCGAAATTCTATTTCACGGGTTGGGATTGTTTTACGAGCTCATGTCCCAGGTACCCTTTTGAAGAAAATATCAATTAAAAAAATAAGAAATTGATCCAACTGTGTACGTTCGTACAGCAGACCGGGGAATCAAGGGGAATACCACGCATAATGGTTTGGGCATGGTGCTTTTTATGATACAAAATATGGGTTCTTTTTTCTGCTTATTTCTTTTATAAAAACTGCAGGGAGGAATTATAGTCTTTTCTTCTGTTCTCGACTTTTCTTGCTCGATTCGTAATCTGCCCTGCAACCGGAGTACAATTTAAGTCAACGCCTCGACTCTTCCTTACCATACCCTCACGAACTCATGAAGTCGCCCACTCAGTAATAGGGCTATCCCTCGCGCTACTTCCAACATCATGATCATCCGTCAAACACAAAACAAACGGCTGACAACTCCCGCAGCACCCATAGCGCCACACGAAGTGCCGACCCACCCTCTCATCGGTTCATCATGAAATAGGGAGTGCACTACGTGAAATCCACCATATCCCCCATAAACATGTCCAAACCCGCGTCCCTCATGTTGACCACATCTTCCGCCTATTCGGATGGTTCGAGTGTGTTTGACCATATACTCGCTTGGTCGACGGCGGAGGCTTCCTCGAAGGGGTATGCCGGTAGCATCTCTGCAGCGTTGCTTGACCATCTCCGGTTGCTGGGGTCAAAAAATTCGATTCTCGGGGCTTCTGTAGCCAAGGGCTGAATGCGTGAGGGAGGACATGAAGTCCCGACTTCGATGGACGGTATAACATTCTCCCTATCTTCGTCGTCGCTTGACAGGCTGTCAAGGTCGTCCTCCGACCCGGGAATGGCAAGGGGTCCTTCTTTCTGCTGAGGGGGGAGAAAAGATGATGGCGTACCCAGTGAGGGTTGTTCAAAGGCCGACGACGGCGACGGGGGTGGGCCATGCCCGTGGTAGCCAGCCTGAACACCACTCATGTAATTGCTGGTATCCTTGCAACGCGCGAAACGCCAAGAGTATGAGATATTCACAGCGACTGCTTCGAGGTAAGGATCAGGCACGTTTAGCTTTCGCAGCAATCTCCCAACAACAAGACCAGAACTGCCATCTACTCTTCCTGGGCCTCTTGAGAGGGCTGTTTGCAGCTCATTGCGGTTTCGCTTAAAGGACTTTATGCGATTCAGTTGCAAAATCTCTCCTATGCCCGTGTCCTCTTCTGCGATGCTGACGAGGGTGCTGATCTTGAGTGTGCAGATGATAGCGGGCGTTGGTACCTTGCCCCAAACCAGATACTCTCCAAATCCTCTGTATCCCTTAATTTTTATACCTAGGTCCCACACTAGAGATTTTGCAGAGTATACCTTTGTCTCTAGTTTCGAGGTATCGATTAATGTCACGGCCGCACCCTCCCCAGCTCGGATCGCGCGGTGGACGGGAGCCAAGAGAGATTGAAAGGTGGAAATGAAAGGTGACAGGAACTTCTCAGTGCTGACATGCTTTATGACGTACTGTTCGAATGCTTCCTGCGGAATCTCATCTGGGCCAAAGAAGTCTTGATCGCTATTTGAAAAGAGTCCGGAGATAATGAGCGATTTTGTATTGACTCCCTGTGAATCGACGTTTGCCCATCGATAGTAAATGGGCGGGATGTCCGTACTGATCTCTGGCGCAGACTGTACCTCATCCTGCATTCCGGATTTGTTAGAATCAGGTCAAGCCTCTGGAGTGTTTCCGGTACTTACCGCTCTTTCGTGGCAACACCAGAAACAAATCTTTCCGCCGGCTTCACAGAGACCCTCTGGCTGGCTAGACACAGAAGACGGGGAGGACAAACTGGACTGCATACCTGGTGCCTGAGTCGAAGGAGTATCCACGTCTACAGAGACTGTCCAATTCGATGTCGAAGTATCAACGAGCATCTGAAGAGGAAATATTTGGAGAGAAGCTGGCCGCCGCACTTGTCTTGTATTCAAATAAAAGCCTGAGACGTCAATGTCATCTATATTCTTCTCAACCAGGGAAACACCGCTAGCAGTAGCTGTCTCTTTTATTGTTGAAACCATCTGCAGCCATGGACCTTCTGGCGGCGGGAAAGGAACCTCAACATGCACCTGGTGCCATATTGGATCACCCTTCCTCCTCATGTCCCGCCACTGTGTCGACAGCCTGGCATATAGTTCTTTGTTCGTAAAGCTCAGGCCGAAGAGCGAGCGAAAGACCTCGCTGAAAGCATCCCGATCACGACGGAAGAACCGAAACAGGCAACAGAGGAAGGTTCTGTACGCATTATTCCAATTTATCTGCCTTCGAGTCTCAGTAAGGCTCAGAGAGTCCATAGCGAAGCTGCAGTTCTAGTCCGCGAGGCTATCTTGCTAGAAGGAAGCTGTAAACGAGGAGAGTAGCTCAGTTCTTCAGTCGTGCTGCATCCTCGACTCTAAATTTAACCGTGTTTACGTAGTGAAGACAACATAGATGCACAATCCTCTGCGCGTCGGGGTTGCACGCATCCTCAAAGTAGATGTTCATCTTAAGTGTTATAGAATAGTGAATGCGAGGGTGTGTCGCGTAATTTGCTTGCTCCCTGGGCCGTGGTGTGTTCCAAAGAAATAACTAACGCTTGCGCAAGACTGTAGTCACTGTCTTTCTATTTATCCCTCATCAATCAAGACCGGTGACTGGATTGTGTCTCAAAGTGGTCACTACTATGTGAGTTGGGCTATAACCTTCACAATCTTTGCTTTCTTTGGCACATTGGTATTCCTTCGTTTTGCTGCCAGAATGCCAGTGGAGATGGTTAATATGCCCATTTGAGTAAGTCAACCGACGAAACCACGGAGAGGCTACACCGGAGTAATGGTTCAAGATACCTTGTGCATAGGTGCTCGGCGACGCATGCGGCGCATCGCGAATCAACGGCATCCTACGAACGTGGAGTCAACCCCGCGATTTCTCCTGTCTCTTGAGACTAGGTTGTCTGACGGCGTATCCCATTGGTTATTCTCTCAGATACAAAGCACGAAGGCTCGATATAACAACGAATCAGATGTGTATTCGGAGCGCGTGATCGTCGGGCAATCTACGAGCAAGTCCGGGGTAATACTGTCAGCTTGATGCCATCACCAGGTTCGATTACTGCAGTATCACTAGCAGTAAGCTTAGGTTATTGCGCAGTCTTTGGATCCTAACAGGTTCTTCAAATGACGGTATATGGATGCTAGGCCGGGAGAATGTCGGGAGAAGTGGTTGCCTATAGGACGGGATATATATCTCTGCATACTGAATCGCGTATACACAAGCCACCAAGTCAATTGTGATCTAGGCTCTTCACAAAGAAACATATCCCAAATAAGGAATGTGCCGCTATATAGATACGGTATATAAAAGGCTGACAGGCGCCTTGCATCACTGGCAGGATCGGATCGGATGCAGTAGCCCGACCCCGGCTTAGTCTGACTTAGTCTTAATGTGCACTGCTCCACCGCCGTTGAGCTGCTCCGAACCAACGTTCCTTCTCTCCTCTCTCTCTTGCTCCATATTCTCTCGCCGTCATTTTGAGTTAATACGACGTGCATACTTTTATTAATTTGCATATTCCCTATCTACCCTCAAGCTGACACTCCCGACCGTCGTCCGGCTGCTGTTTACTCCGTACCCCCCGACAACCTGCGCATCATCACCTGTTCTTAGCAATGGTTCAATAAACTAGCGAACGATGCTTCTCGGAAAAAAACTATAGAAATTTCGATTCGAAACCGCAATATACCCAGTACACCATCCTCATTTTCGCCGCGCACTCATCCCTCTCGTTCCTTCCGACCTCTTCCCGATCTGAAACCTGTGGCATTCACTCCTGATTTGCATTCACGCCCAACCTAACCCCGAGAGAAGGAAAAGGTAGAACCACAGAAGAAAAAGAAGACAGCCACCATGTCAAATTTCGAAAAATCCGTAAAGGGGGCCACCAAAGTTAAAGTCAGTCATAACTTACGCTTCAATACTTCTACCCCTGGCAAGGCATACTGATTGCGCGGACAGCTTGCGGCACCCAAATCCAAATACATCGAGAATATCCTGGTAGCGACTCATACTGGCGATGCAGGCGTTGCAGAGATCTTTCGAACCTTGCATATTCGACTTCGCGAATCGACATGGACGGTGGTGTTCAAGGCACTCATTGTAATCCATCTGATGATTCGAGAGGGTCAATTGGACGCTACGTTGCATTACCTCTCGGACAATCCGAGCAAGCTTGCTATTAGTCAATATTCAGAGGGTGGGTAATATTACGCAGAAGAGCGGAGAGGCGTCTGCTGACTGGCAACAGTACAGCACCAGGGTCACAACATCCGGAGATACGCCGACTATCTCCTCGCGCGCGCCAGGGTATTCGAAGATACCAAGACCGATTATGTGCGGAGCGGACAGGGACGAATGAAGAGGTTGACAGTGGACAAGGGTCTATTGCGCGAAACCGAAATGATTCAAAAGCAAATCTGGGCCTTATTGCGCTGTGATGTGAGCCGCCAGCTTCACTTGAATCATTGTTGTCCAAGCGTGGCTAATGGTATTACAGTTATTGGTGGACGATGTCGAAAACGAAGTCTCCTTGACAGCGTTTCGTCTGCTCGTGCTCGACCTCATGACCCTATATGCCGTCATGAACGAGGGTACAATCAATGTTTTGGGTAGGTTTTACTGATCAAATATTATGGACTGTACTCACGCAACTACAGAACATTACTTTGAAATGTCAAGGCCCGACAGCGAGCGCGCCCTGGAGATATACAAGACCTTCACTGCGCAAACGGAAGAAGTGGTGAACTACCTTGGAGTTGCAAGACGATTCGAAGGCGCAACAAGACTGGAAATACCAAAGCTCAAACACGCTTCCACGGACTTGACACGACTACTTGAAGACGATCTCAACGATCCCGATTTTGATATCCGGCGAGGAGAATATCTGGCACAGAAGAATGGAGGCCGCGCAAAATCGAGTCACGGACCGAGCAGTCGGCCTCCGCCAAGTCCCAAGACTACGCCTAATCGCCCTCAAACAGCGCCCAGGCCCGAGAAGAAACAGACGGACTTGATTGACTTTTTCGATTCAATTGAGCAACCCGCTGTGCAAGAGAACCAATTGCGACAGCAACAGTACCTCCAGCAACAGCAGCAGCAGCAGCAGCAGCAATACCAACAGGCGATGCAGTTCCAGCAAACCGGATTCCAACCACAACAAACCGGCTTTTATGCTCAGCAAACGGGCTTCCAGCAACCTCAGCAGACCGGCTTCCAACAGCCACAACAGACGGGTTTCCAGCAGCCGCAGCAGACTGGGTTCAATCAGTTTGGCGCAAATAACCCCTTTGGACAACCACAACCACAAGTCCCACAGCCTCTTCAGCCTACTCCCACGGGTGCTGGTTTCGGCGGATACTCCCCACAACCACAGTCCTATGGATACCAAAGCAATTTGGCGCCCATTCCGCAGAGCAATGCTGCGTCCTTCCCAGCTCAACAGCAACCGCAGCAACCTCAACAGCTACAGCCACAGCACACCAACCCGTTTAGGCAGTCAATGCTAATGGCCACACCTACGGGAACGACCATGCCTTCCGCCACACAGCTTAACCGTCAAAGCACAAATCCGTTTGCACGGCGTATGTCGAGCGTCAACCTCCAGCCCTCATCACCGTCCCAAGCGCCAGCCCAACCCATCCAGCCTCAGCGCACGGGAACCAACCCGTTTGCGCGCAATTCAACCGTGGTTCCTCAACAAGGATTACAGCCTCCTGTTGCAGCACCTCTCCGGCCGAACCCTACCGGCAGTACGAATCCATTCCGGCAGAGTGCATTTGTCAACCAGCAGACTGGACAGGGTTGGCAGGCTAGTGGCCAGCAGGGCACGATGGGCGGCTATGAGCAGTTGGATACGGTGCCAGTGTTTCCACGGCCGGGTATGACATAGCGTGTCGCTGTCGGCGGTCTTTTCCTTCGTTCATTGCTTCTTCTTGCGTGTGTACTATTGTAATTCTGTTCTTTTCATGTGAGCTTTTTTTTTTTTTTTTTTTTTTTTTTTTTTTTTTTTTTTTTTTTTTTTTTTAACTATACTTTGCACTATACATTTACATTTGACAGATTTAGCATGTTGTTAGAAGCTCGCAGTGCGGGCTGTTGATAATCAAAAGCACGTACATAATAACCAACTACGTGACTACTCGAAAACCAATTTACCCTAACTCTTGATTGCGCTTATGTTCCGTTTGTGAGACAGCAACATTTTCTCCTTTCCTCACGCAGCAGGTTGACAACAGTACACAGAGGAAGAATTTCTTCGTGATTATTCGCAAATCATGCTGAGCGTCGCGTGCATTCCCCTACCTGTGATTGATTCTTTTATCACTAACAGCAACGGTTTCTTAAAACTGAGAAACCGCCCTCTTACTCTGGAAGTCTAGGACTTAGAAAATAAGGAGATGCCGACTGACATACCGCGAGACTACACCTGCGACACCGTTGACTCATGTCAGACATCTTAGGGATGTATGATAGCCAAATCCAGCACCAAACCAATGAAATAAATGATATCAACGACTTGATTTACAAATATCCGTCCTAACAGCAATGCGAGCGACATTCCCAACATTCTTTCGCCGAGAATTGCGCTGCAGGCCCTTCGTCCTTGCCCTTACAGACCCCCACCAAAGCAACGTCCTTGTCGACAGAGACTGGCACTTCACCTCGATCGTCGACTTGGAATGGCGGTGTTCTAAGTCAATTGAGATGATACAGCTGCCCTACTGGCTTACAGACGAGTCAGTGGATCTAATGCGTGCAGCGGAATACGATGAGATTCGACGAGAATTCATGGAGTCTTGCACGGCTGAGGAGGAGCGTTTTTTTCCGCTGCTGGCAAAAAAGGGTTGTACAGAGTGGTTTGTCAGCTGTTATGGAACAGGCATGGAAAAGGCGGGCGTCTTGGTATTCTCTTGCGCTTATGTCTCCAACGGTCTGTTTTCTTTGCTCTACAATCACATTCAAACCCCTCTAACAGTAAAGGCTACTGTTCATGAAGCTTTTTATGAAGTTATGCCATGATATTGTAAACTTGAGAATTTTCATATTCTGAGACGCAAAACGCCCAACTAAGGCAAGCCTGTTGAGTATGTTTCTGACGACAACAACGACAACAGTAAAAGCAAAGGCAAAGAAAACCCACAAATAGATACCACCTAATCCTTCTCACTAAAATTCTAAATCTAAATCTCTGCTCTCGATTCCTATCAGTACTTCGGCGAAAACACCTTGGGCTGCCGCAGCTCTGGTTCTGCCTCTGTGGTTTCTCGCTGCGTCGCCAGCAGAGCTGACTTGTTGGCGCGCTTCGAGGAGCTGCCCATTCGCCCATAGCTCTGTTGCGTTGCCAGCTTCTACCTGTGAAAATTGCTGATGGAATTACTCCTGAGCTCTCTGCCTATAATCGTGCACTGCTGCCAATGTAGAAGAGCTCGATTTTTGCCGCTCATGGACAAGCCTCTCGCTATTCCATTCTCTTCGTCCCTCCCCCTTAGGTCCTCCCAGCGTGCTACTTTCGAATTTATATGAGGTAGATGCTATACCTAACACAGAACAAAACTGAAAAGAAAAAAAAATACCATTCCTCTTGCAGGACTCGGTCGTAAGCCAACCGATCTGTCTCCCTCTCTTCCAGACAACGAACCCAGGTTATTAATAGCAGAACAATCGTTACGCATTTGATGGTTGCTTTCTTTCCTGTCACTCGAGCAAAAACCATTACTTCACCTGCATTCAAGCATGACTACATTGACCTATTTGCTACCTCTGCCATACCTGCTCGTCAGGTAGTAAAGACTGACCGCTTTGTTTGTCTGGCTTACTGTACTGCGGATTGAATCACGGTAGGGATACCTTGTCTTTGTATCGGAAGAGCTGTGGAGGACACTTTAGGGCCAACAACACAGTGCTGACTGCTAGTTGTTAGACATAGGTATACAGAGTCCCTGTACTTAAGAGGATTTGTATAGGGTTGGCTTCTTAGGGGGGTGAGTGCACCGCCACTGTGGCAGTTTACTACTACAACTTCGATTGCCGCCGAATCCTCTACGGAGTACAGAGTATGTATACCTAGTTAGTTACGATATTCTATCGTTACTGGTCCAGCTAAGGTGACTCGGGTTCATCCGCAAAATCCGGACGCTTGAATGCATGCATGTACATAACTATTCACAAGCAAGGCACAGTGCTGTACTAACAAAACCGATCGAACACCACCCATAGTACTAATACAGCACGAATGACAGTAAGCGGTTTAATTAAAGAACACCCTGCAGAGTATCCACCATCGGGAATAAGATCTGGATTCGGAGTCGGACACGGCGAGGGAAAAACTTGAAACACGCCACGCGTTCCGGATGTTGAGTATCAAGTCGGGATGATGACTCGAAGCAGTAGTTGTTCGGTATTAGCATTGTCCCTTGTGCTTTAAAGTGTCGGAGAAAACGAAAATACTGCAGAGCCTCACATAATAATTTGCATAAAGCGCTTCAAACGGTGTATCGACTTTCGGCCTAAGTGACGTCCGTCCGTTTTCCGCCCGGTCCAAATCGATATCCCCCTCTGGTCTTTTTCTAGCCTTTTCTCTTCCACATCTTCCTTTCTTCTCTCGTGTTCCTTTGCTGTACATATTCAACCCTCTATTGCTTGTATATATATCTCTTTCAGTTGTCGAGCACTTCCAATCCTCTTCCGATAGACAGACACCCTCCGGCACAAACGATGACCGCTGAACATCAACCTACGTGAACAGCCTCAGGATAAGCCTCGACTCACGCATCGATGATTACGGATATGGATACCCAAAATCTCACCGCGCGATCGTTTGCCTCCGGCCATCACGAACAGGTTCTACCCTTGCTAGCCAAGCCCGCTGCGTGGGCTAGTCCGACTACAACTGCTCCCAGTACTACTACACCCCCGACAACAAGTCCTACGCCCCCATCAACAGCCTCATCCACAGCAAACACATCAAATATCACAAGCGCATCGCCAGAACAAAACCCAAGCCCCCCACCAGCCACTACCGGCACAACCGGCACCACCCAAAACCCCAATGCCATCACCAAGCTGCGCAAACCTCGCAAAGCCAATAATGCAGGTGGCCGCTCAAATTCATCGCTCTTCTGGGTCCATACGGACCCCCAGTCTGCCTCCGAGGGCACGCGCGAGGAAACCCTGAAACGGATCCGCTCACACGTCATGTCCGAGCATAATCGCAAGAAGCGCGAGAATACGAAGCGGTATAGCAGCAGCAAGACGTGGAAGCATTTGGCGTTTCAGCCCGTTGAGACGACGGCTACGGCGGCGGCTGGGAGTGGGAATGGGAGTGGGGGCGGGAAGGCGAGTCGGTCCCCTCCTGCGCGTGGGAAGAGTTCGCCTGGTGCGAAACGGACAAGTCCGACTGCGACGGCGGAGAAAGTGGATAATCCGGGGGTGCAGGATGAGGTCGCGAATGTGGTTGTGAAGGATATTGGGGATGTCATGGCTGCGCAGCCGTGGGCGTATGTTGGACAGGGTGCTAAAGATCCGTTTAGCATGACGCATACACCATTGTCAGATCGCATGTTCCATCATCTTCAAAATTGTAAGTTCGTCCGCAGACATCATGAACTACTACTAACGCGCCGAAGTCCTCACGAATTTGACCCACCAAGCATATCCACTACAACACCGCTCAGGGCCCAAACTTGAGGCGCACTGGGCGTCGTTAGTACGGGACGACCCGGCATCGCTGCATGCGGGTATATGCGTTGCGGCGTCGAGCGCGGCCCTGCAGACGGGGGAGTTTCCTATAATTGATCCAAGCAAGCAAGCCTCGAGCGCTTTGGTTATCGATGCATTTCATCATCGGGGAGAGACCATTCGACTTGTGAACGAGGGGTTGTCGGATCCGATTAAGGCGGCTAGTGACGAGTTGATTGCTGCAGTTTCGATTTTACTTACTATTGAGGTAGCCACCCCAGTATACTGTACTCTGACCTTGGCTAACGGTTTAGATTGCATCCGGAAACCCAGACTATGTCAAAATCCATCTCGCAGGATTGCGACAGATGGTCGCGCTACGAAGTAGCTTTGCCGATGTTCCACCTGACGTCCGGTTCCAGATCTCATGGTAAAGCCATCCCACCAGCCTATCAGCACACATTTGACGACGAGCTAATATGTATAGGACCGACATCCGCGTAGCCTGCATGGCATTCACCAAACCCATCTTCCCATTCCTCCGCTCCCCCCGCCCAACAACCTTCTCCGTAATCCCCCCAACCCACGAAATCTCCCTCCTCGCCTCCCGCTTCATCACCCTAATTGAAACACTCCCGGGCACCTTCAGTCCTGAAATGTGCAGCATAATTTACGACCTCCGCGAACTGACCTGGTACGCGGAATGGATCAAAGGTCCGCAGTCGCAATCCCACAACTTCACCGATGAAACAGAAGACTACTTCAACAACGAAGTCCTGCACGTGGAATACTCGCTCCATCGCGACCGCTACACATTATCCGGGCAGGCAAAAGGCGACGCGTCCCTCGAGGGCTGCGTCCGTCTCGCTTGCCTCTTATTCCACAACACCGCCATCTGGGACTTTTACCCAATGATGGGGCCCGTCTTCAACAAACCCATCGCCGCGCTCCGAATGGCCCTCGAATCCACTATCGCCGCAGGCTGCTACCACACCCCTTCCCCTTCCCCTGATAACCAAGAGCACGGAAAAGGAAAAGAAGACCTCCTGATATGGCTACTCTTCATCGGCACGTGCAGCAGCCAGATCCTGCCCAGCGAGCGGTCGTTTTTCATTAACGGCCTTGCGGCCGCGGTCAGGATGGAAGGGATTAGTACTTGGCAGGAGCTGAGGGGGTTGTTGATGCGGTTTTATTACGTGGATCGTAAGTATCTGGGGGTTGTGAGGGCAGTTTGGAATGAGATTATGAGTATGAGTATGAGTTATGACCCGGTCGTGTAGTCTGTTGTACATCCTTTATACGGAGTACATACGGAGTGCGCGGTGTATAGATAATAGTAAATATACATATTTAATGACTGTATCTGTCTTCTCGGAGTTATAGAATTCCGAAGTATATACGTATCCCCTATTTATCCCCTGAGTATATATCCGTAGTGCTATGGACTATGGGCTATGAGTCGGGAGATGATGAGCGACATGTATATCCACAACGGTGCCGGAATGTCACCCTTACTGCCCACCATACCAATTCCCTACACTCTCCATACTCTACTCTACTCGTACACACTCTGGATAAAGATACTCGCGCCCGTGCAATATGACAGCCCTCGCCAAGCACACCACAAAACCCTCCCATCCATCGCCGAACTTAATTGTATACCATGGAACTTAGCCAGGACTACACACAACCACGACCACGACTACAGTGTACGGACGGCTAAAGCACGGAACGACATGACATGGCAGACATGTACCCATCCGTTCCGTCAAGGCCCATAGAACAGACCCATAATTAGGGCAGATAGAAATAGGAAATAGTATTGAGCCAATTGACGGCCCTCACAGAGCCTAGAGCTCAGCTACTATGAGAAGGAGAACACTCGGACCGAACAAACACCACCGATTTCGACAAAGACCGAGAGTTCTCCTTGTATTCCTCTCGTAAGGTTACCATTTGTACCCGCTATGTGCAGTGTAATTAAAGTAAATGACAGTAACCGAACAAACACCGAAGCATGCCGATGCCGAAGCATTTCCGAGATTGTTTCATATCAAACTCGTAGTGCTAATAATTGGGCTGGGCAAGCTGGGCCTTTTATTATAAGTAAAGTGACTTCCTCGCCTCGTTTTCTGATGGTTTTTGTTTTGGTGGCTTTGACTGTTTATATCTGCATTTTTTGTGTCGATTGTTGTTGTTATGCATAACTTTTGTATACAGGCACTCGTTGCTCATACATAAATGGAGTACTTCGTTTCGTTCATATATTTTCTATGTTGTGCATGATTCACCTGATCCGCCAACTAACCAATCAGTCCTGTACTTGTACCATGTACTCCGAACATACATACTAACGGACTCACAGCACGACACTGACACACTGTGAAACTAATTGACAAGCTACAGCTTGACAACCAACTAACTAAATGACTGACAGACAGGGATACAGGCTACGTGGCTTAAAAACCGACAACCACGAGTCATACGACCGCAGTAGTGCGATGCCGGCAATCTATACGATGCATGAGTACTCCATGCGAGGACCGACCGGTGTTACAGTGTGGGTACGGTTGTGGGTGCAGGGAATATGATTTGTGACGAAGTACGATCACGGTCAGGAAGTACGGAGTACCTGTACATGTGTGTACTGTACGGAATACTTGGCCCTACTTTGTAGGGAGCGGATTGAGGTAAGTCCATGAGAATTGACTTGATGACAGGAACAGATATATTGACAGCGAATTCGCAGCAGTTCATTAACAGTAGGTACATTAACACTATTACTATACTGACAGACACAAGGAAAAACACAAAGAAACAAATATGCTAACACGTATCTGCATCAGCACAGGTCGAATATCCGCAGTTCAGTCATTCCTACGGACGGGTATCGAAATTACGACCATATATATACTTTCATTGATTGATCCACGCAAACGCGACAGAAGACACGAGCGAGGCATTTAAGCCTGCTCACGGTCGGTCTTGCCACGGCGGGTGCGACCGGTAGGCGACCAGGGGAAGTGAGCAACAGGGATGATGAAGAAGCTGTTGCTGTTGTCGGCCAGACCGGCGAGGGCGTTGTACCAGGCGGCGAAGGCGGCAAGGAGACCGAAGAAACCACCGGCCATGAGCACGGGCTTGTTGGGCTGGTTCTGGGAGTCACGCTGGATGTATCCGACACCGAGCAGGAGGAAGCACAGGTCGAGGAAGAAGAACAGCAGGAAGAAAGCGACAGTGGAGCGGAGAGTGCAGAAGAGCAGGATAGTGGTGAAGATGAACCATCCCTGTTGTCGTTAGAAGGCGAAAAAAAAATAAAAGGTAAGGCCAGGGAAAAACTCACCATCAAGTACAGACCGAACGAGTTGTTCCACATAGTAGCGCCACCGGCTTCCTCCAACGAACTCATAATCTCGAAACCACCAGGAGTCAAGACAATGGCGAACGAGAGCCAGAAACCACCGTAAGACGAGAGAGCAGTCGCACCAAAGGTGTTACCAATTGCCATTTCCCTGTGCGAGTTAATATCCGAATTTCGTCGCGTCGAATTTACGGGGAAACCTACCACATGCCAGCAAGCAACTGGACAAGACCACCATAACCAAAAGCCAGACCAACAACAATGTTGGGCTCGGAAATGTCACGAGCACCCATGTTAATAGCGGAAAGCACAAAAGTGGTCAAGGCGAAAGCCGACAGGCCCAGAGGAGCTGGGTTGGCGAACTTGCGACCCTCAACCGGCTTGTACAGACCAGGTTGGAATTCACCACCGAACGGGGGCAAACGGGCCTCAGCAGTGTTGACATGCGACAGAGGGCCATAACCAAAACGGGCAGCAGCACGGGCAACCTCGTGTTCCTCAGCGGACAGAATGGGAGCCGCGGGAGCCCCGTTAGCGGGAGCATCGCCGTGGTTAATGGTGTCGTTGGCAGCAGGACCAACGTCCTTTTCGAATTGGTTTTCGGCGGACATTATAATATTTTTTTATATTATATTTTTTCTGAGGATATGAAAAAGTCTCACTTGGAGAGTCAGAACAAGAACCAGCTAGCTGGACACAGCACTGCTGTGGTATATAAGGTAAGGGAATATAAGGAAAATAACGTGAAAAAAAGGTAAAAGGGAAAAAGGTAAGAGAATTGCACAGCAAAAATATGAAGATGAGATGAAGAAGGGATGTGGAAGGAACGAGGGAAGGACAGGCAATATATAAGATGCCAAATGCAACGGACGAACGAAGGTTAACTCACCAACAAAGTCTCACTAGCTGAATGCTAACAGTGGATAATGCAAAGTTTAACGGACGCCGGCCGGTATTTAACTTCTGGGCGACTATTTCTGCATTTCTGCAATTCTCTGGATGGGTTTTTATTTTTTATTATATATTTTTTTTTAATTGGGACTACTCTGACTACGGAACCACTTGGCGGCTTTCCGGGGAACACGCGAGGCCGATCACGGGCCCCCGGTAAAGTCCCCCTATCCTATTGCCCGTGTATACAAGCATACAAGCAAATACGGCATGTTCATCGTTATTAAACATCCCTGAACCAACGGCGGCTGTGGCAGCTGTCAGGGAAAGATACTATTTATGTTTAATTACGTGCGTGTGCAGGTCGGACATTCTAACTGTACAGAGTACTCCGTACAATAGTCGAGGAGATGCAAAAAACTGCCGCAGTTCGATCTACAGGAGACGGCACTCCAAAACTGACACAACATCAGACGGTTCAGCCCGCGGATAATAGAGTCTCACTTACTAGAGAATGCACGACGCAAGGCGGTCCACTTTGGGTGAATGATTCCTAATTTGTAATTTTATTTACCACGGAATCGGTTCAAATGACTGCCGAACAGGTACCGACTCCGGTTGTGCTTATGGTATTTCTGGAGTAGAGTAACTATAGTGCTTGGACAACTGGTTCATCTGGGGATCACCGTGGGGTTTGGAGACGAGGAACTGTCCTGTGTGGGTGGGATATTTTAGTGAATTATTATGTGTGGTAAACCGAAATGCAATGCATGCACATTCCGTTGCTCCGTCCTCGGTTCAGGGTGCAGCCCGATGTACCGGTACTTGGTCTACGGGTATTTTGCACACAGTATAATACGCTACTGGTACTAGATCACCAGTAGTACTACAGGATTCTGCACAAGATGGTAGTTCGGCTACAACCACTCTATCGCCTTATCCCTGCAGAATAATAGCTAGTTAATACTACAGAATACTCTTCTCTACAGAGTACTCCGTACACCCTGCAACGCTACAACAGTGCCACCACCGGCTAATGCTATCCTTCGGTTCGGCGGAGCGGAACCTCTTGTACGGTTCTCATCCTCCAATCCAAACGCATCCTCCCTCCCCTCGAACCAAGGTTCCAAGAGCGGAGCAATGATACAATTCCTTGGAGAAAACCTGAGAGGTTGTGGCAACCAACGAATCACCTCTCCAGGATCTCCCGGAGGATTCTCCAAGCCTGCCATGGCCGTGGAGAAGCGTTGAGTTATACGAAGTTACGCGGGGAGGACACTCGGCAGTGGGGATGATGGATGATGGACATGGACAGACGGGACTGAGACAGCTGTGTCTCTCTTTGTCCTGAATGGGAAAGTAGCCTAGTGGCCTACGGAGCAGAGGAAGGTGATATGTGATGTGATGCTCGTCGATCAGCGGGGAGAGCTGTTGTTTACTGCCTTGCTTGCTTGCTCGTGTAGGAATGGACTATAGCGGGGAGTTGCTTGGCTTTTTACGCTATGGAAATTCTTTATGAAATTGGATGCTCTGTGCGTACATTGGCATTGGCTTGGTTGTGATTGTTCCCAGGCAGAGTTTTCCGCACCAAAGAGCGGTCTGAACTTGAACACTATCTCCGTCAACATGGTGTAGTATGCTCACTTATAGTAGACAGGCCTAACTCGTACAGGCAGCTCGGTTAAACAAGCTTCACTTGTGCACAGTAGCTTCTCTAGCTCCACGTGCTGAGCTTCACCGACAGACGCCTTACGGAGCAATCTACGCAATCCGTACATTCAAACACAGATTTTGTTGAGCAGAGATCTGCGAGGTTGTGGGATAGAGTTGACTTGAAGGGTGTGACTAGTCGCTAGTGTACTATTAGCCATGCAGCTGTCTAGATACGGAAGTTAGTAGCTGAGCTCAACTCGTACTTGTACAACTCAGCTGGATAACCCACCTACAGATCTTACAGAGTGGACAGGTAACGATGCGCAAGGATGAAAGGATGCAGAACATCTGTATGTACGCCCAACGCTCTTGATGTAGTATGTACTCCGTAGATGCATGTCAAATTATCCAAATGGGTATCAAGCAAAATCAAAACCAATACTCTGTACTTGTACATGGCATAGCAATCACGACTCTAACCATCGCGCTGCCCTCTCCAACTCCGCGTTAAACGCCTTGATGCGATGCAGTACTCCCCCGTCACCGCGCGAGCTGACCTCCTCTCCCACCGCTCGCACCAGGTACTCCAGTCCACTGGTCGGAGCTTCGTCCTCATCCGGCCGCTGACGCTCCACGGCAAGCTCGAGCCCGTGCAAGCTGTTGTTGATATTTGTCCGGGTCTACGAGTCAGTTAGCATACACGGTGAGCTCAGTTAAACTTTGGAACGAAGGGAAATGACGTACCATCCGCCCACTCTCCTCCTCCGCATGCCGCCGTCGAACGCCATCCGTCCGTACGGCGATAGCCTCGCGCTCCCGCCGCACGTGGTACAACCGGCTCCGCATGTCCATCATCTCGCGCTTAGCGCGACGCAGCTGCACGCCCAGGACGAAGTTGCTATCGAGCATTTCGCTCATTTCGAACAGCCGGCCTTCCAGCTCTGATCCGAACGCTTCCACGGCTTTCTTCTTGCGTGTCCATTCTGCTTTGCGTTGCGGGTTGGTTTCGTTTGTGATGCCAGTTTGTAGTGTTGTGAGGGTCTTTTCGAGTGTTTCGCGGCAGATTTGGTTAAGAACATCGGCTTGGTTGACGCCGCCACGGGTGGGGTGTTTGGTTCTTTGGGTGAGTTCGTCGGTGGAGGTGTCTGATTCGCTTTCGGAAGAGTCGTAGACGGGGGCACGGCCGAGGGTTGTGATGTTGGCGAGGCGGTGGACTGTTACTGGGACGGTTTCGCCGCGGGGGGCGCGTTTCTTTCGTGTAGGGCGTTCTGTTTGCTCTGTGGGTTGTGTGTCATCTGTCCTAGAAGGCTCAGCTCGTTCGGGTTCCTGTTCAGGTTCCGGCTCCTGTTCAGACTCCTCGGATTCTTGCGACTCTTGCTCAACTTGAACAGTTCTCTTGGCTGGGCGACCTCGTTTTCCGGGCTTTGGTGTTGGGCGGGTTTTTGTATCGTCCGGTTGAGGCTCCTCGATCTCTTCATTAGGCTCTTCCGTAGCTTTGGATTCAGGCCTCTTTATCCCTTGACGACCTCGACCTTCTGGTACCACTTCATCAGAGACCTCCCTCTCAGGCTCTTTACCCTTGTCAGAAGGCTGAACAGCGAATGGTCGATCTCGTCGCTTCTCCCGGGGTTTCGAAGGTGCCTCCTCAGTCTCCGGCTCGGGTTCTGCTGGCTGGGTTGGTTGGATTTCTTCTGTGACTGCTTCCGCTGGCTGCTCTCGAGGTTCTCTAGCAGATGCAGGTGGTCGACCTCGTCGTTTCGGGGGCTTTATTGCTGCATCCTGAGTATCAGGTTCGGGTTCAGGTTCGGGTTGTGTTGGTTGGGTAGGTTGAGTCTTTTCTGTAACTGCTTCCGCGACGTCCTGGGTTTGCTCTTGAGCTTCTCGAGCAGACGCTGGTGGCCGCCCTCTTCGTTTCTTTGGTGCAGCCTCTTGAGCATCAGGCTCCGGCTCCTGTACCTCTTTGGTGGCGACTGCCGTAGTATCTTCTGATGGTTTCTCTTGAGACACTCGACGTCGTCTTTTTGTGTTTGCCTGATGTAGTGATGACCGTTGTGCTTCTGCTGGTTCCGATGACTGAGCCGGTTCTTTTGCAGATCCTTCTGTAACGGCCTGACCCTCTGACTCGCGACGTCTTCTCTTTCCTTCCTCCTGGCGTGGCGATGTCCGTTGCTTGGCTGTATCTTGGACATCTGGTTTTGACTCCGGTGGTGTCGGTTCTTCTGTCTTTTCCGTAGATACTTGTGCGATGTCCGCTGGACCTTGCCCCTGAGGAGAGTCTCGACGCTTTCGTTTGCCTTTTGCACCATGATCGGAAGATATTGTACGCTGTGGTGGTACCTCGTCCTGAATCGCTGGTTCCTTCGGTGGTTGTGTCGGTTTCGCCTCGGCAGCTGCTTCTGCGACACTGCCTGGCTGCTCTTGAGAGGTCCGCTTTCTTCGTTTCTCTTTTGTGCCTTGAGGTGGTGATGTCCGTTGTGGTTGCTCTTGCGGCGCTTCTTGCGGGAGTTCTTGTGGGGGTTCTGGTGACTCTTGCGATGCCGCGACTGGTGCCTCGACAGGTTGTGGAGGTACTTCCGGTGCTGTCTCCTGGACCAATTGCTCCTGCAGCTGCGGTTCTTGGGGTTTCTGGATTTCTTGCGGTTCCTGTACTTCCGGCGCTCCCTGTAATGGCGCCGCCTTGGCGGTCTGTGCCTTGTCTTCACGATTCATCTCCGGTTGTATTTGCGGTACACCTGTCGGAGCAGAAACAGGAGCTTCATTTGCTGGTTTCTCCTTGTCCTGACCAGGTATACCATCGGGTATTCCATCCGATTTCTCTGTCGCAGCAACCGCGGTATCACCGTTTCGTTGCGATTCAACCGGTTGGGGTCGGGACAGTCGACTCTTCGCACCTAATCGCCCTATCTTTGTAGGCGTCTCTGCGCATTGTAAGCAACCGTACAGTCTCAAATACGTATCCCAATAGAAAGGGGCGACGCACCGATCTTCCTCCGCTTAGCACTCCGCGGAAGCTCAATTTCGTCATCGTCCGACGGGATATCAAACGTCGAAGGTCTCTGCGGCCGTGCATTTCGCGCGCTTCCCGGTGTCCGCTGAAGCCCTTGCGATCCCGGTAAATCTGTCTTTGGCGATGATAGTTGAGCCTGGGCCGCAGGTTGTGTTTGTGGTTGCGGTGCCGGGGCAGTCGTGGGCTGTTGCGGCGGCGCTTCAGGAATCGAGGGGGCTAATCCAAAGGAGAATCCAAAGTCGACTTCTTTCGGCTTTCGTGATCTGCAGAAAGCGTGTGTTAGTTATTGTTTTCATCTGGTTTGGGAATCTTGTTTCGCGGGATGCGCGTACGCTGCTCCGCGTTGCCGCATTTGCAGCCGCTCCTCTCGATCTGGTGCCATTAGTTAGACAGTAACAATTAGAATCCGAATTAGACAAGGGCATACTGGGATTCATGGCTGAGAGCGACGCTCGTCGTGATTGACGCGTCGATATGGCGGTTGGTCCAGTTCTATGTAGAATGCTCCGTAACAGCTCGGCGGGCACCAAAGCGGTTAGTCTGAGATATGATTTTCTCTCCGCAAACACCACCATTGGGCAATACTACAACACTTTTATACAGATAACCACTGTTAACCAGAGAAAATGGGCTGGTTCTGGGGAAATTCCAACAAAGACGATCCCGTCAAGAACCTCGACCCGGGGCTCCGCGAGTACCTCGAGCACGAAGCTCCCACCAAATACGTCCCGACAACACAAACCCCCTCTCCAGACCCCTCCAAAACCGTCGAACCACCACAGTCCCCTCAACAATCTCAACCACAACCTGCAAACGAGTCCGAGAACAGTGTTCCTTCTGCCTCTCTCTTCCCCGACGGCCGGTATGCGCACCTATGGAAGACGTACAAGCCTCCGGAGTCGGAGGGCGCGGAACTCAAAGGCGCAGAGCGGGTGATTGGGAAGGAGAAGGAGCGCAAGGATACGGTACATCGGGCTGCGATGGAGAATTGCGCGTTGGAACATGAGGCTTTGACTTTGTGTTTCCAGACAGGGACTTGGCAGAAGCAATTGAAGGCGAGGGCGACTATGTGTTCGGAGGAGAATGGTACTTTCTCGAGGTGTTTTACGACGCAGTCGGTGAGTTTATCATCTCTATTTGAATCGGACTTACGAATAGAAGTGCTAAATGAGTAGAAATTCCTTCAAGCACTAGGATACACTTCCGCATTCGACTGGGACGCAGACAGAGAAGAACGCATCCAGATGCATGCGGACAAGCTCTACCACCAAATGCTGGACTATGAAAAGAAAGTCGAGCAGGCACGAGAGGCTGGCCTTGAACCACCACCAATCACTTCCCTCTTCAACCCGCAGGCGCAGACTACCACTGCACAGGGCCAGATCCCCAAGGGCAAAGCCGTCGAGATCCCTGGAGGAGAGTCGATTCCGGACGGTTTCAAACCGTCGAAACCGCTTGACCAGCTTACGCCTCACGAACGGGAACTGGAAATCCGGGCGCATAACTCGCAGTTGGAGCAGAGGAAGATGTACATGCAAGAAGCGGCGCCGTTCATGAAGACGCAGGAAGACGCGCGCTTAAAGAGACAGGAAAAGATGACGAGTTGGTTTGGAGAGACGATTGGACGATGGGTCACGTAGGATTTCTCTCTCTTTCTCTTATAATTTCATTTTCTCGTGTACATTAGTATGGCATTCTGTATGGCCAGGACATGGCGTTTGTTACGGATATGAAACGATTGATCGATAAGGTAGCATATTTTGAGGCAATAATGGAATTCCCAGCTCAATTGCTGCGTAGAAGTGGTAATATAACAGTGCACGCTGACTTCGCGTTGGCTATCATTCGCCGGGCGCGTGTTTTTGGTCTTTCGGAACGACATCACGACTCCCCCCATTCTCCTCATCTCTTCCAATTTACTCCTCGATCGCCCATGGATTCCTCTTGACCCTCTCAACGCGCTTCTCCTCGTGTCATGATTCTTGCTCTCAGGGCCATTCATTCTTCTTTCTCACGGCGGGCCCTGCCTCTTGTTTATCGTCCTTTATCGCAAAGTGAACCTCCGTCCATCGAGCAATCAGTCGGCCTTTCACCTCTTCGACACTAAATAAACATCGACAAGGATAATTCTTACGGCGAATTCCTTGTCTACTTCTACTTCTTTTTCTTCCCTGTTTTCCTCCGCAGCAACCTCGACCTGAGGATATTGAGTTGCTCAGCTGTCGCTCAACATGAAGGCCACTCCGTTGCTCATCGCATGGCACAATGACAATGCGCCAATCTACTCGGTTCATTTTGAGCCCAATGGCAAAGGCCGTCTAGCAACGGCTGGAAAGTGCGTTCCATACACCCCATTGTCTCGCTTGAAAGCCGTTACTAACAGCATCATTTCAACTTCACAGTGACAATAACGTCCGGGTATGCCTCTCTATCTACCTACCTGCCTCCCCTTCTATCCTGTGATTCTGTCCCGTCGTCTAACAGCAATTAATAGTTATGGAAAGTGGATTCGAACAAGGAGGAGCGAAAGGTTACCTACCTAAGCACGCTCGTGAAGCACACTCAGGCCGTCAATGTGATCCGGTTCAGTCCGAAAGGTACGCCCTACTCTTCGCTGGACATTGGTGATAGTTGGTATTGACTGGGGAATAGGCGAGATGCTGGCATCTGCCGGAGACGATGGAAATGTCCTTCTCTGGGTACCCTCGGAGCTGCAGACACAAGGCGGGCTCGGAGAGGATCGATCGGACGACAAGGAAACCTGGCGCGTGAAGCATATGTGTCGGTCGTCGGGAGCAGAGATTTATGATTTGGCTTGGTCGCCTGATGGTGTGTTTATTATTACGGGGAGCATGGATAATATCGCCCGGATTTATAATGCGCAAACTGGTTCGTTTGAGCCCTGTCCTTGCTTTGTTATCGTTGCTGATCGAGAAATGGATAGGACAAATGGTGCGGCAGATCGCAGAGCATTCGCATTATGTTCAGGGTGTTGCATGGGACCCTCTCAATGAATTTGTGGCTACACAGTCGTCGGATCGGTCCGTCCATATTTACAGCCTCAAGACGAAGGACGGTCAGTTCACGCTTACTTCGCATGGGAAGTTTTTGAAGATGGATTTACCGGCCAAGCGTATTCCATCGAGCAGTCCGGCTCCAGAACCTACGAGCAAGCCTGCGCCTACCAGCTCAGCGGCTATTACCTCCCCAGCTCCGTCAACGCCTGGGACTCCAATGGCTTCGAATTTACCAATGGATCCCCCGCCTGTGTCGCATAGCCGTCGGTCATCATTTGGCTCTTCTCCGTCGTTTCGTCGGTCAGCATCGCCTGCTGCATCATCCTTACCACTGCCTGCGGTCAAACCGCTCGAGGCTGCATCTCCTAGCATCAACACCCTAGGAATCAAGAACGCCAACCTATATGCCAACGAGACTTTCACATCATTTTTTAGACGACTGACTTTTACCCCCGATGGAAGCCTTTTGTTAACGCCAGCGGGACAATATAAGACGTCGCACGTATCTCCTACCGATCCCTCAAAGACTACGGACGATATCATCAACACGGTCTATGTCTACACGCGTGGGGGTTTCAACAAACCGCCTCTTACGCATCTACCAGGGCATAAGAAGCCCTCCGTGGCAGTCAAATGCTCTCCTATACTCTATACCCTGAGACAAACGTTTAAGCCTTCCAAGTATATCACCTTGGATACCTCGTCTGGAGATGACGCATTCGCTTCTCTTCCTGAGCCGGTTGTCGCCGCAGATTCTGCAGATAAGCAGTCTATGGACCCTCCATCAAATACCAAGAAAGCAGAGGGCGAAGGCGCTTCCGGCAGCCCAAGCCCAGTGTTTTCATTGCCATATCGGGTTGTGTATGCTGTAGCCACACAGGATGCCGTTCTGGTATATGATACCCAACAGCAAACACCGATATGCGTGGTCAGCAACCTGCATTTTGCAACCTTTACCGATTTGACATGGTAAGTCAGATGCGTTTTAATTCTAAGTAAATAGCTAACTGTTCGCAGGTCTGGTGATGGCCTAACACTGGTCATGAGCTCGTCTGATGGGTTCTGCTCCACTCTTTCTTTTGCACCAGGGGAACTGGGACAGACATATACAGCCACGACGGCATCTCAACCTGTTACTTCGAGTGCAACACCCAACCCTTTACCGACACAACCACATGCAGCTTCGCCCGCTGCCGCAACAACCCAACCTAGCTCGGCCCAGGTTGTTGTTCCCCCAGCTAGCCCGGCACGTTCCAACTCGGCCACCCCAGCATCATCAGCCTCCGTGATCAACAATCCTACACCAACGCTCGGGTCCGTCCCTTCGGTGACAGCAACTCATTCCGCACAACCACCTACTCTTCCTTTAACCACACCTCCGCAAACACCGTCCTCTGTCTCGCAGAGCGGATCAAACACCACCACAACAGCAAATAATACCGTCCTCGGCAAGAGAGAGGAGAGTCAAGATCAACAACAACAGGAGCAACAACCGAAGAAGAGGCGGATAGCGCCGACTCTCGTCTCTACCGATGGTCCCGGAGGTGGTAGTGATTCAGCTCCCGCTCCTTGATGGTTCTCAGGTTAGGTTATCGATAACATAGATTTGTACTGAGCTTGTTATTAATATCCCTTTGTTACGCATGTATCTTCTCTGTTTAGGTTACGAATGGGTTGATGTGAATTGAATCGGATGAATCTAAGTCCTGCTTGCTTTATGCCTATTTCGTTATTGTATGGTTTTTTTTGACTCGATCAAATATGATTGAAGTTCAATACAGTCCAATCCATGTTGAAGCTCACGCTTTGCTATATGTCTTCTTTCTGTGGCTCCATTCAAGGTAGCATATAACATGCTTAGCCGGGCATAGAAGATAATCTACATAGGGCAAGCTAATTAGTGACGCAAGAGTTGTACATACATCCAAGCCACTCAAGCAAACCAGCCTGTTGGAAACTGCCACATAATCCGCTAACCCACTAACCCACGGTAGCCATTTAGCAGATGTCTCTTAACGCTGACAGATAACAGCAACGGACACATTGACTGAGCTCGAATTGCCTCATAGATTGTTTAAGTACGCCGTGATTGTGTGTAGTGATTATAGCAAGAAAATGCTTTTGTCTTGCCAGGCGGTTTGTTTTCTTATTCTTCGTTTCAGATTCGATGAGAACGGCGTGTTCTTCTTTTCAGCTTTGGGTTTAATGTTTTCTTCCCAATCTGTGAATCCTCCCAACCTTATTGCATTATGGGCAGCTTCGGTGCGAACATTGCAATGGCCCTCGCTCTCCAGCTTATCATTGTCGGAATTATAAGGAGCCAGCGAAACATTCATCCGTGGGCATCTGCTCTCGGCCGCGACACGCTGTGCAACCGCAAAAGCTCACCAATTTCTTTCATCACTGCCAACTATAATGATGTCTACCACGAGACATACCAACCTTCTGGTCATTAAGCCGACCCGGGAAAACGTATACTATCAATCTCACTGTCACAGACAGTCCCAATTGCTTGACAAATGCCAGCTCTATCACAATCACTACAGGTTAGATCACCGAGCGACATACTCTGAATGGAACCTTCGCCTGAACGCAACGAGAATCCGAAGCCAAAGAGAGCATACGAGCAGGCCAAGTAGGATAAAACCGGTCAACAAGTGCAGGGAGGAGTGATTCCAGAACCTACAACCCTCTCTGAAACAGACCTAGATACCACCGCCGAGAGACTGATTCAAACGACAAGTACCGCCCTTGACCAGCACATACCAAACTAAAAAACCGGCACCGTACTCCAAGCGATGGTTCACCCTGGAGTTCAAAGTCTAGCAGGTCGAGGCCAACCGGGCACGTCAAAGATGGCAAGACAGCTATGCAACCAAAGTTAAGTCACTACAGGTTTGACCGGATTGGTAGTCATGCCTATTACGGGAACCTATTGTACGATTACTCAATTGGATAATGCGGAGGGGAAAGAGCCGTGGAGAGCCGTAAAAAAGACCAAGTCTGGTTGTTTGTCTTAGATTGATGTGGCTTTCATGTTACTGGACATTGCATCTGTTGTCTCAGTGGCTGACAAGGGATCAGTTTTTCCGAAATTCGACATTTAGATGTCCTCTACAGAAGACATTTATTACATTCGTAGAGTCCAAGGGGATCTGTGGAAGTCATAAAGGGTAAATAATCCAATGCATAGCCTACCTGTGTAAGCCCTATTATGGTGGTGAAATCCATTTTACATTGTTCATGGTATCTGCTGGATTGGAGGTAGTTTCCAATAATAATGATACGCTATGAATCAACTGGCCTTGGTGACAGTCTGTAGGGAGGTAGGCTGCCATGATATCAAAAGACGTTCTGTTCGACGTTCGTTGACTCGTATATGATTTCGAGGTCAAGACTGAGGGGATTGTTTGTAGTGGCCATAATTACTGTGTGTATAGTAAACCATTAATTGAGGTGCGTGGGGAAGCAGTTGGTTCAGCTGGGAGCATGCTTATTTAATCAAGCATCCATCAGATAACGTAATCAACCACCGAGCCGCGGATACCACCGAACCGCGGATTTTCACCGCGCCCACCACTATTTGAAGCTATTCAACCACCAACACCATTGAATTTGACTAACTAAATATATTGGAAAAAATAGCTATTTAGTAGGGCAATTCCGAATCGTATGTCCAATTATCCCACAGCCGCTGCAGCGTTGCGGAGCTCGTCGTCGAGGCACAGGTGTAGATTCCTCAGGCTGCTCATTAAGCTGCATATCAAGCTGCTGAACCCGATTTTGGCCCTCCTGTACAGATAAAAGAGTGTCTTTACCTATTAAAGCACGTCGCCTTGCCTTTTTCCTATATTTTCGCTCATTTTCAGCCCGTACTGTCTTGATTTCTTGTTGTAAAAGAAGGTTGGTATGCATAGCCATTTGCGCAGCCTTTTCAAGATGTTGAATATGAGCAATAGGACTGCTAGAAAGCTTCCGTTTCGCGCTAAGACTATTCTGTAGACTGCGTATCCTTCGATCTAGCTGATGAGTATTCTGTGGAGTCTGAAATACAGAGGAAATTGAGCCTTCAGCTAATGGTGGTGTTGGTGTACGTGGTTGAAAAGTAAGCCTAGAAAGCACTCGCTCTTGATCAAGTGGCTTAAGTCCTGCTCCTGCGAATCCACTGCAGATTTTTGCTGAGGTAAATGCTTCAGCACGTGCATCTGGATATAAAGATAGAAAGTCTTTATCAATATGATTGTTACCGACAACCATACGCTGCTCAAGAAGCTTTCCGTATGCGCTTTTAAGCGGGCTAAAAACACCCACATCAAGTGGTCGAAGGAGCTGTGAAGCACGGGCAGGCATGCAAAGACAAATGATTGCATTTTGCTTGCAGAAATCATCGAATTCAGCAATTAGATGGCTACTATGGCCATCAAGAATAAGCAATCGCTTAGCACCAGTCATATAGCGCTTAGAACATGGTTCAAGGACATCTTTTAGCCAGCGAAGGCCTGTTTGATCGGTTATCCAGTCATTCTGACTAGTTGCAATCCACTAGTCTCCAGCAAGCTTAGGTTCTTGGAACCAGGCAGCTTGTTGATAGCTTGCTTTAAGTACAATGACTGGTGGTATATGGATGTCTCTTGAACTGACTGGTTCAATAATTGTGACCCATTCACAATTGCCCTGTATAACTCTACGCGGTCGCTCACTGCGCTCAACTGCAGTAGTCACCTTAGGAGTGGAGCAGAGTCCCATTGCAAAGCCAGTCTCGTCGAAGTTCCAGATATCATCTTCATGTATACCATGTTCTTGAATAGCTGCTTGTACAGTCTGAAACCAGGGTATTATAACTCTGGGATCTTCCTGTTTTGCATTTTGATATGTTATTCGTCTTGAATATCACGTACGTAGCTCAGGATGGCATTTGACAAATTTGTAGGGCCAGTTGATTCCAAGAGTTGCAGTAGGGTCCTGGAGACGCGTGCGAAGAAGTATTTGAGCCATTCCATGCAAAAACTCTGGTCAAATTGGAAATCCTCGCTTATCTGCATAAAGAAGCTGCTTGAGAAGCGATTCTTCTTCAAATTTAGTCAATTTATGTCCATTGGCGCGTGTTTCTCTGCGTGATTTTGATCCACTAAGCAGATCGCGTAGGGTACTTTCAGGGACCGCAAAGACTTTAGAAGTGCGTAATATTAATTCAATTTGACCCTTCTGATATGCTGAAATAGCCATCTGAATGCGTGATTCTTTAGAGAGGCATATTAGATCGTGGTGGTGAACTTTGACGCGTTGAATGAAGAAGCTGGAAAATTAATTGAAAATCCGCGGTTCGGTGGTTGATTACGTTATGGCCCATGTAGACTGGGGATCGTGGGGATCGTGCTGTGCAGCTAATAGTGGAACTTTTGAACCCTGACAATCAGTCTTGAGGCTATGATACCTAACATACCCTAAGGAATTACTGTTTAGCAGGAATAAGGATGAGAACGCCTCATATCATGCCCTATGTGATTTCATTCAGCAGTCTAACATCAACATCAACAAAGTGTCCATTTCAAGTTCAATTTTGACCGACTTCAACCTGCTCCTGTGCTATATCTCTGTTTTATTGCAAGCACTATATACAGAACCTGGTATTGTCTATAGGATGTCAAGAGAAACGGCTTCTGAGGCCATTCGCCTACCAACTGTCGCTGAGATCGAGGCCGCGACGGAACTCATAAGCACGCCTGGCACATCCGCCAAAGTCGTCCGGGTAAACAAAAGTCTCGCAATGAAAATGGGCCACAGTGTACCCCTTATCGAGGCTGAAAACATGAGTTTTCTCGCGGCAAACAGCAGAGTCCCAGTCCCCAAAGTCCACGCAGCCTTCAGGGATCCCAACACCAACAAGACTTATATTATCATGGAATATCTCCCTGGTGATACCCTTCAAGAATTGTTGCCATTCCTAAGACCGGTTGAAAAGGCTACGTTAAGCAAATTAATTAGAGACGCGATTACGGAGCTACGGAGTATACCACCACCAGATTACTTCGGGATGTTGAATCGCCAGCCTTATCTTGACGGGGTATTTTGGACTGAAGGCCTAAATCCTAAAATTTCTGGTCCCTTTGCAAATCAGGGAGACATGAATCTTGCGATCATCGAGAAACTTCGCCAGACAGAATCAGACCAATACGTTCAATTGTTGCGGAATATGATTGATCGGACTCTGAACAGCCACCGCACTGTTTTCACCCACGGTGACCTTCAGCCAAAAAACATTATGGTTGAAAGGCTCGGAGATCGCGACGGATGCCCAGAATTTAGGATCACTCTACTGGACTGGGAAAGTGCTGGATGGTATCCGGAATTTTGGGATTTCTGCAATGCTACAATCGCCTGTAGATTCAAACCCGACTGGCTTGAACTTGTGCCTTGTATACTGGACCAATACCCGATGGAATTTCTCATGATGCAGGTAGTGTATTCTTCTGTGTTCTACTAGGTAAAGAAGAGACAAAGCAGATAGAAACAGAAACAGCAGATTCAAGAATAGGATACATTTTTCGCGTGGTTCGAGAATAAAAATAATGGCAGTGGCCGCGCTGACAGCCATGAAGACCATGTAGAACTTCCATCCGATGGTGGTCAACGCCAGAGTGACTGGTACACTGCAGGCGACCGCATTCCCGAAAAAGCTCACAAAGGTAATGGTGGCACTCTCGCTACGGTGTGTAGGCCAGATCTCCGATCCATACACGTACGCAGTGCACTCAATGGTCAAGGTGAAGAAGGTACCGAAGATGAAGTACATGGCAACGGCTCCGTTGATACCCGGCATTTAACCCGTATGCAGGTGGAATTCTTCCAGGGCCCCATGGTGACAATGATAACAGCTGAGTCAAAGCCTCCGATCACTGGTCTGGGTTAGTATAGCCCTGGGAAGAAATTAAAGGCAAAACGCGGATAGACCTAGGAGCTTCACGCGGCCAGCCCGGTCCAGAAGGAGGACGTTTAATCTGCAGCCGATTACGGCGCAGACGGACCACACTACGCCGAGTCTCAGTTGCATTGTAGTTCCAAATCTTAACATACTCATAAGAACCGAGATCAAGTTGCCGATGGCCATGATCCCAGTGCTCTGAGCCATGGCCCACAGGAGAATGCCCCAAAGAGTACATTTGCGGTGTGAGGATGTCCGAAGAATATGTAGAGAGCCGCTGGGGGTGTTCTCTTCCGCTTCGACTTGGGCCTTGATCTGCTTCGCCTCGCCATGTGTAAATGCTGCCATAGGATCATGCTTCGTACGACGTAGGTACTCTAGAACGCGCGTAGCCTCGTCATCACGGCCCTGCTTCATCAGCCAGCGAGGAGACTCGGGAATGAAACAGAGCGACACCAAATGAAGGACGCCGATGGCGGTCAGGATGATAAAACAAGGCGCCACTGAACAAGCACGGTGATGAAGCTGAAGGTGGGAGCACACACTGCAGCTAGAATATATGCTACTAACACCGCACAGCACAGCGCAACAATGAACATCCTAACATCAACAAGCCCGCCTGGAGAGCGCCCAAAATGATGACAGTGACCAAAGTGGCAGCATTGGCAATCTGTCGACGGAACTTGTTTGCGAGAGGGGCCTGCAGCAAAGGTCCGACAAAGGCGCCTCCGAGGAACCGAAAAAAAAAAATCATCAGACCAATAGAAGGAAAGAAACAACTAAAAGACTTGCCCTCCAAGCCACTCGATTCCTGGCGAGAGGCTTTATCTGGCGTGGACAGGAGCTTTTTGATGAATGTCGTCTGGGACAGCGTGCCTGTGAGCGCGTTTGCCGCGAAGCCGTACACAAATCCTCCGGGGCATGCAGTAGCAGCAACCTAGCGGGTTAACAAAGTCATCCTAACCCAGGACCAGCGAGTCACACCCAAAATATTGACCAGGCTGGTCTCGTGTACTTTGCTGCCCTGGACGCTCCTGACATCAACAGCCTGCACCAAATGTTGGGTCTTAGCTATGGAGACATGTTCTATCTGACGGACAAAAAAAAAAACAAAGGACTCACAAGGATGACAAGGGTTGGAAGAAAAGACCGGGATTATGACCTTTCATTGCCGGTTCCCCTACCCAGCTGGCCCAAGACTTGTGGACAACCGTCGTCGAATCCTTCATCCCAATCCAATGAAAATGGATCGCGCCACTCCTTCCATCGTGGAGGCAGCCCTAATAAGTCTCGTGCTCCCTTGCTATCCGACATTGGCAGTGCGAGTGGCTCCATTTCGCGAACAAGCCAGCAAATTGTCCAGGATCAACCGGTTAAAACTCTCGGAAATAAATCCGGACGAATCCTATGAGGTAGACTACTGCTGTCAGGCTATTAGCCCCGCAATTAATTCTCCTAAGCACGCAGGACGGCCGATCCCTGCTTATTGGAGTAATTTCCACTCACACGGAGCTCCCGACGGCCCCCATGCTTTCGCATCCTAGTGTCAACGGTGAGTATGGCCCTCAACAGGCCAACGGTCTTGCTAGCGCAATCCTGATATATATTCCCGTCTCAACCCCTGCCCTAGAGTCTGTCAATCCCTATTAGAACCATTGTCCCGTTGATTCTTCTTGGATGTTGACATGATGGACCCCTCAGAAGCACCCATCTTTCCTGTCCTCAAAGGCAAGGTCGCCCTCATCACGGGTGCCGCCCAGGGCATGGGCAAAACCACTGCCTCGGTGTTTCTGCGGGCTGGAGCCAAGGTGATGATTGCCGACATTAATCCCAACGGTGTACAGGTCGCCAAAGAGTTCTCTAATCTGGGGGAAATTCGGTTCATGTTGGCCAATATTTCCAAGTCGGAAGACGTACAGAAACTTATTGCAGAGACTGTGCAGGTGTTTGGAAGATTAGATGTGGCGATTAACAACGCTGCCATGTCACCCGATAACACGACCCTCTTAGAGTTCGATGAGGACTACTGGCGGAAATTGATAGACATTAATTTGACTGGAACGGCGCTGTGCTGCAAATACGAGATGCAGCAGATGAAGAGACAGGGGCCAGAATCCAGGGGGTCTATTGTTAATATTGCGTCGATTAATGCCTTCGATCCGCAGCCGAATATGCCGGCCTACACAGCGGCCAAGCATGCCATCCTCGGATTGACGAAGCATGCAGCAAATGAGGGCGGCCCCTCAGGCATCCGCGTCAACACAATTGCCCCAGGGCCTATCTATGTATTCCCTCCCCCTCCCCAAAGAAAACGCCCCAGGGATTCGTTGTAGTTAATCAATAGCAGAGTGAAATGTCCGCCAGAGCGTTGGAGATCATGGGTACAACACAAGAGGAGTTCGCAGGCAAGGTGAGCGTCTTGGAGCGATTTGGACAGCCTCATGAGGTGGCACATGGGTCGCTTTGGCTGGCGTCAGATAATTCGTCATACGTCACCGGAGTTTGCTTGCCTATTGACGGAGGGGCTCTCATCAAGTGGTAGATAGTTGTTATTAGGGGTAAATCATTTATTGGAGTGCCTCGCCGGAGTGGCGAGATGTGGGTCATGTACGTACACAAGTATATGAATAATGGCGATTGCATGGTTTTCGGGCCCAGGATTTTTATCTAAATTAGTTGATGTCCTTTCCCGCTTTTCTGTTCACGATGGAGAACGGATGTGTCTGTTGGATGATAAAACGATGGAAGTCCCCGCTATAAATCCAGGGCCAGATTCCCGATTTACATCCCCAACCCTAACTAGTATTACTAATCATGGGCAGTTGGCAAAATAACAACCCTTTCCCGCTCATGTTTGAGCACAAGCTCGCCATCGTGACAGGCTCCGCACGTGGTATGGACTATGGACCCCATCTGCAGTGGTGATAGTAACAAAGATTCTCAGGTATCGGTGCCGCAATTGCGCGCAACCTCGCCAGCAAAGGCAGTAATGTAATCATCAATTATGCCACCGAGGGCTCGGATGTGTCGGCCGCCGCTCTTGCTGCTGAATTTGAAGAGACATACGCTGTGCGCGCTCTTCCCATCCGAGCTGATATCACCTCCCGAGATGAATGTGATCGTTTGCTGTCGACCGCCAAAAGTCATTTCTCAGACTCGGGAAAATTCCAAATCGATATCATCGTGCACAATGCAGCGATCGTGTATCTCGGTCCACTCGAAGCGGTCAAGGAAGACGAATTTCACCGGATCTATGAGGTCAACGTTCTTGGACCGATTTTGCTGACAGGCGCCTGCAAACCATACCTTCCTACTGATCGTTCCGGGCGCATCGTGCTATTATCCAGCATCAACTCTAAAGTGGGTACAGAACACACGACACTATATTCTGGGACTAAAGGCGCGGTGGAAGCCATGACGCGCGTATGGTGTCGAGAACTAGCAGAGAGGGCCACGGTCAACTCGATCAACCCAGGTCCAGTGATGACCGACATGTATCTCAATGCACCAGATGACATTAAACAAGTTCTCTCGCGGTGGAACCCTCTCACGCCCTTGGCCCCTGTGCGGGAGAGTGACAGTGAAAAAGTTAGGGAAATTGGACAGAAATTTGGCGGCAGGGCTGCCTACGCTGACGAGATCGCGGGATTGGTGGCTTCCATTTGCAGCCCTGAATTTGGATGGTCAACGGGGGGTATCATTTCTGCTAATGGTGGGTTGTCATTTAGTATTTAAAAATATATATATAAGGGAGGTTGTCAGACATGGGAGAATAAACAAACCAAAATCAATTAGATTGACAAAAAAACAAAAAAAGAAAACCAGACAGAGGACTAGAAGGGGTACGAGTAAATCCGAGTCCAAATCCGAATCAGAATAGTTAGTAGTTATCACTGATGAGCACAAAAGTCTTAGGAACTTCAACCTTCCTTGCAACTTACCCGTTTCCTGTCCATTGGTGAAAATGCCCTGCTCAAATCGCCTTGGGACGCTGTTTGAGAAACCACACAAGTGGAGCTCATTCCATCGAGATCTCCTTCGAACTAAGGAAGATCAGGTGTCGGAGGAACTAGTCAGCTCCACATATATACCCCAAGATGGAGATCAAGGTATATTCGCTTTGACCTCACTAACCCTTATTTTAGAACTTGAAACTATCGCCACACGTTCCGCCGGACCGGAGAAAGAGAGTATCGATGACGGCACCGTCTAGCCCGACTACAAGGAGAGCCCTTTCTGGTCTGTTTTCGCCATCTTAAGAGATACGATGAAACTGGAAGAAGAAGAAGAAGAAGAAGAAGAAGAAGAAGAAAAGGAAGCAGAGGGAGGTGGGCCTCAGAGTGACTATTTACGAATGTCGAAACTTGTTGAATTTATATTTGATGCTGTTACCATGCGCGTTGACTTGGATACCTGGTTGTATGTCGACCCTTTGCAGAATGATATCAGCCAGGCATGCTCACTAAATTTATCTCAGTGAATGGTGCTTTGAAACCCACAGGAGCTATTGGCAGGAACTCCGACGTCCAAAACAAGATCTCATTTCCAGTTGTCACATTTTCGGTATGTCTTGAGTCCCTGACTACTAATCACCAGATGCAATATCTACTAATATGTATACCAGGCGATGAACCCCAAAACCCAGACGCTGTCTGTCATGAAACCCCACAAGTCCTCCAAGCAATATCGATGTTCCAAAGGAATCCAATACTCAAAACATACACAGGATTTGCCCTCTGGATTCAAGGAGCCAAACTTCGACTTAGTTCAGCCACAATTTCTCAAGCCTCCGTTCACAATATCAGTCACGACAAACCACCAATTGGAGATTTTACACTTCACCACTCCGTGGCTTATGACCTGCATAAATCAAAGCATCGAAGAGAAGTCCTGAGAATTCTCGTCGGTATTCTGAGGCGCCTCGATGCTGCGCAATATTGAATAATTAGCCTGGTATCTCTTTGTGCCACCTTTTACAGGCAATTATGGGACAGTATGTAATGTAAAGTAGGAGTTACTTGGTCTATCTTTATTGAAGCTATTTATTCCTAAAGAGTGCAAGTACAGTGGATATTGTGTAGTTAACGCTGAGAGCAATATCACCCGGTATATCTAGCAAGTTTCAACCAAAACGAACTCTTCCAGGCTAAACCCTGTCCTTTCAAGAAGGGATCTGCTCTCCTGGTATATGTGAAGAGATAAACTAGGGCAAAGGTACCATAAACAGAATCCCTCAACGTGGAGGGGCAAAGTGTAGAGGGATATTACAGGCCAGTGAATGACCCAACACCCTAAAACCCTCGCTTACCCATGTTGTTGCAAGCAATTACGCCCAATTCTTGAAGAAAATCGGCTCTGGCCCTATTACTGCGGACCCTAGCATCTTCATGAATAAGCGAGGATTGACCATCGCCCTGTACGTGGATGATATCGTCATATTTGGCAAGGATCAGGATGAGATAGATGTGGTCAAGAGGAAGCTGAAGGAATTCCACCCTATGACTGATGCAGGTTTAGTCAAGAAGCTTCTTGAGATCCGCTTCACATGGAAGAAAAAGAAAGATGAGTCTTTTCGCCTAAACCAGGAATCCTATGCATGTCAGGTTATAGAGGAGGTTGGTATAGCTGATTGAAATCCAACAAGTATACCAATCAGCCCAAGCGTCAAATCGAACTCAGAGGATAGTTTGTGATTAAGAAGCGAGCAATAACTGTTCTGGAGATTGATTGAATAACTGATATTTCTGGTTATAATGACCAGACTGGATATCCCCTTTACGGTGAATCAGCTGTCTCAATATCTTGCTGAACCTCGCCAAGTTCACCTCGGGGCAGCCAAATACACACTCTGATATGCCAAGGGAATTATCACCTTTGGATTGACGTTTGGTGCAAAGGGGAGACTGATAGGATTGAGCGCATATGCGGATTCTCTATATACCAATTCGGCAAAGAGCCGGCCAACCACTGACTTTATATTCATTATTGATGGAAATCCGATTACTGCGCAGAGGCTGAATATATGGCAGTTTTAGAGGCCGCCAAACAAGCAATTTGAACCCGCCACTTTCTATATGCTGTTGGAAGAGGACTGATTGGGCCCAGTCATATATGAAGACAACCGGGGCGCCATTCACCTAGCCGATAATCCTGCTGACCACCTAAAGACGAAGCATATAGCCATTCACTACCATGCCATTCAGGACCCTATAGGCAATGGAGAGAATTCGCATTGAGCATTTGCCAACAGGCAAGTTGATCGCTGATGCTTTAACAAAGGCCACCCATCATGAGGCTCATACGCGATTCCTTGACAGCGTGAGCATCGATTAATCGGGGCGAGAAAAGAAGGATTTCAAAATATGGAAGTTGAAGCATGCGTCCAACCACCGCTTATAAAATTGTCAATTGCTATTGTTTTCTTGTTTGCCAGTTAAATTGGTGTTCACGGTGATTGTACGAAGGGGAGTGATGAAAGTCAAGACGGATTAATGGTTGGCCTGCTTACCGAGTCCGACAGATTCCTCATATAGGAACACCGTAGTCATACGCTTTAGATGGCTAAGCACTCATTCTATTGCGATTTCAATCCATACCCCTCACGAATAGAATTTCCTAGGATCGGTCTCCTCCATGGCAATGGAGTACGAGTTTGGCGGACCGTAGGAAAATCCCACTCGTTGATCCAAATCAAAGCTAATGTCACGTTACAGCCTGGGTGCTGCAGCCATCACCTTCGGCCTGCCATTGCTGCTATATTTCTTTGCTTTTAGTTGTTTGTAATGATGTTGCTGGCTGTCCTATACTATCTCTCCTACCCGCTCGCCCCCTCACCTGGGCAAATGTGAAAGCAGACACGGGTCTACTGAATCTCAGTATAAGCAACTTCGTCAGCTGGGAAGCAATCTTCACTACCACTGTCTACTATGTTTACAGCCTCCTTCTCTGGAGAATTTTCCCTGCCAAAGAAGTCCACGGCACCAAGCTGGTGCACCATGGTCGTCCACTATCGTATCGCTTCAATGGTATATATATACGAACCCTGTCACATCCTCTTCTGAACATCGGTTTGGATTAAGAATTTTCATTACAACATTCTCTGCAATTGTGGTTACTCTAGCCGTCTGTGCTGCCGGAACCTACCTGCAAGGTGCTCATTTCGCCGTCTGGGCTTATATTTCCGACCACTATGTGCAGCTTTTAACTGCTAACATCCTGACCTCATACGGTCTCTCCGCATTCCTTTATATCTGCAGTTTCAGTGTGAACACGAAATATCCCAACCGGGTTCTTCGCGAGTTAGCTGCCGGCGGTACCACGGGGAATGTTTTCTATGATTTCTACATTGGCCGCGAGCTGAACCCCCCGTCACCTTTCCATTCTTCGGAGAAATCGACATCAAGACTTGGTGCGAAGTCTGTCCCGGTCTGACCGGATGGATTCTGTTGGATCTGGCCTTCATCGTCCAGCAATACCGCAGCTACGGCTACATCTCCGACAGCATTGTCTTCACAATGGCCATTCAGGCCTACTATGTGCTCAGCAGCCAATACAACGGATCCAGCATCCTGACCATGATGGACATCACCACTGATGGCATGGGCTTCATGCTCTCCTTCGGCCATCTCGTCTGGGTTCCGTTCCTGTACTCCACCCAGTGCCGCTACCTTGCCGCCTACCCCATGCATCTGGGTTGGACGCGGATCACGGTCGTGAGTGCCATTTTTGTCCACAGCATCTATATCTTCAATGCCGCCAACAATCAGAAGCACATGTTCCGGACCCAGCCTAACTAACCCGCCGTGACTAAACTCCCCTACATCCAGACTAAACGGGGCACACGGCTCCTCGCTGCTGGGTGGTGGGGGATCGCTAGATATACTAACTACTTTGGAGACTGGTTGCAGGCACTCCCGTTCAGCCTGCCGACGGGACTCGCGGGGTACATAATTCTCCCGGGGAGCGTCGTGGCGGATGCCTCCCAGGCTGCCGTTCCAACGTTGGATGGCAGAGTGGCGTGAGTGCTCTGTTTCTGCCTGAATATTCGGGGTATCAAGACAGAGAAGTAGATTTATGGGGCTTCCTTGTTATAATATAGCTACTGTAAAAGATTATGGAAAGGTTATATTCTGGATGGTATAGGGCTCTATCCGGTGCCGGGTCTTTTTTCAACGCAACTCGAGCTCTATCTACGAATGTAGAACCCCAGGATCCAAGGCGTCACGGTAATTGATAGGATGGTTAGCATTAGGTTTAATTCGGGGGGTGAATAAGGATATCGGGGTTGAAGATGAAATCCATACGCAGGTGGAGAGGCGTGGTCTATAGATAGCTACAATGCATTTACCAAGCACAGGATTATGAGTCCATGCCAACGCCAATGATTAACTAAATCCTAGCCTAATTAACAAAGAAACAGAAAGGAGAAAGAAAATGGCACCACAACAGCCCAATCTGCTGCTTGGCCGTCAGAAACCGGCAGACGTATATCAAACAGAGCAGCGGTAAACCCGCGGAAGGTAACATGAAAAAAGATAGAAGTACATCAAGTCATTATTGTTTTCATCGTAGGATCCGCAAGTCGCTAAATACGCACTGATATGAAGGAAACTGTACAAGGAAGCGTGGTTTCTTCGAGTCCGTCGAACCAGTATGGCTGCTATCTCCAATAGAGAAACGGACTCGAAGTCCCGAAACTGCCGGCAGACGGCGCCTGGCTGAATTGAACATTGAATGCAATAGGACGTCAGACTGGCCCTAACGCCCACCCGACCAGTGATTCACACTGACGGAAATTTTCGGCGCTGGAGTAGTACCAATGCTCTCAAAATGCTGGGTCCCGACTAAAGGGGTACTGCACGGGAGATGGACCATTTCAGGCCATTTTATGACCAATAATCACTTTTGACGGTGACATCATGTGGATGCCGAGATCTTGGCAGTATAAAGAACAATACCGCTTTAGTAACTTTGGGCTGATACAGGCGCAGGCTGCAAGTTTGTTAGCAAATGAAATCATAAAATTGATCAGGGACAAAAGTCTCGGCACAGTTGCACAAGGGCAGGATTTTAATTCTAAACCTTGGCGAGATAAAGAAAGGGGAGTAGGTAAGCAAGGGACTACTTACAGGACTACTCAAGATACTGTTCCGCTTGTTCCGGCCCTTCTTGATATGATTTTTCAAGGCAGCCGAATCCAAGGGTTTCAAGAGTTCGAAGCTACAGAGCAGCTCACCGGAAACCGACATGATCGCACCCCAGTTATCGAATTCACCGCAGTACTGTGATTGTTAGTCTCCTTTATACACAAGCACGAAATGGAGTACATACGTTAGGAGCAGAGAAAACCGTGACCAGAACCCGATCCTGATAGAATTCATACCCGTCCTCGACAACCATATGAGCACGGCAAACCAGATCGAAATCGTGACGCTGCAAGAAATTCATAATAACCTGCTTGCCGAAACAGTAACTAACTCCACGCTCGTTGGGTTCCCAATCTTCCTCCATATCTGCCGGATCACTCCAGAGAAGATCGTTGAGCAACCCATAATCCGGCACGTCAGTGGGACGAGCGATGCCTCGGATATCGTCCATGTGCGACAGACTAGGGGACAGACCGCCGTGGACACAGAAGATCTTTCCAGCAACGATGGAAGCAATGGGGAGGCAGTTGAAGGTGTCTATGAAGGTCTTCCAGACCTTGATGTTGCAACGGCGCTTACACTCATCATAGAACCCATACACACGGGTGACGTTGGCGCATTCGTGGTTGCCTCGCAAGAGGAAGAAGTTCTCTGGGTACTTGAGCTTATAGCACAGAAGCAGCAAGATGGTTTCCAAGCTCTGCTTCCCACGGTCGACATAGTCACCTAGGAAGAGATAGTTTGAGTTCGGAGGGAAGCCGCACATCTCGAACAGTCGGATAAGATCGGTATATTGACCGTGCACGTCACCAACGATCTTCACCGGAGCCGACAGCTCCAGCAGTGCCGGCTGCGAAAGGAAGAGCTCTCGAGCCGCTCCGCAAATCGCGGTGATCTCTGCATTTTTCAGGCAGACAGTCTTGGTGACCTTGGTCGAGTAGCCGGCATCCAGCAGGCGCGAGATCATGTCGTCCAGGTCAATGGACTTCAGAGCCCCCATTCCCATTCCAGGCGACCCACTAGTCTCCAAGGGAGCATTCATGATGAAATCCAAGATAGGGTTGAGCTGGTTATCGCGCTTGATAAGGATCGATTCGACGGCCTTCGGTTTCTCCTTCTCCGGAGCGCCACCGGTCGGGGGTACATCCGAAACATGATCGACCTCCCCACTCGCCTGCATCTCGTTCACGTCCTTGTGGCCCTTTTTCAGACTGTTGGACATCGAAGGTGACGGCGGGGGGTCGGGAACATCGGACTGGGCACCGGCATCCTCCGATCCCGGGCTCTGAGGGTTGGAATCGCGTCGACTTCCAGTCGACTTGGCCGACTTTGCCGACTTCACTGACCCTGTATCCGACTTGTCTGTCTGGCTATCCGTCCGAGACAACCCCGTGAGAGACGCGCGAGGACTATCGCTACTCCTAATCTTGGACCGAATCGAGCCGCGAAGGGAGCGTCGAGACTCTTGGGTGTCCGAACGAGTGAAGGAAGGGTACGACTGCAATGGGTCGCCGGAGCTAGAGCCGCCCTTGGAATGTGATTGACCCATGACTGCAAGGTAAGATATCTGCCAAGCGCGGGAGGTGGAAAAGAAGGATCAAAGATGGCAGATAAAAAACAAGCGTTAGGAAAAGACAGCGGGCGCACGGAGCCCTGCAATTGGCGTTGGAATGCTGAAAAGGTGTCTTGGTCACCACCGTTTCAGCCGAAGCGTCCGCAAACAGTTAAAAGGAGGTGGTGTCCCGCCGTTGGGCAGAGAAAAATAGAATAAGAAAAAATTGAAAACAACGCCAAGCAGGCAACAAACGCCAGCCAATGCTGAATGAAACTTTCCCTTTTTCAGAATTTATCGAAGGCCCGTGCTAAATTGAAAGGCCCGTGTGAAGAAAGCCAGAACACCCGATCGGGGTCAAACAATGCAACTTTTATGATGAGACGGTCTGGGACGAAGACGAGCTCTCCCCGGGTCGGGACTATCCTTCACCAGTGAAGAGAATAGCAGAGCAAGACGGCGAAAAGGAGCGAATGTGAAGCTACGAAGGACAACCGAATGGCATCACAGCACAGCAACAGCACAGCAGACCACAATGCACCACGATCAGCAGAGCAAACTAGACGCAGCAGCAGCAGAAGCTACTTTTATCCGAGTCACCGACAGGAGAACGAAGAATAGGAGCTAGGAGAAGCTGGAGGAAGAGGGAAAGGATCCGATTCGTCAAAAGAAACGACCGCAACCTGCTTTGGTATGTACTATGTATACGAAAATGGTCAGTTGATGTGATTTGGGCAGGTGACGTGGAGATGTCAAAGAATCAGAAGCTGGAGCCCCAGACGGAAACGAGAGGAATAATGCGGAGGCGAGGAGGAGTAGGAGGGGGCAAAAAGGAATGAATGGGTTGGAGGAGAGAAATGACAGACGGTGGGCAATGCGTCATTATGGGGTTGCTGTCTCTTCTCCAGAGCTGGCAAAGGGGCGGAGAAGAGAAACAAACAGAGAGCATACCTGATGGGAAAGTGACAGCAGCACAAGAATGTACTGGATATGAGAAATAGACAAAATGAAGCTGAGATGGAGTTGAGAGATTTCTCTAATTAAGGACTCTGGTGGTGTCTCTCCGGGATAAACAGCGGTGCTTCTGGCCGGGCGGGCGTTTTTAGTCTCGATCGGGACAAGGCGGAAAAACCGTCGGCCCGGGAGGCAAGAGTCGATGATGTCGACTGGTGCCTAAATGGATGGTATCTAGACCTTATTTATGTCTATATATACCTTCTTTACAGGTGAATGATGAATAGTCTAGACAATGATAATGTTCCTGTTAATACTGGCATCAATGCACAAGCACTTCCTCCGCACAATACATACAGCATCCAGAGCTGCCTGCCCCTCCGCACGGCTCTCTTGGCTAAAAACATCATAGGACAGGGCCTCGGCATCTACTCTTCTCGTTGGTAGAGAGACTCGTGTAGCCCCATTCCCCTCCGTTTGAATGGTATCGAATGTAGCTGGCTGTCAGCTTATGTCTTTTTTTTTTTTTTTTTTCCTTCGACGCTGCCCGATCTGGTCAACATAGTGCTGTATCGAGTATAATGGCCGTTCCTGAGCTCATCCCCAACGCCACCAACTATTGGCAGAACAGGGAACCAGGGGGGAAACAAGAGTCAAAGGCGGGGCCAGACCCGACAGGGCAGAAACGCAAAAAAAGCGAGAAACGCGACAGAATGATCATGTCTGCCATCATCCACCACACAGAACGTTGTCCAGACTCTGACTGTCGGGCATTGGCATTACGCATCCGGTAGGGCCATGTCCCAGAGCGCAGCCCTGCAGGAACATCACCCGTCCATGTAAACTTCCCACCCCTCCGACGATGCATCATATCGCCAACGGGTTTTCCTCCTAGCCACTCGTGGCCACGCTTTTCTTGTCCGCATCTTGGCAATATGTAAGACTCATCCCGATCCCAAAATGAGGGGGGCAGATCGTGCACTGCGCTCTTCTGCGTGATATGCACAATCCATGTTATTCTCCCATCTATCACGTATTATCTGCCCACGCGATAAACGCCGCCAAAATCGTGGGCAGTAGACCAAGTAGAAGTCAGAAATTCCGCTCTGATGCGCAACCAGTCGGAGCAAAAGAAAGAGAAAAAGAAAGAAACCATCAAATCATAATTCGTAATCATTCCCAAGGACGACATCCAATCCATCTACCAACTATGACTTCTGTAGCACATCTCGTACTTTGACCTGCTCGGGTGTCTCTTCCAGTTCGATCCGCGTGATATGTTGCCCGGGTATCACCACCAGTCCGATCAGTCGACTGGTCATATTTGCTTTAACGTTCTGCGAATCGCCTGTCCCATTGCTTCGGTTTTCTGGATCATTCGCACCGGAAGCGACCTCTTTGACGATGGAGGGAGAGGGGTAGCGGTACTCGTAGGTAGTCGCGAGGATGACATTGCGGGCCTAGATTCGAGATGTCACAGTCAGCGCATTCCTTTTCTAGGTTTGCTTATTCTTCATAGTGTTGTGTTCGATTATAGGATGGTATATACGTACCGCATCCGTGCACTTGAACGTGCCCACGAATAGGCGCGTATCCGTTGTATGTACTCGCAACGTCTGACCGATTAGCGAGTCCAAATATTGAACGGCTTGCTGTGTATCCATTGTGTCTTCCAGTGAAATTTATTTTTCGTTTCGTCTTTTTGGATGCGACGCTCAGGTCCAACCAACGCAGGTAGGTGATTGGTAGTGTTCGATAGAGGGGTCTCGTGGTGCGGTAGTGCGGTGATAAACCGAAGCGGTGATTGCGATACTCGTGCGAGGAAGTGTGGTCAATTGGTGATCTGGAGAATATTTTGTTTCACCGCTCCTCCTTGGCTGGACGTTGCATGCGGGTTTATACGAACTGTGGTGTTGGGGGTTGTTCGGAGCGAAGTTGAGCTAAGTTAATGACATCCGTAAGTGATACCTGAGGCTACAAGGCGGCAAATATATATTTGCTAACTAGTTATGGAGTTCCAAGAGAAAGGAAATGAAAGGAAATGCATGGCATGCAATTATCAGAATTTCCAAAAGTTCTATCATATTTATATAGACGAAATACAGCGTGGCCCTTGAGCCACTAAATCTATCCGTATTTACTCCCAAACACCGTGCCCAGGATTAACCAGGTTAATCATGACCGCAAAGAAAGAAATAGACCTATAACGACGTAGCAGACAATCTGCTACATCCATCTAAAACCTGCAACACCCCCTTTAAACTCGTGAGACTGATCACTCCCAGAATCCATATCCACATCCATATCCGTATCGGCCCCCATGGGCCTTGAACTCGGACTGCGATCATCATCGCTTCCCATTGACACACCTGGCGAGTTCAAATTATGAGAATATTGTTGTAGGAATACATTAGTCGTCTGCATCGGACCAGCCGATTGTTGGGTCGTGTGCGAGGGCGCAGATGGTGGAGTAGGTTTAAAAAATCTGTGTAGTGTTTGTTGCCGAGGGTCAATCGTTTCCGGCGTTGGTAGCGGTTCTGAATCGAGACTCTCGTTCTCGTCTTCTGTGCTTGTATTTACAATGGCGGACTCCTGTCGCTGCTGGGCCGAGTAGAGCCATCGGAGGGTGTTTTCTGATCACGTTAGCTTTTTAGTCATAAAGACTGCGGAGTACTGCCCGTGAACTACTCACCGTATACTATCTTCTCTTCTGGGCGGTCATCCCTAAAACGTTTTCGTGTCCGGCTGTTCATATGCGGTGCATCATCCATTGTCACCGACGGTCCTGCGACGACCGGCGTCATATCAGGAGTTGGGAATGCAGAAAATGACGCTTTGCGCTTGAGGGATATGGTTCGAAGCATCGTAATTGTTTGCGAGTAATCGTTGGGCAGTCGGATGGTACAGTGGAAGCTATCGCTTCGTCCCAATTCGTCTTATAGGTCCCAATGGAGGATTTTGATGTATGTACGGGTGAAATGTGGTCTATTCAAAAATCCAACGCTCACTGGCAATATAAGTTAAGATTCGGACAGGAGTGAGTAAGGCTGGCAAAAGTGGTGGTGGTTGGTCGCGTCTGACAAGGCGGATCGCGTCACGTCACGGGTATGCGCTAACCCGTATTGGTTTCATTGGAAAATGGCCGTCAACTTCTGAGATCAGATATGGTGTAATTCAACGGGAGAGATAGTACAAATTAGGTCTATAGATAATACTTTATACCTCTCAATGATGCTAAGCTAAGGCATCGTGAAACATACTCGACTTTCACGTCGCGACGCGGTCACGCGATGCTTTGGAGCAGAGTATAGATATGTGCCTGTGTGTACTCCGTGCTTTGTACGGACTATCGAGTGTTCCATGTTATATTCTGCAGATCCTGCTGCTCTGAAGATACCACCGCCAGTTTGATGTCCTGTCATCAATATAGGAAGTCTAGGTTCGATCAGTGGGCGGCTGGAATACTCCCGATCATGCCTCATCATGTACCCATAAGGAATCGAGACCAAACTATATATTTACCATACCAAAGCATGCAATTCTGGATCCATACTCTAACTCTATTCCGATCATGCTAGCCTGATCGGCATGCCGAGGCCAGTTCGGCATCCCGATAAACTCCACTATGACGAAACCCCGCTCTCCCCGCTCTTGACAGCACTCTCAACCATCCATTTCAACCGTCCTGTCCATCACCTACCTCATACGACATCTTAAGGACCCAAAATGGCGCCCAGAAAAGCTTCTCACGCGGGCTCGTGGTACTCAGACAGCCAACGTCATCTGACTCGTCAGTTGGATCAATGGTTGGGTCAGGTTCCTGATGAGATCCAGGGTATAGGACGTTTGCCTGTGCCTGGTGCTCGTGTTGTTATTGCTCCGTGAGTTCTCACTTATTGTTGATGACTTGATGCTGATTGTTAGACATGCGGGATATGCATATTCAGGTCCTTGTGCTGCTTATGCGTACAAAGCGTTGGACTTGTCGAAGGCGTAAGTAACCTGACATCGTCCGAACACCTGGCTAATAAGATAGGAAACGCATATTTGTCCTTGGACCATCGCACCACCACTACCTCTCGACTCTGGCTCTCCCACAGCTAACATCCTATTACACCCCGTTATCCAATGACCCCCTCCCGCTGGACACCGAACTCATCACCAAGCTCCTGGCAACCAAAGCCATCAGGCCCGACGGTACCACTGTCAACTTCACAACCATGACACGGTCGATCGACGAAGACGAGCACAGCATCGAGCTCCATCTCCCCTACATCCATCGTCTCCTCCAACTCCAGCATCCCAACACCCCAACCTCGCAATACCCTCCTCTCGTCCCGATCATGGTTGGAGCGACCTCTGCCGCGACAGAACACGCGTTTGGAACCCTCCTGGCGCCATATCTGGCTGACCCGTCGAATGCCTTCGTCATCAGCTCGGACTTTTGTCACTGGGGTCTTCGTTTCCAATACACGTACTACGTGCCACAGGCACCGAAGCCAGGACCCCGTCTTCCACTTTCCAGCGACTCCCTCCCGCAACCTGGAGCCGACCCCGCGCACATCGAAGACAAACTGGAAATGGTCTCAGTGGGCCAGATGCTACAACGCCGAGACAGGATTCAGAAAAACGAGCCCGCTATCCACGAGAGTATCTCTGCGTTTGACACGGCGACCATGGCGGCTATCACTACTGGAGCTACAGGGACATTCTTGGATACGATCCAGTCAACGGGGAATACTGTTTGTGGGCGACATCCGATTGGGGTTATTATGGCTGGGATTGAGGAGTTGACGCACGAGGGCGAGCGGGGAAAGTTTCATTTTGTGAGGTACGAGCGTAGTTCAGACGCGGTTGAAGTGTCGGATAGTTCTGTGAGTTATGTGTCTGCGTTTGCCGTGCTGTAGCTGCCTCCGGACAGACTCAGCTGCGATATGGAATACAATGCGTGCTCTTCTATTTCTCTTACAGCATACCACTACAAATCCAATCACCTAACCAAATCCACTCCGACATCGAAAACCATAAGACCACTCGGCACCGTCCCAACGGGCGATCCCGGATCCACAATCTAAGCTTAATCCCGAGGTCTCCGAATCAGTCTATTATCTTATCTTGATCTAGCCCAGCACCATGAACCAAATCCCTGTTGGTTTCACCGACTTTACTCCTGGTGCGTAGAGAGCCGGTGTATATGTATATAAATACTCGCCGATGGCGTTTGACCAGTTTACTTTTGTTTTGAGATGAGGTGATTGATCGCGCTTACCTGCGGAGTACAAGCACAAGCACCAGTCCAGGACACCACCCCTCTTCTGCAAGAACGAGTATAGGGTAATAAATGAATTGAGCCGGATACAAAAGTGCAGTGCGCGATTATTCCGATCAATTATATGCATTCCCTGTGATTATTTATACTGCTTATTGTTGCTACATTCTTACTGCAGCGCATTGCGTTGTCGCATTCATTCTTATTGATCGGACGGAAGACGGACGGAGTATATACACGAGTATACTATACGAAAATCGAAGGCAGTACCGAGCAAAATGACGATAAAGCAAGGTGTTTTCTCATGGGAAGATGTCATCGCGCAGCGATACCTAAGTATGTTCTTCCCCTCCCCTTCATTCAATCTATACTCAAGTACTGTGTACTAACAAGCGCAGACAACCACCCCAAACACCAACTTCAACCACACCCTCACCACGATCACGAGATCCAACACGCGCACAACAATGAATACAACCTAAGCCAAACAAACTACTACCCCTTCCAACCACACTCCCCGCTCCTCGCAAAACTCTCCCCCGAACTCCGCCTGTTGATATGGGAGTACGTCCTCGGTGGGAAATGCATACATATTGTTCAGTGGGCGAATCGGCGGATGGGGTACGTCGTCTGCACTGATTCTGATGGGAATGGGAATAAGAATACGCATAAGGTTAAGGGGAAGATGTGCGATGTTTGCCAGACGGGGTTACCGTCGCGGCGGGCATGCGCGAAACGAGGGACGGATACGGGGGTGAGGGGGCTGTTGGGGGTTATGCTTGTTTGTAGGCAGATGTACGCCCGCCTCCCATATCCACTGATCTATGGATACATACTAATGCGCAAACAGATACACAGAAGCAGGACACATCCTCTACACAAACAACGCCTTTACAATCCCCTCGACCTGGTCCCTTCCTTATCTCCTCTCCTCACCCTCCTCCCCGTCAAACCCATTGTCCAACATCCGCACCCTGACCCTCCACTACGCCTTTCCTGGCCACTGGCTCCCCAGCAAAGACCCCGTGAAACAAATATACTTCACCTCCGGCCGCGTGCAGTGGACACAAACCTGCGCTACTGTATGCTCACTCACAAATCTTGAAAGATTCACGTTGGTGCTGGATGGTGGATGGTTCGCGGAGAGTGCATCGAGGATACCAGTATTTCTGGAGCCGTTGCGGGATGTTGTTATTAAGAGCAGGAATCGGGGGTCGAGGAGAATAGCGGATACGGAAGAGGAAGATAGGGATGGGGAAGGGGGGTATTGGGAAGTTATACTCCCCAAACAACCATATTATGTGAACGAGGTGAGGAGGTTGAATGCTGAGGTTAAGGAGAGGGGGTTGGGGTGTGTTTTTAGGGTTTGATGTCCTTTTTTTTTTTTTTCCTACCCTTATTTTTCAGTGTACATAGTTCACACATTCTTATTTATGCAACAAGATAAACACGCTAATGTTCACGCCTGTTTATGCAATATGCACTAACCAAAACCAGCAAAAGAACGCTCTCAAAATAACCCCCTCCGCCCCGCGGGGAGCGCGCATCACAATTAAACGCAACCCGCTAGTCTCGGTTCAGGGTCTGGTCGAGGAACGACACAACTACCATATAGAGTGTAGTGCAGGACTATTCTGAAACATGCAGTAGTAGCACCAAGACGGGACGTTGATGATTGTTGTCAAAAGAGGCAGTTGGATTGCTATGCTATGCCGCCGATATGAAAAAAAAAAAAAGAAAAAAAAAATGCAGATTTTGTTTCACGAGCCCTCCCGTTATCATCATAGTACGTAGTAAGGAAAGAAATTAGATCTTCAATCACGCCTTCGACCCATGGTCCCTTGACCCATATCCAATTAAAATTTATAGTAAATCGCTTGACGCCTGGTCATACACAAGGAAAAGAAAAGGAGATAAAAGAAGGCTGTCAACTTGGACATGCAGAGACAAAAAAGAAAAAGGAAATATCCAAAGATGGTATAGTGTGACAGGAATAAAAGAAAGTCGGCAGTCAGCCGTAGATGTCACAATGACAAAATCGTAGTAACAGTGCGTACACTGCATCTCATCTCGAACGATCCCGGGCCTGTGGCCCTTCGACGAGAAAAGCGAGGAGCATGGTGCTCCAATCCTAAATCGGAGTACCGATCGATAATTCGTGCTGATGTATCCAGGGACCAACGTCCTGACTCGTAGAGCAGCGCGTAGCTGGAGACAGGGGTTTCATTGTCCAAGTGAAACATGGTCAGACATGGTCAGCCGAATGCCTTCGTATCGGTCGGGGTGTGTCAAGTATTCAGGTACGATTCGGTCGGCGATAGAGGAATGCGACCGGCGAATCCTGACACTCTTTAAGACGAGTAGATTGAGGGAAATAAAACCGGTATGTCGGGTTTACCGTCCTCCTGTCTGCCACTCTGCGGCGGCTTCCTGGTGAGACGAACGGACCTTTTGTTCGTCGGGGACCTGGTTGAGAGGAAAGAGATTGTTGATTTCAGCTGCAAGGCCAGAGGCCATGTAGGCGCGGAGCTCGCGCTCTTCCCGTTCATCCTCCTTGATCAATCGCTTCTGGTCGGTCTTGCCCAATTCCCCTCGACGCTTGTTCCGGATCTCGTGGATTACCCACAGGAGGACCTCTTCGGGAGCGCGGTTGCGGGGAGAACCGTGTTTGCTTGGGCTTCGAACATATCGTCGAGTGACATCGGTCGCGCCTTCGATTGAGAAGGCGACGCAGTAAGCGATCTTGCGACCCCATCCTATGCAAGTTAGCGGCTGTTTCTAATCGTAGTGCATGGACCAAGCTTACCCTCAGTGTAGAGACGTGGTTGATCCCATGCCTCTTCGCAGGCGTCGACATGAATCCATCGTCTCTGGTGCTCCGAATAGACCTCTGTCCAGACGTAGTCCTCCGAGTTCCAGACCCAACGCACACGACCACCGATCGCCCGGCAGAACATGCTGAAGCAGTTGGCCCATTCACCAACACGACCACGACGGGTTTGCAGAAGTTGCCAGACGTCCGAGTAGCGAGGGAATCGTTCAAAAGCGCCGCAGGTGCTTTCAGAGCATCGGTAGAGTTCGACTCGGGTGGCGCCACGGGCGGTCTCATCGGGAGACGGGGGAGTCATGCCTCCGGCGATTGTAGGCATGAAGCATCGAGGACAGGAAGGGTTGTTGACGAATTGAAAGAACGAGCGCTTGAACCATCTGTGACGTCGTTAGTGTTGAGTGCAGAGACGGAGAAACAAAGGGAGCATACCTTAGGAGAGATCTGATGACGCAATCTTGGTAGCCCCATTCAGGCTTTCCCCCTACACTGGCGGCTTGAGCCTGCATGATCTGGCTTTCCTCTTCTGCCTCCGAGTATAACCTGTCGAGTGGAATCAAGGCCAGGGCCTCATCCAGGAGGCCAGGGTTTTCGTATTTGGTCGGCGTAACAGACAGGACATGGAGCAGGTTTCGGAACTTCAGCGAAGACGGATCTTGCGGCGGTGCAGGAACGATCGGAAGACCTCTGATTGCTGGAGACGGCGATGCTCTGTGAGGTTGTTGATGTTGTTGCGGTTGAGGAGAGACGGGGTACTGGTGATGAGCGATCGGGGGCGGCGGCGGCGGTGCCCGCGAAGGGGGTGGTGGAGGATAAGCAGCGGGAGAAGCAGACAGAGCTGGCGAAGGAGAGTGAGAACGAGATTGCTGCGACTGCTCTTGGAGCCGGTTGAATCGCTTGTTGCGCATGAGTTGTTCGAACTGGTTGGTGAGTTCGCCGGCATCGATGTTGTTGCTGGACGGCATCGGGTGGCCGTGAGGATGGAAGCCGTCTGCCATGGTGGTGATTGTGGTGGTGAAAGGAGGGGAGGGGAGAAGGTCACACCGACGGCAGCTGGCTTGGATGGTTTAGTACTCCAGGATGGTGGATGGATGGAACAATGGATGAGTCGAGTTATCGAGGATCGAGTGGTTTTCTTTCGCCTGAAGAAATTCAATGAGATGGATAACAAACTATCCTCTCTTGCCAGTCCACACAAAACGACAATTGTTGAATGATCGAAGACGATGAAGGATGGCGATGGACAACGGGTGGTTGTAGGAGAGAGAGAGGTAAAGAGGGTGAAAGAGGAACGAGGGAGAGCGAGAGCAGATTTGGGTTTAGCGCAGGATTAGGTGGTAGGCTAGTGTTGGCAGTCGGTCGCGCACAGCCTTGCCACTGTGAGTACAGGTATAGTTGTGAGTATTGTAAGGTACAGAACTCTGTAGAGTAACTAGAGTATACACAGAGACCACACCGAGAGAAAGAAGTCGAATAGACAGAATAAAGAACAAATACAGAGAGAGTACAGTCAGTCACCATAGAGAGAATCCTATAGAGAAAACTCCTTCATCCACGCCAGCAGTGAAAAAGCGTCGTCAGCCGCCCAGCCCTGCCCCAATCAGCGCGCCGCAAGCCGCGTGTTGTGCCGCTCCCGAAACAGTAGTGCCAAGAGATCGTCGTGTACATACAATACAACTATACACAACAGTACTCTCTGTGCTCCAGAGCAGAGTTTCCTTATCAGCAAGTATCTGTACAGCTTCATTTTCTCAAGAGTGAATTATTATGATTATCCCGTCCGTCTACATACATAGAGTCCTCCAACTTGTACGTACTCCGTACACGAATCGTAGATCCGGTCACCACGCGGCAGACTGATCGGACTACGAGTACGCAAGCTCCCAACATTCACTAGCTTGCCAGATGTATTGCAGAATCTCCGTCCTGTCCATGCACTAGGCACACAAACAGACCCTTAACAGTGCACTATTACGCGGCGCGATCAACGACATGTCATCCTCTGACAACCGCAAGGGTCAAGTCGCTGTGGTGTACTCTTATGAACACTATTGCTACACTGCCTCTTCTACTGTACAGAGTAAAGCGGCTGAATCCGTAGCCTTATGAACCCCCGTCGTAACCACGGAACCGAGCTGACGAATCACCACCTGTTCTTATTAAAGACGCGTTGTCGGAATAATGAACATCAACGGTTACTTAGTCTCCTAAGTATCTCCTATAACCTACGGGGTAGAAGGACAATAATCCATGGTTCTTGTTCAATATTATCTGATCCTCATCTCTATATACACTTGACTCGTACATCTGGACTGGACCCTGAACGAAAACAAGACGGGACAAGTCATGTGGCCTACGCTGATCATCATACAGAAAGTCAAGTCATGTCTTACTTTTTGAGCAGTGATCACTTACGGTGTCAGTCCTGAGTCACGTACTCGTCTTCTAGAATCCAACCTCGATACAGCCCATTCTAGCTCTACTCTGCTCCGTAGACAACCATACATCATACATACCTGCCATCACCCTTCCCCATACCTCCATCGTCTCCGTACAAGTACATGTACGATGTAGAATAACACGGAACGGAACAACAGCCCTTCCGTCTGCTGTGAGTGGCGGAGACGCGCAAGCTTGTCCTCTTGGCAAGATCTGGACCCACTGACAAGAGACAAAAGGGTCCAACTGGCAAGGGGGCTTGGCTTTTGCTGTTTTGGGGATGCTATTTATAGCGTGTACAGGGTGCAGTACTTGTACAGGCGATTACCTGTGAGAGTATAGAGTAGTACAGGTACAGGGTAACGGCATGTCGAGAGAGAAATCTAAGTTGATAGAGATACTCCACTCACTACTTGTATAACAAAAATTGTAAGAATGATAACTGATCCTCCGAGGAAATATTCTATGCATGGTTGAATGATCTTCAAAGTGTGACGGGCCGGTCGCCAATCATTGGTTTTGAGTTCTTGGCCATTGAACAGACACCCTTCCTGGTTAGTACGGGGTACATACGATTAGCCTTCTCAAAAACAAGATAAAAAAGTCGGAATATTGATTCATCATCCAAAAAGCAAAATAAAGTAGACTTTTATAGGGCCGTTCTAGAATATCGGCTGCTTGTCATCATGATTCATAATTGCGACATTGAGCCAAGTGATGGACCCTGGGATCGACCCTTTTCTTTCTTGACGCTCTGTGCTACTTTGTACTGTATGTTATATGTTGCAGAAGATGTGAGATGTACAAGTACATGGAAGAGGTTTCAAACAAGCACACGCCAAGCTTTCCCACAACCACGCACAGCCCAAACTCCAAACCAAATCAAACCCTTCTATTCAAGACCATACCCCCTACACCCACGGCGCGGAGCAGCTTCGGACTCGGACAAAATGCCGAGTCCGAGTCCGCGCGACCGGCCTCTGTACAGCGGCAGAATCCGCTACATTTACCCAAACAGGACTAGACGGTGGACGGGACAGTGGATTTGGGTAGGGTCAGCTGACTTATTATGAAGGGGTGTGATTCGTCATCGTTGGGTAGACTGTTGGGCGTTATAGGATTTTTCGTATACGAGTATGGATAGAGCATAGTCAATACCGGCATAGAACAGGGCGTTAATAATCCTTATTTGAGCTTGGCTATCATTGGCCTGCATTTCAGATGCTGACAAGTATGTACTTGTATCACTCATGGAGCCCAGTGTCCAGAGTACGTATGTACCTTGCTACTTGTACAGAACAGCCCTACGCTTTGATCTTCTGCACTCGTATATCTACCTGCGTATCTGCATGCAAGATACGAACATCCATCAACCTCCCAATCTGCCTACGAGGCTTGCGCGTACTCATCTGACTAGTGGAACGCCATCGGCTTGTACACTTTTCCGCCACGTACCTGTAAACCATGCAGGCTGCCAATTGTATTCGTGAACTCGTGGCCTACTGATTGAATCGTCGCTTGATGCCGCCAAACACATAAAAGACCCGCACGCTATCAATGCAAAAAAAGAAAGAGAGAGAGGGGGAAAAAAAATTCATCTTCATCCGCTATCGAGATAACTCGGCCACGAATGACTGTCCCCAGAACGCACTGCGGAAAGTTAGCATGCGTCATGTGTCAAGATCAGCGCAATGGCCACGTACCTGGTGTATTTCGAGATGTATTTGTAGAGCTTCTCAAATTGTTGAGCCTTTTGCTCCTCGCCCATGGAGACGGCTTGGTGGTACGCACGGGCGAGTTCCTCTGTATTCCACGGGTTCACGACGATGCTGCCGTTTAGGCTCTGTGCGGCCCCGGCAAACTCAGAGAGAATCAACACGCCCTTGCGCCGCTGCTGCGTGGCAATATACTCGAAAGACACCAGATTCATGCCGTCCCGAGTGGAGGAGACGACGCAAGCATCAGAGACCGCGTACAACGCAACCAGCTCATCAAAGCTCACCGACTTGTGCATAAAGTGAATCGGCATGTAGTCCACCGTGCCTTTCAGGTTAGCATGACGCACTTGGATGGAGCGCCGAAGACTTACCAAATTTGCCATTGATTCTTCCCACTAGCTCATTGACCACTGCCCTCAGGTTCTGATACTCTTCCACGTCTTGGCGACTTGGGACGGCAACTTGCACTAATACCACCTTGCCAACCCATTCTGGATGACTGGAAAGGAACACCTCCAACGCGTGCAACTTCTGCGGAATACCTTTGATATAGTCGAGACGATCAACGCTGACCATCAACTTGGTGCCACGGAACTTGCTCTCCAGACTTGCGATGCGGTTCTGGATCTTGGGGCTTTTCAGGCCTTCTGCGAACTTGTCCGGATCAATGCCAATAGGGAAAGCTCCCACGGAAACATTCCTATTTTCGTATTTGACGCTGCTGGGAGTAGTGATCAATCCCCTGAAGGTGGTTAGCTCTGCAGTTCTGCAGATAGATCTATGGCTAAAGGACTTACAGCAAGTGAGCGCAACTGCCCAGGAAATGGCGAGCATAGTCATACGTATGGAAACCGATCAAATCGCAGTGCAACACACCCTGCAGCAACTCCCTTCGTACTGGTAGGATCCGGTAGATCTCATTACTAGGGAACGGCGTGTGTAGGAAGAACCCGATTCGAATGTCCTTTTTGCCAAGTGTCTGGAGCTCTTCGCGGAGCATCTGCGGCAGAAGCATCAAGTGATAATCGTGAACCCAGACCAGGTCACCGTCTTTCGCCTCATTGGCAATCGTCTGAGCAAAGAAGCGGTTGGCCTCACGGTAGGCATCCCAGGCACCTTCGTCGAAAACGATTTCACCGGGGTGATAGTGTAGTAGCGGCCAGAGAATCGAGTCTACACGGGTCAGCGATAACCATGACTAACAGAGGGGTAGGACATACTCGAGAAGCCGTTGTAGTGGCGATCCGCTAACTTGTCATCCATAAACACTGGAGTCGCGTTGAACTCCTCCTTCAGTTTCTGCGTCACGGTTTTGATCTCGTCCTCGGGAACCTCCAGACCAGGCCAGCCATACCACTGGAAGGTCGCTGTCTTGGACAGTCCACTGAGACCGGTCACGAGACCACCAGACGACATGGAAAAGTCATAATTACCCGACTCAGAGCGTCGAATGGTGATCGGGAGACGATTGGAAACGAGCAGCAAACGAGAATCGCCCAATGAGTCGCCGTTGTTCGACATGGCGATGTTGTCTTATGTGAGTGGTTTTAGTGGGGTCGGGAAAAGGAAGAAAGCTTTGACAGAAGCTAAATGGCGGAATATATATAGCAGTGAATGAATTGAAGCTGACAGCCGTAGTTAATTAGTTGTGCACTTAGTATAGTATAATAGCGACTGGGAAAGAAAAAAGCGCAAGAGGAAACCGCGACGCTGGTTTTTTGCTGGTGATGTTTTGAAGTCTTCGTTCCCACCAGTTCACTAACGAACACCACCCTACTGCTTATCCTTATTATTCTCTTCTATTATTGTCAGCCCAACGTTATTCCTAGTTAATACTATTCTTCAGCTTATTATTCCGGTAATTACTCGTCTGGATATTGTTCCTCCCCTTCTCACACGTGCCACCCCGCTTGGTTCCTGTTTCTGGCCGCTTCTACGCCACGGACTCCCAATATCCTGCTTGATGCCGAGCCGGTCGAACTGTCCAGAAGCTGCCTTCTGAGGGGGAAAGGGATCCGAAATAATCCTGGCGAACCGTGAGAATCGCATGGAACGAGGCCATAGCCCTCCACGTATAGTAGTCGGGTGTCCGGTCATCTGCCGGGTTGGAATATATCGCGCTTTCCCCTCTCTTCGCCAAAATAGTGACAGAACGAAACGAAACAACAATAGCCCATTTGGTCTAGAAGCATCAGAATCCTTGCGATCTTACTCTGGCATTCCCGAACAGCCCGGAATGTTCCTGTGGTTTACTGCTTTTCCAGGGTTGACGATCCAATCATCAACGTCACCACCTGCCCTCTGTTTATCCAAGCCGCCGTGCGGGCATCTGACGGTATTTGGTTCTCTCGGCCTGGTTTCTATTGCGGGGGACTGGCTGCCGAATTTATAACCCTCGCTTTCCATTATTATCTTCGACAAGTTTCTTCAATCGTCTCAAGCCTAGTCCTATCGTCATTTTCACCCCTCAATCCTAGGATTTTTGCCGCCATCTAGATCGTACGTGGAGACAGTGTCATGACAGTCTTCATCGCTTCACTGTATGTCTGTATTCTCCTTGTGCGCTAGTTGAGTGCTAACATATCTAGTTTCCTTCCGTATACAATCGACTTTCAAGCGACCGAGCTGAGAAATGCTCGTCGCCAGTCATCCACCAGTTCTTCCTCGCTCGATGGTCAAATCGTAGGACGGTTGGCGGACGCTCGTCGAAGACGGTTCTCGAAAGCAACTACTGCGACTTTGACGCCCGGAGCGACTACAGACTATGAGAAAATCTTCAAGCCGTATGTGTCTCAATCCGCGGGTGAAATCCCCAGCGCGGACGATCCCAACGGTCCGGGTCTCAGTGAGCCCCGTCCGGTTTCTTGGGGCCAAAGCCGTAAGTTCAACCAACCACGGCCCGCAGTCGCTTCGTATCCTGCACCAACGATCGCCAGCAGCCAAGATCCAGTGGTCAAACAAGGCCTCCCACAGTTTCTCGATGGAGCAACATATGATACCCCGTTGGAAGGAGGCAATGGAAGCCCGCGCGCACTCTTGTCAGATGCTGACTGGGTTGTTAAGGCGGCAGAACAAGGCAACGGGAGCCTTCGAAACGCTGTTAATGCCGCCGAAGAAGCGGGTTTGTTAGCGGACAAGATGTGGGTTGGTACGCTCGGGATGCCAACCGACCCCCTCAAGGACGAAACGCGCGCCAGTATTTCCGAGACCCTCGAAGATGAGTTTGAGTCGCTTACGGTGTTTGTCGACGATCGGGAGTTTGTCGGGCACTACTCGCACTTTTGCCGCGCGGTCCTATGGCCAGCTTTCCATTACCAGATGCAGGAGAGCCCGCGACACACAGAGTACGATGACTATTCTTGGAAGCAGTACGTGAAAGTTAATGAAGCGTTTGCAAAAACCATTGTTGCCCACTGGAGACCTAGTGATAGTATCTGGATACATGACTATCACCTCCTGCTTCTACCATCGATCCTCAGAAAGAAGCTGCCGCGTGCCGAGATTGGTTTCTTCATGCACGCTGCGTTTCCATCTTCCGAAGTGTTTCGGTGTCTCAATGCACGAAAGGCCTTGCTCGATGGCCTTCTTGGAGCAGATCTCGTGGGCTTTCAAACGGAAGAGTATTGCCACCATTTCTTGCAGTCGTGCAGTCGCCTTCTCAGCTTGGAGGTGATGGTGGACGGTGTACAACTCCCGAACCGGTTCATCAGAGTTAATAACTTCCCCTGTGGTGTCGACCTCAAGGCCCTGGACGAGTTGCGACAGACCTCTGAGGTTCAGGATTGGATCACCAACATCCAGACCAGGTACAGTGGCAGGCACTTGGTTGTCGCGAGAGATAGGCTTGATGCGCCTGGCGGTATCAAGCAGAAGCTTATGGCTTATGAGCTCTTTCTGAAACGGTATCCTAAATGGAGAGAAAATGTAAGTTCTTGCAGCTCTGTATACAGTGGAAACCTAGCTGATTTATCTAGGTTATCCTTATTCAAATCGCATCCGCCTCTGAATTGCCTGAACTTGGGGCACAAGTTTCGAATATCGCCATGAGGATCAATTCTACCTACTCTTCGCTGACGCATCAACCCCTCGTGCTCCTGAGACAGGATATCAGTTATTCACAATTCCTAGCCCTCATGAATGTGGCCGAAGTCTTTATCGTGTCGAGTCTGAGGGAAGGTATGAATCTCACGAGTCACGACTATCTTTACTGCCAGGACGGCAAGTTGGCACCGCAGCGCCATGGCTCGCTCATTCTCAGCGAGTTTGCGGGAAGCGCCTCCATTTTCAACGGACACGAGCTTTTGGTCAACCCCTGGGACTATCGAGAGGTTGCGGATACAATCAACAAGGCTCTGGAAATGAGCCCGGAGCAGAAGCAGCGTAACTGGGAGTTTTTGCTCGACCGGATGGCACCACACACGGCACTATCATGGGCGAGCTCATTGCAAGAGTGTTTAACCAAGTCTCACAAAGCGCAAGTCTCTCGCGAGCCACAGCATGTCTCGTCCCTGTCTGTCAACACCCTCAAGAAGTCATATGGAAAATCCAGCGTGCGGTTAATATTCCTTGAGGATGGGGGGACCTTTGCGCAGGCGAATTCGAGGTCCAACAAAGAGCCAGCTGCCTTACTAGGACATCTAGTCGACGACCCGAGGAACCTGGTATATGTGACGAGCAACAAGAGTCCAGAGCAACTCGAGCCACTCATCCATATGCTACCCAGTCGAGTGGGATACATCGCTGAAAACGGATGCTTCGTACGAGAGATTGGCTCCAATCACTGGGAGACGCTGGTCGACATGGAAAAGATTAAAGACTGGCGAAACGGCGTTCGCAAGGTTATGGACTACTTCCAGGAGCGCACCGACGGAAGCCAAATAGAAGAGCGCCGCTGTCTTCTAGCCTTTCGATACAATGACGCCCATGATCCCATAATCGCCGCAAACCAAGCCTCCGAACTCGCAGACCAAATCAACGGCTCCCGCGGCAGCGAAGCCATCCACGTCGTCCTTACAGAAGGCGCCGTAACCGTGGAACCACTGGACATTACCAAAGCCGTAGCGGCTGAATCCATCCTACGCAGACTACCCAAGGCCCCAGACTTTCTGTTCGTCGCGGGTGGTTCGCGCGGCGATGAGGCACTGTTCCGGTACGCCAACCGTCTGCGTGCGGATGAAAAGATTCCAAACGTGACTACGTTGACGGTGGGATACCATGCTACGGAGGCTAAGGCGGTGTTGCCGGGGAATATGGGAATAGCGGATATTGTGAATATGCTTTCTTCACCGAAGGTGGATGGGTTTGAGGTTGTTGATGGGGTATTGCATGGGTGTACTGAGGTGGTTGTTTAGTGGTGGGTGTACACATTTGGGCATATGCTACTTTCTAGATTCCTTGCGCGCATGGCCTTCTGGGATATTATTATGCTACTTCAAATAAATCATTTAGGATGCTTCTGCCTTGGCATATGAATTTGAATATTCAGGCATAAATACAACCTCAATATTACTACAGCACCCTGTGTTTTACAAAATTTCTAATCCAACGGTTGGCTCACTATAGACGGTCAACAACCCTACATTCAGCAATATCCAACCACCATGCACATCCTCCCTTATCCAGGTCTCCCAGACCTAACAACCTACCTTTCCTCTACAGCGTTCGCACCCGCAGAGCAACCCCCAATACGCCCTCATCCAAAAGCCCCCCCCCCCGCACTCACTTATCGCCAAATCCATCACTGAAGGCCACGAACACATAAACCAAGACTTGTCCATGGGCATGGTCTTTGATAGACTCTTTGGTATGGGTTTTCTTTGCCAGTACTAATGAGAAATTAGAGTGCATCTATGTTAAGAAAATTGTACACAGCGGATGTGTCAGCCTGACGGATAAAGCAAACATTGGTACAAAATAGAGACCCCTGAACGCCGAATACCGAGCGCTTAACAGCAACATCAGGCGCACAAGGATACACAATGAAACTCTTGCGATCTCGTGTCAACTTCAGTATTTCTGAACCATATAGACTTCCTTTATCCGGCCTAATAACCCTAATTACAAGCGAAGATACCAGAATACATGATCAGACGTGGTTGCTTACGTGCCTGTACAAGTACTCCGTACAATCAAAAGCAAATATTGATTTCTCTGATGACCGGGCAACAGGAACAAGTCTGAGTCTCAGCCGCAGCTTGATCAACACGCATAATATAATGAACCCATGCGGGAAGGGAAAGGCCACTGATTTCGAAAACTGCCATCCTCATCTTAATCTGTCTCATCATCGAAGCTGTTTGGTATTGGCGGCGAACAATAAGCCATGGATCCACTATCAGCCCTCTCTGTGGCATCCAGCGTGATTGCGTTTGTGGATTTTGGCGGCAAACTGGTCACCCAGTTTTGTGAGATCAGGGACTCGGACCGGGGACAACCCCAGGCGGTGTCTGCTCTAGAAACATCGGCAAAAGATCTCTCTGCGGTTGCTCTTGAGGCCCAAAAAAACGTTCAGGGACTTGAGGCAAGTTATCCTCGCATGTCAGAAACCCTCGCACGGCTCAACAGCGAATGTATTGAAACAGAGAGCGAAATGAAGGCTCTTTGTGGAAAGATGACGGTGAATGTTTGCGGGAATAAGCTTAGGACTCTAGAATCGAGTACTCGAGCTTCGTTTCGAGCTCTCTTGTCTGAGAAACAGGTAGAGGAATGGCGCAAAAAACTCGACAGAATCCGTACTCAAGTCACCATGAATGTCTTGATGTGCCTTTGGTATGTATATTGATAGAAATGAAAGCCGCTACGCTAACAATACCCCAGGGATGAGGCCAAGGAGACGCGTGAACGAACAGAGGGCATTAATGGGGGGATGAAATCTTTGGTTGAACTCGTGTGCCGGATTGAAACCACAATGAATCTGTTGCAAGATGACTTGCGGGGAATATCAACTGGTGGGAATCTGGAAGGCACTACGAGACAGGCGAGGATTGCTGATGCAGTTTGGGCGTCAAGTGGGCTCATTGACCTGCCTGATCAGAATCAGTATCAAAAGGCTACCCCATCTCCCATCGCAACAGACCAGAAAACTATGTGCACAAAGATTCTGGCCAGTCTTCGGTTTGAAGGTATGACCGACCGAGGGGAAAGAATTGCACCCGCCTATCCAGATACATTCAAGTGGCTCTTCAACGATGAACAAGATGTTAGCCTAGGTAAGAACTTTAGGCAGTGGCTGCAATCAGAGAACAAGGAGATTTTCTGGATCACAGGCAAACCGGCGTCAGGCAAGAGCACATTGATGAAATTCATCTCCACCCACCAATGTCTACGTAGTGACCTCTACAAATGGGCGGGTGGGTCTCACTTTTTTCTTGCCACTTTCTACTTCTGGGGTCCCGGATCGAAAGCTCAGAGATCACGAGTTGGTCTCCTCCGGTCCCTGCTTTACCAGCTCCTTTCTCAGCAACCAGATCTTTGTCCTCTTGTTGCCCCCAGAAGACGAATCTTGTTTGACCTTGCGGGAATCGACGCAGTGTCGCCGGATTGGCAGTGGACGGAGTTGCGTGAATGCCTGCTGAGGTTTGCGTCCAACATACAGCACAAGATGCCCTTAGTTCTCTTCATCGATGGGCTCGATGAGTATGACGGAAACCATGAAGAACTGGTTGCATTTTTCAAGCAGCTACACCGGGAATACAACCCAAAGCTTTGCATCTCCAGTAGACCGTGGAATGTCTTTTCGGACGAGTTCAGATACAACCCTTCCTTGAGGATGGAAGATCTTACGAAACTCGACATCGACATTTATATTAAGGGACGTCTTGGAAGCAGTCATGGGATCCAGGAACTACGCCAATTGGAGCCAGAGAGCATCACTAGACTGATGGAGGAAATCAGAGATCGGGCCGAAGGAGTGTTTTTATGGGTTGTTCTCGTGGTCCAACAACTTCGCACCACAGCCCGGGACAGCCCTCGTCTTCCAGCAATCTGGAAAGCTTTCAACGCTCTCCCTCGTGGCCTTGAAGAATTATATGAAGCGATACAGCGCACAATCGGAGAGTCGAAGCAAGAAATGGCGTCCAAATTATATCAGCTCGTCATGGAGTGGAAGCGGACGTGGAACGGTCAAATACAGGCGACGTTGCTGTGGTGTGCCATTGACTGTACGGAGCCACTGCAGCCCATATGGTTCCCTGGACCGTCTCGCGAAAATTCAATAATACCACTCGTCAGCAGATTCCTTGCCGGGCATACGAAAGGCATATTGCAGGTTTCAGCAAAGTCCCGTCGTTCGAGATCCCCGACTGTCGACTTCCTCCACCGGACCGCCTTCGATTGGCTTCAAATGGAAAGAAACTCGGTCAAAATACGCTCTCAGGGACCACATGGATTTTACCCAATCCTGACTCTGATTGCTGTTTTGGTTGGCCATCTTCAACGTCTTGGGCCGCCAAATATGGAGACCCCAACTTATGCAGACTTTCGGAGGCAGTGCATCTTCCGAATTCTTAAATTCGCCAGGGAGGTTGAGAACACAGCCGAGAATAGAGCCAAACTGGTGACGATCCTGGACCGTATCGAGTCAAAAAGGCTTTTGCCTGTTGATCTCGAGCCGATGTTTCGTGATACATTCGTCTCCACCAGCAACCGAACAGTTCATAATGGCCTTGTAACTTTCGCTGCGGCCTGGGGTTGTCTTCCGTATGTCCAGGCAAAGTGCGACGCTAGTCCCCATATTCTGCAGGTCAAGCGTCAGTCCATATTACCATGGATCTTTTCGAAGCCCCCCACGCCGATATCCCTGCTTGAAGCTTCAGTGCTTGGAGGGGTCAATTTTGGAAAGCACAAGGATGGCTGGTTCAACGAAGCAAGGGGTTTTACTCAACTGCAGACATCACAGCGGCTGGATACCATTAGGTTCCTTCTTGACAACAATGTCAAACCGGACAATCATTTGAAAAAATCCATGAAGAAACTGACCGATGCGGCCAGCATCGAAGGCGACTATGAAGACAGATACTGGACTCTCGTGGACAAGATGTTTGAACACCGCTCCAGCATTATTGGTGTTGACGGGATGAAACACAGACTCTTGTCGGGCATTGAGGAGCCGCACCTTGGGGATGAGTTTCCAGAGTTTGAAATCAGACCGGACTCGTGGTGGGATTCAGGAATATTTAGTGTCGATAACTTGACTAGCTACCTGAGGAAGTTTTGCTGAATACATGATATCAGGCTACACATTGCTCTCGAACTTGCAGCTGCAGATTGTCCCCTTCATAACAGAATCGTCACAATCGCCTGTGAAGGAGAAGTTGAAACGCCCTAAGTGGCACCCTCACAGAGCCGTGCTGAGCAGGAACAGCTCCAGAAGCATCGTGAAAATCTTCTACGACGACACAATGATTTTTGGATGCTGTACGCAATCCGCACTTGGCTCAGTCTGGAGACGTCAAACGACCGGGTCTATACCTACTGGTTTCATCCTACCGTTCCCGCCTCGACAGAACAAGAGATTGTAAGTCGGTGGTGTCAAAGGAAAGTCCGTTCGAGTGGATGCTAACAATGTCAGCATGAACGATCTCAGCCGACTGTCCATAAGACCCCGGCCGACTACCTTCCCCCTGCGCTGGGCTACTTAAGGACACCAAAGACCCCACTGATGACGGTTCTTGGACGTCGGAGTAAATAATGGGTTATTGTCGTTGCGGTTGCAGGTAGGGATAGTGTGATGGAATCAGCGAAGCAAGATAGTAATAACTACTGTGCAAATAGATTTTGGCACAGCCAGTGGGATAGTACAATAATTTCCTTCAACAGTTGGCAGTCTCTTTGTCATTCCTTGCGACTTTCTGTCTATGCGAAGACAAGTTCTACGACATTACACACTTTTAAAAACAATAACTACAGTTAGCCAAATGGCTAGTTAACTAGTTGGTTACATAGAACTCAACTAGGTGAGCGCTGCACCTGGAAAGAGAAAGGCGTTATCTATCCCCAACAGATTCTACTGAAAAACTGAGTTGTGGTTCCTCACATCTCCTACAAGAGCACCGTACTATCCAGTTTGTCATAGGCTAGTCAACACTGCATTCTCAAATTTGCTGAATCCAATTGCTATACCAACATTTGCAGACGCCATTAGGCTTTTAAATTTATCGAATTTAGGGAACGTCAAGTTGACTTCTGGCTCCCTACCCTCTTTTCCTCTCTGTTTTCCTTACGTTTGTCCTTCCTTCTTTTACTTTTCCTGCTTTTCTGTTCAAACCAAGAAGCGCAAGTTGCTGTTCAACAGCCATGACAGTCCAAGCAGCCCCCTGCGCCGGGGGCTACCTATATTTAGATAATAGATGTTAGTTTAGCTAAGTAGATGGCAGGCAATCCAGATCTGCCCGTCACATATCCCGCGCCGGGACCAAGGCTGTTGACCATCATTATTGCCAGTCTTTCTGTGGTTTTCTGTCTTTAGTGAACGGTAGTGTTCTCACCGACCACCGCGGAACGCAAACAACTCATCAAAATAACCGTGAAATACACCGTGGGACGCGTCCCTATTATCAGGTGTGGGAAGCACCAAGGCATGGGTTGACCTGTCTTATCCACCGATCGAAGTAAATAATGAGGGCATAGTTGAGAGCCCGCAGCATGTGAGCGTTTGGTTCCTGACAATATGAAACGCATTTTTTTTTTTTTTTTTTTGAGCGAACAAGCAGACAATATCTTCTAGATAAGCAGATCATTCTTGCAGGACCAGTTGGGTTTCCATATCAACGGTGCAGCGCCCGGATGTCGTTCATTCCAGCACGTTAGCTAGCCTAGTCGTCTGGTCAAAAAGACCGAACCATACTTCGGACACCGTTAACCAGCTTGTGCATCTCGCCTGAAAAACTGCGTGCGTCCTCTAGATGGATTTCGTGGAGACTGGCTTGAAAGACTTTTTCGTCATCAATATTCAGATCGCTATCCATGTCGCCGAGCTGACGCGAAGGAAGTCGTTGAATTTCACCATGTACAACCAGGGTACTTTCAGCCAATATGCGAACCCGCGAGTACATATGATGAATACTTAGAGAGTCAGCTATATCTGGAAAGTATACCAGTTGTGACCCCACGATCGTCCAGAAACCCGATGTATAGGCAGAGAATATATATTTATTATGGATTTGTCTAGTCTACCTACTTCTTATGCAGAGACTGGCCTTCCTTCAATTGTTTATTGGTATGGAGCTTTGACCGAAATATGTGGCATGATTGAAGTACGATGAGTATATTTGACTTGGAAGTAACGGGTTGCAATGATGTAGTCTTGATCTGCAATGCCAACGTTCATGAGTTTGAGTTGTCAGCGCACGACCACGCAGAAGAACCTGGAGTTGCCTTGGTAGAAGCAATAATATTGACGACGGATCCGTAGGTTCCGGCAACCATCAAAAAAGACCCCAAAACGATTACTAGGATACTCCAAGATGAAAGAAGTATCCATTTAAGGGTTGGCTGTTCTCTGCCATTTTTCCAGTTATCATATAACCACATGCAACCCATTGGCTGGAATGACATGAAAGTTCCAAGCAGGGCGCCGATGAGGGAAACCAGATCGGCGAAGATGGGGATACCACTGGCAATGAGATAGGAGAAAACTGTAATGGCAGAAGTACAGCCAAGCCAAGTTGCCCAATGTTTGAAAGAGTTGGCGGTTAGATGTTCAGAATTTCGCAATATGCGGACGAATATGTATTTACTTGAGAACTATAGTTGGTCAAAAAAGGAAGCCGAGATTAGCCACTCTTATCACTCACATGAAGAACGATGACCGTACTGGCCACCAGGCCAGGGAGTGCGATTCCATATGCGACCCTCTTAATCAATGTACCGGCAGATCCCAGGGCGGGGGATGCAACGTATGAGCCACAATAGTAATAAATTACAGTACCAATAGCTATGTATATTGCAGTTATGGCGGACTGGCAGATAAGTAAGGATCTTGTGTAAAGTGAAGGATTACGCATCTCTGCTGCGATAGGAAAGAACCCTGGTTTACAATCATTAGCACATGGAGTTTTGATGTTAGAATATATCATTTCCTTTAACAGAGACCAATGACTGCCCTGCTGTAGCCTCATTACCCAATGTGTTCTGGGGAAAGAAAAGATTAGGTTAGACTGACCAGGAGTACCGTCGTATGCAAAGATGATGGACGAGACCGCTGTAATTGCTTTGGTGAATGATGCATTGCCAACAAGCTTGTAGTCCGATGCCCAGTAACTGGTCTTGGACGCTGTGGAAGGCTGTTCCTGGAGACCGACTGCAATTGTGGCAATCATACCTAGTGAACCTTGAGTAAGTACTTTAAAGCAGGCGGTTACAAGTGGTTACCCACTAGCAGTAAAAACAGACCCCACTCCAACCCACGCAGTCCATTTGATTTTCCCCAAAGTGCGGAAGCTGGCCAGGCTGCATGAAGCGATTGCAGACACTGCAACGAAGACAGCAGTACATGTCCCATGAGCTGAGACTGCGGTTCAGCCCAATCGATGTGCTCAATAGCCCGGAACCAGAACAGAAAATCCAGTCTAGCATGCATGGGTTAGAATAATGCTAGATACCAGGCTCCCTTCAAGACTCACAGACGCAAACCCCAACCCCAAAGACCTCGCGGCCTACTCGACCGAACATCAGTTCTCCCGCATCGTCGATGGCGTACACCTCAGGATGCTTCAACTTGAAAGTACCGATAACGTAATTAGACCAGGTGGTTACGGCTGCAACCACCACCAGGCATATGATACCTGGGATTATTCCCAGTGAATCGAGGATTTGGGGTATAGAAAGAACACCAAGGCCAAACTGGGTCTTCATCATGAGAGCCACTGTTCCCAGCCATCCAACCTATCCATCGTTAGATATTTGAGTATAGGTTTGTTAATGAGTACCTACGTCTCGGTAATTCGGCCCTTCTTCAGTGATCTCGCCAAAGACTGCATCTTGTGCTATGGGAGGAGAATCCAGAGGTTTCGACGGCCTTCCTGCCGAACCGGCCTCTAGGCCATTGGGCTCTGACATGATGTACCTTTTTAGGAAGGAACTATGTCGTAGCGTATGACAGTCCAGGATGCGCGGATGAGAAGAAATAAGCTTGTGGTAGATATTGTGCCATGGGATAAATTTACTGACACTCCAAAGCGCCGGTGACTGGTCTTATACAGGAGTCAGGAACTCTAGTAGTGCTTAGTATTTTCCGGGGATATCGGAAAGACATACCTTTACTAAAAGTTATCGGGGGTGAGTAGTTCTCATTGAGCAGTGTGAAGCGCAAACGACATGGCGATGTACAAGACAATATCTCCCAACTCGACCATGCATCTACGTGCAATTTAAGACGGTGAGCTTTTCCCTAGGCATAAGATAGAGGTTTCAACTTGTTGTCCAAGAGCCAGTGGGTCACAGAGAATTGAGGGATCTGGGGTACTACTAGAGGATTTCGCCTTGTCCGACCACAAGGTCCGATACCCTGGATAAGCTGGGGAAGATCTCAAGTGGGACTCGCTTGGCTATCAGTACTCCAGACTCAGACCGAATGCGAATTTACTCTAGTTGGTTCGCCTCTGCCGGTGTGGAGTGAGTGAAACAGCGCGGTTCACGCTACGGCCGTCGCATCCGACAGACACCAGGTCATAATTCCTTTACATGTACAATAGAGACTACTTAATTTGAGCATGGTCAGTTATACCCGGCGTCGGGATGGGTACGAGGTACCATTTAGTACTTAGCTCGGAAAGACCTGCCTTACAGTAATCGACTTGATAGACCAACTACGTAGGCGGTTAACACTCTCGGCAAACATCATATCGCCAGTCTGCGAAATTTTTTTACTTCATTTGTCTAGCCGCTAAGAGCTTCGCGGCTCCATGCGTTTTACCCCGCTCGAGCCAACGGCCGGGTCTTTGGTAGGAAGTTTTCTTCTGGGCGCAACAAAATAGAGTCCTCATCATTTCGCAGCTCTTGCTTTTGAAACTGACCTTTCCTTGAGGCAAGATGCCCCCCAGAGAAATCTCAGAAAGACGCTTGCTAAGTGCGAGCAAGCGTGTGACCAGAGCGTACGTCCTCTAACCTCGGACACTGCACTCTATTGACACATTGAGTGAGCAAACAGTTGTAGAAGATGTCATGACCAAAAAATCAGATGCACCGGCTCACATCCATGCAGCCAGTGTAGCAAACGGAACTTGGCTTGCTGTTTCGATAACCCGTCAGAGAGGGTTCTAGTCACACGAAGGCGAGTAAAGACATCTGCTGTCATCAGTTCCCAAATCTAATTTCCCTATCAAGACAGGTACCTCAATGACCTACATGAGCGCGTGGCTACTTTACAGCATAGAGTGAACCAGCCTGCTACTTCGAAATCAACCCCTGAGCAGCTTGCCAACCTGACATGTGAGCACCGTTTCAGCGGGACGATTGCTGGCACAAAACCACTAAGACTCTCCAGGTGATAACGCAACATCATTGCTACCATCAGCGGATAACCAAGACCAAGGCCTGCGCTTTAGACATACTACCACGACGGCGTCCAGAGCCCAAGATGGGATAGAAGTCAAGGCGCCTCTGACAAATCCACTAGCTCATCACATCACAGACTGGGTTCCAGGCCCCCTGGGAAGACCAGGTAAACCCTCTAATTTATAAAGCAAAGTACTAGCTCTTTTTCTGACTATTATATTAGTGTTCATGGGCACGTCATCCAGTTGGGCCTTTGCTCGGCGAGTGTTGGGAATGACCCATGAGAATCTAACAGGATCGCCGCTGTTTCCAGATCCAGACAATCTACTCTTTGATGATCATGTCTACGATCTCAAGTGGGACGGAAACAAAGCAAACTATCCCCAGGACCTTTTTGATGTCTCGAATCTTCCAACCCCGGATTTTGCCAAATATCTCATTAGTTCGGTTAAGTTCCATTGTGGACAGCTTTTCTATCTATTTGAAGAGAGCCGTTTCATGGAGCAGCTTGAAGTTTTCCAGCACAATCCCGCGAAAGAATCTCGATCCTCACCTTTATGGTTTTGCCACTACCTTCTGCTTCTTGCATTTGGAAAAGCCTTTGTGGTTCAATCAGCGAGATCGCAGGGTCCTATTGGCGCAGAGCACTTCATCCAGGCTATGCAATGCATGCCAGACTTTAGTTTCTTCAATGATGATCCAATTGAGAAGATACAGGTCATGTGCTGTGCTGCACTATACCTACACTCCATCCACAGCCGTGGCCCGGCCTATCGTATGGTAAGAGTGAAGTTGCACTGTGCTTATTGACTTCAACGCTGATAAGCTTAGATTGGTAGTGCTCTTCGCTTAGCCCTAGAACATGGCATGTATACAGGGATGCATGGGATATGTCTTGATGAAGACTATGTGCAGCGAAGCAGCCTCGTGTGGTGGACTGTCTACGTCCTTGAACGTCGGATGTCGTCTCTTCTAGGGGTGCCAATGGCAATTTCCGAAGAGAGTATAAGTGCTTCATTTCCTTCGATTTCCAGGCCTATCCAAGGTTCGAATGTCCTGGAGATGCAAGTTGTGTTATGTCAAATACTGGCCAAAGTGGACTTGAGTGAGTTCTCACTACTGTTGGCGCTCTAATTTGCTAAATGAAGGTTAGCTGTATATGGCAGCGAAGGAAGGCTTGATAGTCGCTATCTCAGCGCTACTCAATCTGTCCTCCGAGACATTGCCAAGGTCACCGAAAAATTGAATAGCTCCTTTGACTTATATACCAAGGGTTCCACGGGTGGCACTTCGCGAGTATCGGCACATTTACATATCCTCGAGCATCAGGTATGACATCTTTGAACCAATTTCTATGAAACAGTGCTTACAGGTCTATCTAGTGTATTATTCTCACGACAAGGCCACTTTTGTATATATTTCTCCAATCCAAGTTGGGCCAGTCCGACCCTGCGTTAATGCACTGGCTTCAAGCTGGGACTGTGAAGGCTCTCCTTCATATATGCGTGGAATCGGCCCAACAAATTCTAAGAATTCTGTCAAACTTACTAGAACAAGGAATCTTGGGTAGGCCGTCTGCATGTTATATATGAGACCTTATATACTGACGCGAGTTATCTGAGAAACCTTTGTGCCCTTCGACATGGACGCGGCATCTACATCAACAATCTCACTTTTGCTGGCGGCTGCAATTGATCCATCTCTACTGCGAGATCATTCACCCTGGTCACAGCGTGCGTACGCCATTTTAGGCGAAATGAGCATTCGCGGTAACCTTTCCGCCAGATTGATTCGGTCAGAGTTGAAGCAATTGGATGATGAACTCACACAGTTGGCGATGAAAGAAAATGCGACGGCGGTGTTATCCGCAAGCACTCATCGTGGATCGAGAGAGGGGAACAGCCCTACAGTCCTTGTTCCTCCCGTCGCATTGGGTGAGCATAGCCACTCACTGGAGCTGAATTTTGCAGAAAGTTTTGGGCAACATTACGAGTTCAGCCCAAGTCAGTTGATGGAGCTGGCAAACTCCTTAGATCTTAATAGTCTGGCTTGGCCGCTTCCTTGCATCCAAGGATGAATTTCCAGGCTTGGATATCTGACTTTCCTGTCAATGTAACGAATGTCAGAAATTGACTAGGACATCCCCCATCCTTCTCATTTAATTCCCTTTTTTCTCTTTTCTCTTTCTGCTTCGCATTGGACCAAACAAGAAATGAGAAATTGTAGGTGCTGTGTTAGAAATTATAGAAAACAGCATCTATTCAGTTGCATTCATAGTCACCATGATTGTCACCCTTCATTGTATAACATCCAATGCGCTGACCTGGTCGTCGCTAGCGTCGTTCGCCTTAGTTTCTAATCCTCAATGGTCTAGTTGCCGTAATGTGGTCCACTACCCCTCATTTTCAGCCTGCGGCACTATCCTGATATCTCAACTTTGGTCGTTGGGAATGGGACTGGAGGGTGTCTGCATTTGATCCGACTACTGTAGCCTGGTAGAACTACGGATGATGCTATGCTACAGTACTTGAGTCCCTGTAATATCCAATCAAACAACGGGATCGGGTGAAAAGGCCGTAGCGTCATTTCCTTGACTGATTTGATTACGTGCGTCCTCACGTAATTCTGTGGCCCCGTTTTTTGGTAATTGGGATTTTTGTTGGGTGGCCTTGAATGTGTGATTGGAGAGCATCCCCGGGAGCCTACCAGGGCAAAACAACTTTCAGGGCCCGGTACAAGCAGAGGGCCGACTCAGAGGTTATAACCTGAAAGCTCGATTTGAAGGGATATACAATGGAGGTGACAGTAGTCAAGGTCTTGGAAGGCCAAGACCCGACCATCTTACGCAGCCAGCCACTTATCTTCTGGCCCTGCTTAACCTAACTGGACATGAAGTGGAAACGCGCAGACGGGGTCAGGCTCTGGTGCGGATGTGGCTTGGGGATTGGGACCGGCACCGGCACCTGTTACCGAGCATGCGGGGACTAATTTGTCGGCCTGGGGGCCGGGGAAGATGTGATCTAACTGGGCTACCTTGAATCGGACGCTCGAGTAACGGGGTAGAGCTCATCGTCTCTTCAATGTCCGATACCGTAGGCTACACACCAGGCGGTTCGTCTGATGCTATCACTGAAGAGGGGTAAACTTCCATAAGACTCAAGGAATATATATATATATATGCCTTCTGACGACCTTCATCTGCCAGTCACTCAACTCTCAGTGTTTCAACTCTTTTCTTTTCAATTTTACTTGTCCATTACCCAAGAAACAACCATGGAACGGTTTGACATTGCAGTTGTTGGCCTTGGTGCCCTTGGAAGCGCAGCAGCATACCAAGCAGCCATCAAAGGTTCTAAAGTCATTGGCTTCGAACAATTCGAGTTCGGTCACGTACGCGGAGCATCACATGACACTTCACGGATTATCAGGACCTCATACGGCTCCCCTGAGTTTGTTTCACTCGCAAGATCGGCGTACAAAGACTGGGCAGACTTGGAAAAGCGATCTGGTCTACAGCTGCTGAACATAACCGGCGGCGTTGTATTCCTTCCCAGGGGAGGGCCAACTCCCTCCAGCGACTTTACAAAAAGCTTAGACGCCAATGGTGTTCCTTACGAGCTTCTTGATTCAAAGGAAGTCAATCGACGCTGGCCCGGGTTCAAGATTCCCGATGAAATTGATGCCGTGTACACGGCAGATACTGGTATCGCTCATGCCTCCAAATCGGTCACTACTATGCAATACCAAGCTCGCGCCAATGGGGCTGTCTTGAGAGAGAAGACTCGAGTGGACAGAGTGACCCCGGATGGCGACTGCGTGGTCATCGAAACGTCCAATGGTCGAGTCCGAGCTGGCAAAGTGATCCTTGCGGCCGACGCCTGGATAAACAAGCTTCTTGGACCTCTTGGTGCTGAGATCCCGCTGTCAGTCATGCAGGAGCAAATCACCTACTTCAAGCCGACAGACTCAGCTCGTTTCGACTCTGAGCGGTTCCCCGTGTGGATATGGGGCGGCGAGAAATGGTTCTATGGATTTCCGACCTATGGGGAGCCAACCATCAAGGCAGGCCAGGATGCCCAACAGAATATTATGGCCCCCGACCATCGTACATTTGTTCACTCGCCGGAGCTGCTCAAGACGCTGACGGGTTTCATGGACACTATCATACCCGACCATGGTCAGGCCCTGCGTACAGTAACCTGTCAGTACGCCATCACGCCGGATCGCCAGTTTATCATAGGATCATTGGAAAAGCACCCAGACATTATTATAGCTCTGGGTAATGGACACGCATTCAAGTTCGCTCCTGCTATCGGTCGAGTGGTGGCAGAGCTCGCAATTGACGGGGAGACGAGTGATGATATCTCCAAATTTCCCGTGCCGAGTCCAGCCGGCTCTAGCAAACTATAATTGAATGGTAGTGTATGATCCAGGTCTGTGAAGCGGATGGCTGATATGTCAGGAGACACCCTTCAGGGCAGCCCCGAGATTATGATAGCTAGGTAGATAGTAACGCATATGTTTCCCCACACCTTCCATCAATATAGCAGTCAAGCTTCTTTTATTTCACCCCTCTGACAGTATATTATCCACAGCTCTACTTCCAACTCGACAATGCGCTTCATTCATTGGAAACAAGCAGCGCCCATACTATACACCTGATATTCTTATTGCGTCGTAACGTAAATCGAGTGATCTGGTCTGTTGCCCTGGTGGACGGCTGTATACTCGTTCGTTCCTTCAAGTTGCTTGACGCTCACTATTCAATATGCGGCATACATACTTAATTTTCTGAGCAGCCTGAATCCAACCAAAAGAGGATGTTCAAAATGAGCTATATTCCCTGCTGCCTAGTTTTTTTTTTTTTTTTCTTGGTACATACCAAGAGCTCTACAACCCTAATTTTGGATCTCATTGTGCTGGTGAAAACGATCCTCCCTTCATAGGAACAGAAATTACCTAAGTATTTTTACAATGGGGCAATAGAATGTTTGAGGAGGGAGATAATAGTATTAGTTATTTAACACTAGAATATAGGCAGGACATACGATAATTTACTGCTCGTCAACGTCGGGACTTACCCAAAGGAAGGCCTCATCATGAAACAAATAAATACAAGAGATTCCGGTATATATTTTCAGTTCTGATCGCCGTTGGCAGGGAGAGCATTTTCTCCATGATTTAACTGGGTATGCTGACAAGCTGACCATGGCAAAGAACGGGTCAGGCTTAGCAAGGTGAATTGTAAAAATGATCTGGTCATTATTAGCTTGTCTGGATGCTAAGAGGGAGGACTGGACTGGACTCACTTATCAGGAACTACATGGCGCTGTTTCACGCTGGACTGTTCGCTCACTCCCCTTGCTCGGGATATTTGGGCCCTTCCTAACCCTCCTTCTTTGTCCTATCGATAGTTGATACAGTGACAAGGGTCGGGGTATCAACAGCAAATGAAAAATCAAGCTCCCCAACGAGCTCTCTCACCAGCCTGCTCAAGAAAGAGAAAAGGGTGTCAGTCATACAAGTATACTTGTAGCGATGCAACAGGTCTACTTACTGCGTGAGCCGATTTACATCACGAATCAAATACCAGTTAACGGTATGGATCAAAGCTGCGGCCGCAAACCCTTCTTCCGTGGGTACATCCCTAGTCAAAAGCTCGTTCAGATTCGGGATTTCCAACTCCCTCATCTGCGGCGGCAGCGGATGGACCCGGCTCAGTGCAGAATGCAAAATGATCATTCTCGTCGTAACACCCCCGGGAGTAAGGTGTGCTTGAGCTGTATCGTTCTGGTCGGCGGCCCACCAGGTAGGAGTCCGTTCAAGCGCCAGAGACACATAGCCCGAGAGGGTCAGGTAGCTGCTGACGCGCTCGAGAATGGCGAGGATTTCGCCGTATGTTTTCTTGGGGAAACGACCGCCGAGGGAGAACTCCCAGTCGAGGAAGCTGTAATATGTTTTTGCACTGGTGCTCATGGTTTGATATTTGCGGAAAATGCGGCGGCGCGCGGTTTGGAGGTGGAAGCCGGGGCTGGTTTTGTCATTCAGGTCGCCCGAGGTGCCGTGGAGTCTCGCGAGGATCGTTTGTTGGGTGGATTGGCTGAAATTCGCTAGAATGTACATGGATTTGGCCACTTCTTCGCGGAGTTCAGAATGTTCGGATAGGGGATATGGAAAGAGTGTCCAGAAGTACGCGACAACGACGCCGAGCGCGACGATGGCAAGTCGGTAGGGGAAGATGATGTATGGTGCGTAGACGGCTTGTCCGGATTTAGAAACTATTTCTGCTCCTAGCTGACGGACTTGGAGTTCATTTGCTATCATCACGATGGCGGTAATGAGGGCAACGAACCATACGCTGAAGAATTTAGGGAATTTGATCACTAGAAAATTAGTTTTGAGGACAATCTTGCCGTATGGGTACGACTTACTGAAAAATCCTATGACAGTAAACCACAGCCAGACGAAGACCAAAATACCAGGGGTCTTTTGGTCGACAATGTACCAAATGATGTAGCTCGCTATCATAGAGGCAATAGTACCAAGTATACGACACAGTAAAAGGAAGGTTGACGATCCAGCAGTGCGGCCCATAGAAAGCACAATGGCAAACAATGCCCAGAGAAATCGCTGTCTAGAATAGAAACTCTGCGAATCACGAAGGAACGCCATAATGCTTATGGTCATAACGGCACAGACACCTCGAAGCCCGTATGCTGCATGATTGGTGCGAAAGACGGCGTTAATCTTGCGAATCTTGTCTCCAAAGGACTCCATGAGGTTGGCAGGCGGGAGATGGTCAGGATCCTTTCGATCGTAGAATGTGGAACCAAGTTCGACGTTTGTTTGAGGATCCATACTTTGGTAAGTACTACCTGGTCGGGTACCTGCAATGTGGACCAATACTTTGAGCCAATATCTAAGGTGTCTAAGCCGCGGAATAAGTAGACGCTTCGGGTGTGCATGGCACTCCTCGGTAAAAAGAAGGAGTTTGAGGAATTCGTCTCCTAGTAATGAAAGGAGAGTATGTGACTGTGATAATTAGCTAATGCTGTGGGCGCACACCCGTTTTCCACCACTTACATGGAGCAATAAAAAATAGCGTAGGGTGTTAGGATGTGCTTCTGAAGTAACTTGGCTCAGGTCTTCAACCTGTGGTCTGTGTCGGATGTAATAGTCAAGCAGCTTTTCTCCATCCGTGCCATACGTATCTTGTCCTAGAACACAACACTTGTCGAAGACGTCTCGATATGATTCGAGGAAACTGGCTTCTCCAGGTTTCATTGGAAACTTCTGGCTCTCCTCGTCAGTCTTTCTCGCATGAACTCTGCCAAACAAGGAACGCTCCTTTGTCAACTCCAGTCGAAGTTTGGCGTGCTCCACTCCTTCAATTATAGCCTCTGATATTCTGTAAGATTGTTCATGCATTTCCCCCTCAAGGCGATGCCAGTATTCTTCGCTCTCCGCATTATGGCCTGCCTCAGCATTGCTATTCACCCCTCCGGTGTCGTTAGACGAATTATATTCCTTATCAACTGCCAGCTGCAGCATGTTTGCAGCTGAGCCTAGCCCAGATGCCGGGGCGATAAGGTCTACCAACATCGAGGCAATATGCTCGAGTTGCTGGTGGTCAAGGCGGTCCCAGGACATCTCACGCTCGGCATACTCGACATCACCACGAGCCTTGACGATGCTATTAATGAAAAGCTGTAGCGCGTTCTGGAGTTGATGGACAGAGTTGTTTCTTTCATCTTCTCCTTCGGCAGATATTCTCCTTGATCGGAAGTCTTCTATGCATCTTTTCTGAGCCTGCATAATAGCAACTAATCCGTCAAGACAGGCTCTCATATCCTTCCTGAAAACTCCTCTGCAGCTTTGCGGGAATACAACGAGAGCATTGACGAATCCCACGGCCTGCCCCACCAGAAAAACCTCAAAGACAGTGCTAGTCTGAGCAATGATTTCCTGCATACTAGAAGCTTGAGCAACGGTTGGTAGCGTAACGACTGCAAAGATGCCAGCCCAGGTGCACTGTATGGCCCAGGTAGGAAAAGTTGACTTCAGCGTGAAAACACACCATGTCCAAAACATTAAGAAGATAGCGGCGATAGCTTCAGCTGACGAGTTGTAAGCCTTCAGCTCCTCGGGGCCATTAGTAGTGTGTTTTCTGGCTTGCAAGCCAGACCAGCCGCCAAGGAGCACCCAGCAGTATGACACGGTAACTACAAACGCGAGTTGAAAATTGTACTCAATCAGCCTTGCCCGAGGAAGAGTCGGCAGAACACAGGTGGACATGATTGCGGCTAAATAGGCCTGGGTCTGAAAGAGATTGATCCATGCGTTTGACTGAATGGCACATAAAAGGATAGTGGGTGGTATCGATGATTTGATAGCCATCATAATAGTGTGCCGGTCCAAAGTGAGTTGGGCCAAGACCGACTTGAGCTGCAGGCGTCTCGTAGTTGCTTGGAAGGCATGTCCCAGAGGTTTAGGCAAGGATCCCGACCTTGACGATGGCGTTCGGTCCGGGAGAGGTCCATCATTATGACTGCCGGAGCGCATTGACGATGTCTCGATTGCCATAGTTGTTGATCCTCCCATAGAAGGGAGAATCCGAAATGAACTAAGATACCGTAGTTATCTAGCTTTGGTATCTTCTTTACACATCACTAGAGATTACGCGAATTTTTCAGCTTGGTTCTGTTCAGATCAATTTTTTCAACCCGTTCTCGGCGGTCTAAGTGGATCCTTTTATAATCATCGTGAGATCGTTAGCATATTACCAGAGTATCTGCGATATTGGAAAGATGCCCCCCCCGTAGCTCATGCTCGGTATTTTAACGACTAGGCGACATATTATGCCCACCACGAGAGAATAGGCTGAACCCGGGAATACTAGTAGACTTAAGAATCAAATCAATGAGGTCAACTTAAGATTGACTAATGATGACTTATTGCGGTCGGCCGAAATTGTGGGTCTTCTCGATAAGTAGAGCCGATGAAATCGAAGCCAGTTATACTTAGTCCAAGTTGGTTCCCTTCCTCAGTGTAAGCGCTACCATGTCGCCTATGCTGTCTCGAGTCGATTTCTGGCGAGGTAACCCAGGGCGAGATACCTACGCCGAATTGCTCGGTTCCTTTTTCCGGCCGCATCGGTGACAATCAAGGGCTCTCAGAATAAAGCAATTGCACAGATCAAGAGATATCGAAGAAACATCCTGATGCGGCTCCGTTTGGTCCCATTCAGTGATATTTTATCTTTGAAGGGGTTCCTCCGGGTGGCGATATGGTGGACTAGAGTAGATCAGTACCTGTTGCTGAGTTAAGCCCCGTTGTACCTGGCATAACCGGGACTACGATTGTGGTTTTCACGCTTCCTTTATTCGTATTTGCCATGGGTCTTGCTTCGGGGGCACATCTCAATCCGGCCCTCAATATAGCTTCGTTCTTCGGTCGATTGACGACGCTAACGAGATGCATTCTATGATTTCAGTTTAGACCCTTGAGTCAACTGGCTAGTGCTAAGCGTATTCAGGTAGTGTAGACACTGCTAGTCGGCCATGGGTGATAGCTGCAATTTTGAATCCGTTAGTGCTGGATAAGGTCTAAATGCATTAGCATCATTACGCGTTAGCATGGCTCAGAGATGATGTAGCTATGAGATGATTGGTTACAACCATATGCTCACAAAACACCCTCTTCTGATATATTGATTAATCCATCACCAATCCGTCCACGATGCCTCCAGCGTATAAACGCCTCAACAAAGACGACTGCGTCTTCCTATTCGTTGACCACCAGGTAAGCTACCTATTGTCTCTGGACCAACATAGCTTGGTGATTGACCTCAAGAAAGACTGGCCTCATCCAGCTAGTCCGCGATTTCGAGCCGAATGAATTCAAAACCAATGTTTCAGGGCTCGTCAAAGTGGCCGACTATTTCAGGGTCCCATCGATTCTAACCAGCTCGTTCGAGACAGGCCCGAACGGTCCGCTTGTCAAGGAGCTTTACGATGGGCTTCCTAACGCGACTGTGGTCCCACGCCCGGGCCAAATCAACGCCATGGATAACGAGGACTTTGCGCAGGCTGTGAAGAAGATGGGTAAGAAGCAGATTGTCATTAGGTATCTAAGCCCTGAAAAGCATTTCAAGACCTAGCCTAACATGTTGGATTGCAGTGGTGTCTTGACTGAAATCTGTGTTGCTTTTCCTGCTCTCAGCTTGATTGAGGAAGGATACGACGTCTTCGTCGTTACCGACGCCTCGGGTACGTTTGCGGAACATACGAGGGAGGCGGCCCATAAACGGATGGCCCAGGCAGGCTGCCAGTTGCTTAATTGGGCGGCTGTTGCTGCGGAGCTCCATAGGGACTGGCGCAACGATGTTGCGGGTTTCGGTGAGATTTGGCGCGATCACGTCCCTGGGTATTGGTGCTTGATGCAGAGTTATGAATCTGTGAGCAAGAATGCAAATCAGTAGATAGCCCCGTTCGGGCTGCGGTTGGCAACCCGTGCACCTGATCTCTGGCATTAGAAATGAATGTTATTGCCTATCATATTGAAGACTCATGGCCACATCTCTGATATCCTGACGGACTTCTTCGACTTCAGCTAAAGCACCGGGTCGATTCTCCAGGGAGTTATGAGTCACTCCCACCAGCTAAAGCGGCTGGAAGACATCCAAGCTAAAGAAATCGTAGATCACACTGGCATTCCCAGCAAGGTTCATTTCAACACCTGCCAGCTGTTAAATGTCGCTTCTAGACTTCGTTTCTTTTGCGTCCCCAGAACTGCCATTTGCCATTTTCAGGATGGGCCCCGTTCTCAATAACCGCGATAATCAGGTTCTAATAGATAATAACGAGTGGTATTCCCATCTAAACTAGATGGACAAAAGACGAGAATGTCGAATCTGGAGGGGAGAAAAGAAGAAGCCGTTGTCATAAAGGAGTGCAGGTTTACATGTATCGTCGATGCCAAATCCGAATCAGGTGATGGCTGTGGATGAAGTACATATATCAGTTACATAAAACCGCGTGTTTATAGTATGCCGACTGCTTCCCTTTCAGGATAAGATGAAGCTATACAAAGTTGTCGGCGGAAACGTGCACGTGACTCACCGCGAAAAGCGGGTCCGGGTCTGGCGTAAAAAAAAAAAAAAAAGAACATCGACCAAGCCGACCTCGAGCTTTGGCATCGCCGCTATTTCTCGACCTCAATCCCTCTTATTTATTCCGTTGTTGATTAGAATGTTTGCCTAAGCGATTTGGCTCTCTATATTGAGCCGGGTTAGACTGTTTTTCAAACGTTCTGTCTTTTCTCTTCGTTTTCAAGGCAAGAAAAAATCTCGTGACGATTTTCGCGGACTTCGATACATTCGATACATCTCACAATATAAACCATCACCATGGATATCCACCGCTGTCGCTTCGTTCCCTTCAACCCCCAGGCGATTAATGCGCTCGCATTTTCTCACCCTCCATCCGCCGGCGTTGCCGGACGAGGTGTCCCTACCCTCCGACTCGCGGTTGGTCGCGCAAATGGCGACATCGAGATCTGGAACCCCCTACGCGGCGCCTGGTTCCAAGAGACAGTCTTACGTGGAGGAAAAGACCGGAGCATTGAAGGGCTCACGTGGACGCTCGACCCTCCCGAAGAAGGACCAGACGGCGTCAAGTTTCCCGGCCGCCTGCGCCTGTTCAGTATCGGATACTCGACGGCTGTGACTGAGTGGGATATCGAGCAGGGTCGCCCGATGCGGCATTCGAGTGGAAACTACGGTGAAATCTGGTGCTTGGCGGCGCAGCCCAGGTGGCAGGCGACGCAGCGAGGCAAGGATGGGAAGTTACTGCCTCCGGCGGAGGGAGAATATACGGGACAGCACCTTGCAGCGGGCTGTGCAGACGGATCGATTGTGATCTTGTCGACTGCCGATAATGATCTGAAATTCCTGCGGCTGATGCGGCCGTCCACTAAGAGAGCGAGAGTCCTCAGTGTTACGTTCCAGAATCGCAATACCATCGTGGCTGGCTACGCTGATAGTTCGATCCGTCTGTTTGACATTCGGAATGGTCAGCTTCTGAGAACAATCTCGCTGGGTAAGGGCCCAGCGGGTGGTCCGAAGGAATTGTTGGTTTGGTCCGTCAAGTGCCTTCCCGACGGTACCATCGTTTCCGGTGACTCTGCTGGTGAAATCCGCTTCTGGGATGCAAAGAACTACTCTCTCATTCAACGGGTCCAGGGCCATATGGCGGATGTGCTGGATGTCGCCGTGGGTGCAAATGGCGACACAGTTGTCAGCGGAGGCGCTGACCAACGCACCGTTGTCTACAAGAAGAAGGAAGGAGAAAAGGGCGACAAGAAAGCCCGTTGGGCCGAGGTGATGCACCGAAGATACCATACCCACGATGTCAAGACTTTTGCGGTCTACGAGACAAAGGAGATCAGTTTCATCGTGTCTGGAGGTATGTCCTGATGCTCTGTCCCAATTACTACTCAAGTCTAAGTTTTCGGTTATTATAGGCCCGGATGCTACGCCAGTTGTTTTGCCCCTACGCGAGTTCGGTAAAGAGCACCACAGAAAGCTATCGAATCTTCCTCAAATCCCTCAGCTTGCTTCTTCTCCTTCGTCTCGGCTGGTCATGAGCTTCTGGGATAGAGAGATCAGCATCTGGCGCGTGTCGCGTGGTCCTACATCTTCATTTGAGAACGTCGATGGACAGAGGCATCGACTCGTCGGAAAGGTGTTGGTTCAGGTAAGGGTTGGACAAATAATGAGGCGAACGATGGTTCTAACGATATAACAGGGCGAGGAAAACATCACTTCAGCTATGCTCTCCTCCGACGGAAAGATCCTCGTTGTTGCTACGATTTCCGACGTCAAAGTCTTCTCCGTCAGACGGCGCAAGGGCGACGAAAGAGGAGCTCTACGTATACAAAAGCTGGATGTTCCCGCCGCCTTCTCCGACGACGGAGCCCGAGTCGTGGCTGTTTCCCCTGACAGCCGATGGATCTCTGTGGTCCGCCCCAACAGCGATATCTACCTTGCAAGACTCAAACCTGCGTCCTCCCCACAAGAAAAGCCTCAATTTCTGCCTCAACTCACGAAACTCAACCGCGCTGCGCGACACATCCGACACGAGAAAACGTCTCACGGAACCCTGGGCGAGTTCGAGCGGACAATTCGATGCGTCGTATTCTCGGACAATAGCAACATATTGGCCGTTGGTGACTTGGCTGGATGCATTGATAGCTGGGTGTTGGAACAGACGACAGAGTCAAGACCCGCGTCCAAGACCAACGGGGCTGCAGAGTCGGACGACGAATCGTCAGATGATGAGGATGAGCAGCCCGTCATCGAAGGCGAGCGATGGCGTCTCGCTGCTGCAGAGTCGCCCATCCCTCGTCTCAAGGGAGGAGTGGTTCTGATGTCGTTCCGTCATCAGAGAAAGGCAGACGACAAGATTTTGACGAACGGCACGAACGACGATGCACAATCTACGACAGAAAACCGGTTGATGGCACTTACAAGTGAGCATCAATTGGTGGAGTTCGAAGCTCTCGATGGCAAACTCTCAGAGTGGTCCCGGAGAAACCCCAAGGCGTATCTCCCCGCAGAGTTCAAGGGTGTCAAGGACCGTGCCATGGGCTGCTTATGGGATCTGTCAGAAGGCCGCGAACGACTCTGGCTATACGGCTCCTCATGGCTGTGGATGTTTGACCTGAAGCACGACTTCCCTTCTCCGGAGGAATTCGAAGCCTCCGATCAAGCCCAAAGCCAAGCAGCCAAGGCCACCTCGGCGCAAAAGCGCAAGCGCCAGGCACAAGAGGATGGCGAGAACGACCGCAAGAAACCCAACACCGGTGCTGGTGATCGGATACCCCTGGCCCAGGCAGACATCTACTTCGACCCCAAGTATCGCAAGGTCGTTGGAGCCGACGAGTCGCAGGGCGAGTGGATCTCGATGGACAAGGAGCTCCCGCACGGCGCAGATGGCGAGGACGAGGATGCTTACGATCACGACGAGGCATACGCGGCCAGCAACGACGCGGGCCTGGCTCGACTTCGACGAGAGGGCAACATGGGAGACCATGCTGTTACAACACCCAAAAAGGGTAAACAGGATAAACGGTTCCCCGCTATTAATGGACTGGTTGCAGACACGCCAACGGCAACGCCACGCAAGGCCGGAGTTCAAGAGCTCGAAACACCCGCCGCGCAAAAACTTGCCAATCGCATTACCCAGGCTCCGCGCCGGTGGTGGCATACCTACAAGTACCGTGATATCTTGGGTATCGTGCCACTGGCCGATGAGGCCGAGGAGGAGAGCAAGAAAGATGGCAGTCTTGAGGTTGCCGTTATTGAACGGCCGACGTGGGATATTGAGCTGCCTGGTCGTTATGTGCGGGATTACTCATAAGGGGTGAATGGAAAATATTAGATCGGGTAATTATTTTGGATGGAAGTATATCTAGCAAGGTCCAACACCACCACTTTCTAATTCTTGTTCGAGCATCCTTTTGCACCAAAAATCTGATTTGTACATACGGCGAATAGAATTGGATCAGGTGACACGGCAAATTCAGCCTCGTCGCACTTTTGACTTCCTTTCTTCTCATTTTCTCGTATCGTGTCAGGAAGGCTATGTATAGTCGACGACTAATCTGCTGTCTTGGATGGATTCAATGGCTATCATAAAAGGCTGCGAATAGTGCATTACTAGCTGAGTTGACACTATTCCACACTTTTCTTCTTACGACCCTTGCAAGGCTACCTTGAAATATCTCTATTCTGACAGTGACTATGGAAGACGGTGATTCTCGTTGTATCATCTGCGGTGCAAAAATCCCCTACCATTTCCGGAGGCACACCTAGTACCAAGACTTTCGAGCGAGTCCGTCGAACTTCTTCCCTCACTTACCAAAAACAAGTACCAATCTTGAGCAAACCAAGACTAACCCAGACAATCCGCTACATCTACGACTCCATCCCATCCAGCCACCCCTACCTAACCGGCGTTGGAGGCTATATAAGCGGCGTCCCATATGATGCATGTACAGCTCCATCCCATCCAGAAAGCCGAGCATGACACTGCGTACTCTCACATGATAATTGGTTCTCGCCGCTAATCGGGTGCTGTGAACGTCCGCTTCCGGGGTCCTTGTTCCATGATGCTTGCTGGGAAGTAATTCAGTGGATGGTATGTCCAGACGAGATTCTTGTGGAGCGTCTCTATGAAGTCTATTTGTCAGCCTCTGTTGATACCAGAGTGTGGATTGAATGGCATGAATACGCAGGGCTGATGGTGAAAGGAGCTTTGGACTTCGATGACCAAGGCCCGAGAGATGGAGAATGGAAAACTATCAGTGGTGACTTTGCACCGCGTCCTAATCGCCATAATTTTCCCACAGGAATCCCATGTTGACGGATCTACGAGCAGGCTTTTACGCTGCCTTCCTCACCAACCAAGAGTATTGCTGTGGCATTTCGCAAGTTCAACGACAGTGTCTACATCTTAGGGCTGCGGTTTTTCTATGGACAAGATGAGGTCCTAATGGGATACATTGTTCCGCATCAAGAGAAGTTCCTCTCTTTAGGCAACGGCTTTCGCCTCACCGGCTTCACCACGGCCGTAGGTGCAAGAGGCATTATGGCCTTGTGTACGGTTTTAGAAAATGGTTATGTATCAGACTGGCTAGGAGACCCGGTGCAATCTCGTTGACATAATCAGTGAATTCTTCTGTTGTGCGCTTGCAGATTGCGCATGTATCTTTTCGTACTAGTCAACGACCATCTTGTCCGAATGGTGGTTTGTTTTGACTGGGTTTAGCCAATTTATTCCAGGATTGCATTTGGTGCCCCGGCTTTCGAGATCTCTAGTAGGTGTATAGAGCGTGTATAGAGTAGCAATACTCAAGCCCTCGCGGTTTATTGTAGAGCCAAGTTATTATAAGAAATAGGATTTTGCGAAGATATCTATGTACAAGATCCTAGATGACTGTTCACTAACTACCTCTGGGCTCTTCGTTTAGATTGATGCGAGTTACGCTTTTGGCTAGTTCACACATTACAGTACTATTGACAGTTGGTTCTAACTAATATCACCCGCCAGAATAGGGTAACTAATATCGGGTTTTGATAGTCATCAGCTACTATCAAAATACTGACTACACATGCACTTTGTTATTCCTTCTTTTAGTACGACCAATTTGCTTATTCGTGACAATTACTGGCATGGGCTGAGCGCAAACAACGCAGATACGAACACTCAACCACAAATACGCTCACATTCGCAGTCGCAATCGACACATAGATCTCAAAGCACCCCATGCACTCCGTACATACATATGTACATGTACATATCCAAGTCCACCCCGGAAAACCCCGTCGCTAATCAACCCCCTCCCATCCCGCCACGTCACTCGCTCTAGTCGTTTCAGGTAACTGGCATAAATGTAGGTGTGGCAGATCGAGTGCACCAGTTACCCAATGATAGGGCAGAAGTCATCCTTGGTTAGTATTGTATGTATGTAAGCATTTAGAATATGAGAGGAGCGGGAAGGATGGTATATTTGGATTGATTATGCATGTTGACGGGGATGGCGAGGCTGAGGCTGAGGCTTGGGCTGATGGGGGATTGGTTGGGGGGGGTAGGAGGGTAATTTATCTATGGCGGCTAGTTTTGGGTGGCTATGAGGTGAGTTGTATTTCGAGTATTTTGCCTTCTTTAGCTAAAAGTGGCTGTCATCCTGTGCATACAAGTACAATGCCGATGGTGGTGCTCCGTATTACTGAGCAAATACGAAGCGTGCAGTAGTCGTTTCTGTTGGAATTAGAGGGTGCAAATTAATATAATATGAGCTGAAATTTAGGTCTGCGCTGGGAATTGCCCGTTACATACTCTGAACTTACGGCCAGTGTCTAGTCCATTGGCCATGAGAAGAGTAAGAACTCTTTGTGTGCATATACGGAGTACATCCTAGACACCCACGTCCTGGCTCTGTAGTACATGGTAGCACAGAGCGTTACCGTGAAATAAGCGTTTCTTTGTCTCATCTTGGAAGCGCTTGGGCTAGAAATTCAGACCTGTATGTCTGTCTAGTCTTGTGCTGTAGAACGTGAGGTCTTCCCTGGCAGTAATCCATTGGTTGTCGATGCTCAGTTTCTCGAGTCATGTTGAACTTGATCGTGGCAGAACGATAGCCAGTTGTAGATGTTCAGGTAAGCATACACATTACCTCTGGTCAGATCGATGCAGGACGTGTATTCTTGCCAGAGATGAGCGCTAAACCAGCGACAGGTCCTACAACGTTACCACGATGGTGTCAGATCTCCTGTCGATATCCGTACATCGACAGACGGTCCTCAAGGGTATGTCTTGCACGGCCTGAGGAATTAAATTCCGACCGCACAACTTGGCATCCCATCGTTCAAGGCTCAAAGAACCCCCACGTAGGAACCCAATGTTTTCTGGATCAGACAGACATGATAATCTGGATCAAGCGTGTCAATCTGCGACCGTATGGCAATCTCGCAAGGTAACTATCTGCATATATATCAGCCATGTACTTCCGTACCCCGTACAGCATGAACGGAACTTTGAATTGATTCACGGTGTTTGCAATTGAACCAGCATCTATTTCCGGTTGATGATCCCACCTCTTACAGAGTACAGCCATCAGCAACTAATGGTACTTCCGTACACCATACTCAGGAGTTATGAACTCCAGACATTCGGATTACTCTCGAATAGTCCCAACAGACACGTGTTTCGGATCATAGTCCGGGCACCAACAATGAACCAACATCATCCGTATCCTAATCTATTCTGGGAAATTGCCGTCAATAATTCACGGCTCGGAAATCGAGACATATAGCCTGATCGGGCGCATCCGCATTGGTATTCGTACTCCGTATGTTAACATTTCAGCTCCGTGTGTACCGTAAGCCAAGGCAAATCCAGCGCTTTGTTTGCTGGTTCCGGTTCAGGAGGTGGCTCAAAGGGGTAGTAGTGGCCCTGGCGTTGGGAGATAACAGGTTTAGGGAGCTTTGTCTATCGTTTCTAGGCGATCACGTGTTTCTCTTCCTTCTGAATCGTTCTGGCTTCTGAGTGAACAGCTCTGCTCGTCTCGCTCAGCTGGGAAGGTACTCGTACTATGCGTGGACTCCGTGGCAACCTTCCTGTTGGCTCGTCTAGACTACTCCCCCATGTTCGAGCCAATTTAACAGGCTCCGATCGGCAATGGCGCGTCGGTCGAATCAGCGCGTGTCGAGGCCATCTCGCGGATTCGGCGCCAAGCATCCCCGATGGTGCATTATGTCATGTTCCCTTTTGGGTAGGTTTATTGGTAGTATTACAGGGGAGGTCAGCCACTGCCATCGGTAAAGGGATATAGTACACCGGAGTACTTGTACTTACTTGTACAAACAAGTACCAGTAATCGATGGAGATCTTGAACGCGCAATTCCAGAATCGCAGTTGAAACGTGGGACGCGAAATACCCGTCAATGACGTTATGATACTGCCTCACGAACAGTACTACTACTATGGAGTAGCTAGGTAACTTACTCTGGGTATGATCTAAGAGAATCACATGATCATCAGCTACCGCGCGCTAGCTCGCGTTGTTGGCATTGCCAAATATTGGCACAGCAGACTCGTTTCACTTGCCATAACGAAGGCATTGGCAGAGTGTCGGAGGCACCGCATTCATGCGGTGCCTCCGACACCGCCAACACTCGCGTTCACTGCCCCATCAACACTTCATAGGCATGTAATGTATTTCTCTAGCGATCCAGCATCACCGTACCTTACTCTGTACTCAGTGAATAAATTCAATCTCCATCGAAATCTCACCGCGGCAAAGATGAATGCGGCTTAAGTTGCGAAGAAGCTCCAATTTAGCCTCTTCAGGCTAGCGCGTAAAGTGGGCCCGCGCTACTGTCGGGTCCGACTAGTGTTCGCGCTAACACATTCCCGGATTAGTGTGTACAGCCTGTATGTGGTATGGAAAGTTTGAATGTATAAGTTACCCTGTACGTATCGCACACTTACAGACTGTACACAGGGACAGACTCGGAGCTCCCAATATCAATCTGGAAATGACCGTTATGGAAGACGTCGGAAGAAAAAGAAAAATTGAATGAACCATGGTTCATTGCTCCGGAGGCCCCAGTGAAGATTCTTGAAAGGGTTATATTGTCTTAAAATTGTTGTGTGTCTCTTACTTTGGGACCGTTTTCATTCGTTGCATTGGAGAGAAAATTCTTCTTTTCATGACAGCTCCATAGCTTATATTCGGCGGGATGGTACAGTATCAATCGGTAGAGTTGCTGTAGAGAACCATTGGAACACTTACTTGTGCGATGTATATCTTCGAGTCGTGATTGCTATGTATGTGCTTATGACGTCCTGACTCT